ACTGGGACATTGGCTTCCGGTGACAATAAACGTGGACAAGGTGGACCACAAAGTGGTAATTATGACTAAGGAGTGGAAAATACATGAGAGACGGGCTTGCAACCGGCTTCGGGAATTTTTGAGTTCTGATAGTGAAGTTTTAATTTTCGGGGAATCTTCCGGGCAAGTCCGGCCTTCCGCAGTTTCGTGGAACTTTTGGTCCAACAACGTTCCCCCTAAAAGGCTTACAGTTGACGTATATACGTAGTAGCTTTGCAGTCAGAAGGTTGTTCCCAACTCCGTACCCGATGAAGAGTATAGATCACTGTTCTTAGTTGTAGTCAGAAAAGGAAATGCTTTCCACTTTGAATGTAAAGTTTCTACACGAGGTGCCTTATTATCCCTAGCTTACTGTTTGCGCTCAGTCTTCGGAATGGGTAACTTGAACGAATTTTTTCTGACCTTTCACGCGTCCGCAAATCATTGAGGTTGCCACTGTGTTTCATTTGTATTAGTTCATGATATACCCAGGACTCTGAGTCCATGATTGTCCTCCGAAGGCCTTCCACTTTGGCAGCAATACACTTATGTGGCATCTGAGAACATTTTAGTTACGACAATGAAATTTGCATTCCATTACGAAAGGACGACTGTGATTAGATATATTGAGGTCAGAGGCACATACATGCAACTGAAGTAGCGTGAACAGCTAATGATGCTAACATTCAGGTTAGTACTACCTATTCGGCGCTGACTGCGTTGCGTGTCTTCGTAAGTGATTTCTTGTCAATAACTAGGACTCAAGGGCGGTACGACTACGCGAATAGCATACAAGTGAATGGCAAACGCGTTTCAAACTTATGCTTTCAAACCTGAACAGACGCAAACTGGGCATAACGTTGGTAACCTCGTAGATTCTTAGGTCTACAGAGTCGTGACGGAAGAATGATTCAAGATCTTTGTCGGTTCAGAGACTAAACTCCTCATGACTTATGATCTCATCTATGATGCCTGGTACACAGTCAACTGGAACGCAGTTGTTGGGTTGGACAGTTGATGACCGCATGCAGGCAAAGCAGGTCGTCTGCTTTTCAACATCCGCTGCTTGTTCCCCTGTAAGGCTTGTAGTTACATTTTCAACTCCGTACTTAAGCCTCCCTGTGATCCGTTTATAAATCTGGATGGCTGGATTACTGGTCCTGTAACTAGTTTCTGCAGTGTGTGTGGTATTCGAAAGGGAAGCATGAGAAGGGACCTAGGGGCCCATGGTGTGCGACTTCATCGCACGATTGCAGTAAACGATGTCTGTTGTGCACCATCTTTTCGCTACCGGATATTGCTTAGCAGTTGTTCACAAACTTCAACAGCATCCTTTTTATACCCTCCAGTTAGGCAAGACAGCATCTAGGGGGATTTAGGAGGCAGACGGGTGCAGAAAGATCCATGAAATAGCTGTGCAGAAATGATAGCGGAACGTCTTTAGAGTAAACAGAGCCTAAATAAGGGAGACACAGCCCGCGCATGGTGGCTTTCCACTTCTGCACGTCAGCCAACCGCCGGCCCCTCTGTTGAAATTTAGTCGTTGTGTGCTTATGAGGAATTGGCGGTCGTGAACTAAAGGTTTGTATAACGTTATGGTCGCTGCCCTGGAGTCTGCTTGCCATCGCTTACCATGAACCAATCAATCTGTGAACAACTCTTAGGCATAAAAAGCGCATAGGATCTAAAAGAAAAGCGTCGATCGTGTCAGTGATAGGTTTTTCAAAAGGCAGTTTACCTCAGTGGTGTAGACCGTGCGTCATTCAGCGAAAGTCGACATCACTTTCAAGGTGACTGACATCCTTAGGGAATACCGTCCCATGTGCTTCACAGGAGCAGTTTCCAACACACTTACCATTACCTCATTTAGATTTATGACCCGAAGTCTGCGAAACGAGTGACCTTGCCGGTGCATTACACATAGTACCCTCAAGCGACACAGAGGCAACTAAACTGCTACTGAATGGGTGAATACCCCACTGAAGCATGCTACTTGCTCGTCTATTGTATTCTGTAGGTCAGCCGTTAATATTAATTGGCTTATATGGACCACTGTAAATGCCAACTAGAAGCACTTGACCTGTTTTTTAGATATTTCAGTATTTGAGTTGGCAAACAACTGTGCCCAGTCAATTTTCATGTTCAGCAAAAGGTTTCTATGGCTACAAAAGGCTGTAGAGGGTGGAGTTGCAGATCTAGATGCTCATATGCACCTTCTCTGATGGCCACAATGTTAAGGTGGACGGGATCTCCCATAACCGTCCTGAGAGCAGTTGACATATATTCGCGTATCCCGTGCTTTTCGCCCAATAAACTTCGTGGCCGAACTCTTTACAGGTTAGGACAAGAGGCGTTTAAGAGTGCATTTTGGTCCTGTCAGGCATTCGGTATTTTGTGACGGTGGACAGTTGCATTCACTTGCCTCAATGTTTTTGTTTCCGATGATGGTGTTAAAACCGGTGAGGGTCTGTGATCAGATGACGACACATTGTCTAGCAAATAAGGTCAAGTAGAAAATGGCCAGCCTTCTCTGGCAAAACACTGAGGCGATCTTTCTCCATCTATGATAGAAGCACTGGAAGGGTTTCATCCTTACCTGCAAAATACATTCCCGGCATATTGGTGTTCTTCGCCATTCGACGACGTAATATTGGTTTGTCCATTCATAGTTTGGCTGCGGAGAAGTAGTTTTCAGAGCACAAGGTTACATGGGTCTTTGATCGGCAATTCTGAGCTTGTCTACAAACCGATTTCACAGAACCAGTGTTGAGTCCCCCGACGGATGTTTTATGTAGCGTGCATTTTATCAGGGACATTGACGTTTTCATTAGGGTTATCTGAAAGTCAGGAGTATCGGGCGAAACGTTAGTGCTTCAAAACTCAAGGTGCAGAAATAGGAAGGCTCACTTTCCTGTGTATGCACTTATCATAATAGGCAGATGCGTAAAGTCAATTAGCAAACGAAACCTAGTCGTGAATACAAAACAGTAAGAAGGCTATATCTGCTTCGTACGTCTGCGAGGGCAGATTTCACGTGAGCCCAAATTTATTACGCGGGTGGAGCTACATCGGCCCCGACAAAAAAATTTTAAATCTTAAAGAGAAATCAAATTCTCATCATTGACGTCATGCACGTCATGCAACAAATGTCCAGATGAAATAGGAAAATGCCGTATTCTGTGTCGAGCTTGGCAGTTTAACTTTAGTCAGCATAACTTTTTGGCGGAAGTTACTACCTTCATTGCGGTGACTTGCTTGTACATTTCTAAAATGAGTTCCAGCGGCCACAAACGGGGATTTGCGGCATCATTTTATGGAAGTCAGCCCGAGTATGTGGGGACTTCTTTTCATGTAATTTTACCGAAGGGATCTGTAATGGATTTTTATTGGCCGGTATGGCTCAAAACCTTTGGTGTTTTGTTTCACACTAAAATGGGGATAAAAGTAAGAATACACAAATAAAATTTGTGGAAAGAGTTTAACAGGCATGCAGTGAATTGAACCTAGTTATTTTAAGTTAGTAGATATCTGGCTGAAGAGTCCAACGGAAGTGAATGTAATCTGAACGAACGCAAATGCAAACTACTGATATTTTGTGCTTGCTCAAGAGAGGAGGAGCACCGAATATTAGGCCAGTTACTTGGTATAGAACGCAGTAATGCTACGTTATTATCCGGTAAGTGTTGGTGTATCAGTGTATGCCGTATTAGGCAGGCGATCTGACACGAAGTTGCACCATGCTACGGTAGGTGAAAAAAGTGTGCGCTTGTGGCTTGGGTCGCTGAAAAGTCACAGGGTTTAACTGGGCTTCTCAGAAGTTGTAGACGTAGAAACCAACAAGGGTGAAAACAATTTAACAGCCGCTTTGGGACGATGTATTTGTCTTGTCGTGCCGGCATACCGGGATGCACGAGGTTGCCGACAATGTGATGTTGAACGAGCAGCACAACACAACGAAATTCCAAAGGACTGTATGCACCAGAGGCTAAACGAGCCCATTAGAACAACAGGTGCTGTTCCAGATGTCAGGTAATATTCAAATTTCAACCACCGAATTATGAGGATTGTTTGCCGCTGAGTGCCTTCAACTTAGCAACTTGATCCCAACCTTGATATTTAACAGAAATGCAGTTTATTCATTAAGTTTAGAAGAATAATGTTAACTTGTCTGTCCGTTAACGACTAGGCTAGGGACTCTGAGTTCTTTGCTGTGAGTCAGCACAAGGAGGGTACGAAAATGGTGAACGTCTACCAGTGGACGCCTGCACGCCAAAAGAAAATTACAGAACTAAAGTTACCTGTCGACGCCATAAGGGGTTATTTAGATATTTTACATGGTCATTAGTTTATGTTAACCCTAGCATTACTTTGATGCCAGAGGAACGTAGAATAGATTTCCCCATTGTAACTGTTACAAACTCACATTCTGACACTTTAAAATCAATAATAATATCACCCCTGTTGTGCACACCATGCTACTATGTCCTACCTGTCATCCTCTTTTTTTATCGTAGGTGAAGCAGAAATTTCTAACTGTTTCTGTGATCTCTCTGCAAAGGGTATGTCGGGGTGGATAACTTGACAAACTTCAGACTAGCAACCTGCAGCTAGAGAAGGTTTCATAACCAAGATGGGTCTTGGTAACATAACTGTCAATACTTTAAGTACGTTGTCACATGAGGAAATAGTTAATCTGAAAAACGACGCAAGTGGGAATAACGTAACTCTAGTGACGTCATGGTCTTCATTGCCAGGTTACTCAGAACTAAGAACATACAGTCTATGTAGCGTTTAAATTGGTGACCTGCCTATCCATTTTAAGGTTTATCCCGAACAGCTTCTCTTATTATAACCGCCATCCTTATTATCTATGGATTATTCAATAAAACGACTAGTGACTTTAAGTCTCCAGACAGTCAGCCAGCTAAGAAAAAGCTTTTTCTAGCACTTTCTCAATCATTTAAACAACTTTCACCATATGTTTGTTCAGATTCGCTAACTAAGGCGGTTGGCATGACCTTGTAACTTTTCTGATGCCACATGATGGAGATGGTAGGTTTTTGCGGTTAGTTATTATGTGGTATGAAGTTTCGTGATAAATCTTGTGTAAAACAAAATGAAGTCTTCAGATGCACTTACAGTCGCAATCCGGGTTTGCGGTTTTGATCGGACACATGCAATTTTCGTATGTAAACTAATCTATGTTAATGAAAATAAACCTGGACAAGTCGAAATAACGTAAAGCCAAACATGGGGCCGATAAAACATCGGACGAAGCTCGGGGCAATTTCGGGAAACCCTTACGGCCCGTTAAAACATTTACAGGAGGCTTGTGCAATCTTTTGATATCAAAAATCAATGTTGTTACTTTTATTATTTACTGTAAATCATCATCAAAATGCATAAATTGCCTATTTTCCTAAAATGCCGGAATCTATCAAATTGCCCTTATCCTTGTGTACAGTGTATTTACTGCTGACGGCGTTTTCAGTTCAGCCAGCTGGTAAATTGAGAAATAATATACCGGAGGCTGTGATGAGTTCCAGTCTAACTTTCTAGCCCTACTAAGTTCCTTTCCATAGTAGTCTTTTGCTTCCCAGGTGTAGGTAGCCGGGAAGTGTCTGCTGCCTTCACAGATTGTCAAAAATTAAACATTTTAGCCTTGTAATCTTTTTTCACTTTTCAGTCGGTATTCCTAAGTTATCTTTAGTTTCTTTCAACTCTACAACTCTTTAGACCTGAAAAATGTTATCATTAGTGAGACTACATCCCACTAGGTAGCTTTTGCGATTAACTCGCAGGCAAGACGACTGGAAAGATTAACAGAACACTACCAAGAACTGTCAGGCTGATCTCCAGCTACTGTCCCGTCACCACTGTCTAACTGAATCCTGAGTGGGGCATCGTAATAAGACTTCCAACTCTTGCTAAAGTTGAGAAGTCTGTAAGCAACCTGGAACGCAGGTCTACATGTACAAACCAGTTAGTAATAAGGCTGTTTAACGACTGTGAACGTGGATTATCGGTCAGGTTTTCTGAAGTGTTAGCGTCCAGGAATTCGATACAATCCCCTCCCACTGATCTCAATTACTGATTGTATTAGTCTTCAAGAAAGGCCATAAGTCCTCCTATGATAGTCTTAGGAAAATCAGTTTGAGTTTAGATCCAAGGTTATGTAATTACTTGATATCTAAGCGGAGGTTGGTAACAACAGACCCGACAAAATCAAGGAAGTCTCAGGCCTGAACGTGCGTGTATCTAACAGATAGTATCTCCACGTTTTCACATATAAACGTGCTAATGAATACTTTACTTCTGGCATCTAATCTTACAGATGATCTTATCACACGAGACTCCTTAGTTGATCTGGAGTACGCAGACGACATAGTCCTGTCAGACGAAGATACTAACAAGATGCGCGATCTACTGGACATCTTGAGAGGGAATCTGGGAATGTTTGGGATGTGTTTCTTATCACCTAAATACTGATTTTTGCTCCGGGATTGACTTGCGTTGACACCTTGCATGACAAAATGAAATGCAGAGGTTGAACGCGTTGACCAATTCACCTACCTAGTAAGTCAGATCAGCTGTGGGATATCACTGACTGACAAAATGTCTGCACAGATGCAAAAGACCCACTCAGCCTTCTCTATGAGATCTGATTATCTCTTAAGAGTCGAGTGTGCTACACTGCCGTCCTTTCTGTTCTTCTGTGTGCTTGTGAATAATGACCATTAACGGTAAAGTTGGTGAGGCATCTTCATGTATTTGACCGTCGTTGCTTTCTCATAAGGCGTGTGTCATGGTATCATGACGTCTAATGAGGAAGTCAGGTGTAAGGATGCAGGCCAAAGAGGAAAGTCAGTTGTTGAGGTTGTGTAACTTCATCGACTGAGTTGGCTGGGAAATGTTTTACGCATGCATAGTCACCTTCTGCCTCGTCATGTAATGTTGGTTGAAGTAGGTTTAGGCTAGAAAAGGGCTGGTACATGGCATCATTCCATGAGATCTTGAACCGTTAGTTTGATCCCAGTAAGGAGATGCAGATTAGCTGGTTGGGATCCATGTGACAAGGGAAACCAGTGGTTGGAGACTAGGTGGTGTGGCTGCGAATCGATGTCAGTGGCGCAGAGGTACCCGTAAATCATCTTAATCTTCATACTAAATGCAATATTTTCTCATTTCTCCTTTCCCTCTTTCTACAGCTTTTGACTGCTTTCTTCTTTGTTTCTTTGTCTTTCATCTTCATGCCTCACTCGATGTGCTAATATGTGTGGCAACTTATTCTTTTGTAATAGTGCGGCATTCATCTCTGTCGATCTTTAGGTGTTGTGGCAGTGTCTAATTGTAAACAGAGTACTGAGCAAGTATGTAATGCTTTTCAAATCTCCAGTCTTATACTCTCTACTCGAATCCAGGCATGTAAGGGTTTATGAAGAGTTGTTATCTGCACTGACAACAACTGGGGGTGTCCACCAAAAAACTCTCTGTCATCACTCCTGTTAAACTTTGCTATAAATGTACTAATGGACAAAATCTGACTTCACAGAGATTGATCCACTCTGCGGAAGTTATCTGCTTGACTTGACGATATTGTCCTGCTGGGTGAACGAGGTGGGAAAACGTAAGGTCTTTTGAACGCGTTGAGCAGAAATTAGAGTATGTTTGGCATGCTTGTCACACCTTATTGGTCTAGATCTCAATTTGGAGACAGGAAGTGGTGAAGTGTGTCGACCACTTCACTTAGGGTGTTGCAGCAGCCCGAATGAGCTGGTTGATGATGTGATCAGATACGGAAGGCCCGTTTAATACTTGCCAGCTTGCGTGGTCTGTGGCACCAACCGGTGAGATATCCGATTCTCTATCAGTGGTACTGTATACTACGCTGCAGTCCGTTCTGTCCTGTTATACGGCTGGGAGACATGGGGACTGAAAGCATAAGACGAAGCGATTACTGGGTTTTATTCGCAGATGTCTTCTTAGCATTGCTCACTTCCGGTGGAATCACTATATTAGCAATGTCGAGGTCAGATGAAAGGTATTAGGCTAGACAGGCAAGCCGGTTGATGAAGTTGTGAACCTTTGGGGACTGAGATGGCTTGGGTATGTGTTTCGCTTGCCGTGCCATTGCTTGTCTTCACTTGCGATGCTAGTAGAAGTGGATTGTGTTGGAAGAAGGCTCCAAGTCGCCAGACCAAGTCGTTGGATTAGTTCACAGAGTTGCTGACTGTTGGTTTGAACCATGTAGGGAGATGTAGACTGTCTGGCTGGGGTCACCGAGACGATGAAACGGAACGAAACATACTCAGCTACCTTGTGTACGTTCGTGCAGTTGGCAATGAGCCACATCTATTGTGTGAAAGCTAGTGATACTACCTAGCTGCCCAAACCTTGGTAGGCAGAGCGGAGCTCGAACGCGTGACGAACCTAGAGATGATAGGATTCAGGGGTCGGGCAGTCTCAGTGAAATGCCTGAAAGTCAGTCACCATGCCGCAGATATATTCACTCCTTGGCGTCGCCTGTAGCTTGAATATTTTCACTAACCTTCATTTTCAAATTCCCTCTCCTCTTATGCACCTTTGTCTACTTTGTTATCAGTATTTTGCTATCCACTTGTTATTTGAATGCTAGTACGAAGTGTGGGAACTTAAGGCGTTGGACTTGTGTGCGAGTTTTACGTTGATTTAGTCGATCTGTCTACCTGTTCTGCGTCATTTACTTTTACTGGGTGTGGGAGAAAGAATTGCCATAGAATGAAGCGTAATCGTTTTAAGTTAGGATTTGTTAACAGGGTTTTAGCTATCATCCTGATGTACGATGTAACCAGGACGCCTGAAATCCAAGTTGGTTATCATGCTCCAGCGTAATACCTTTCACTGTAAGGTTTAATCTAGGGAACGAGTGAAAAATCTTTTTTTCTACTCTTATAATTTTGTTTTCATGATTATGCAGCCTTTATACGTTGCTGAAACACTGTCATTCCATTTTGTGAAGCTTAACTCTTGGTGTATCGTTTATACTGTTTCTTATGGTTTGAAAGACTGGCAGGTTTTTTTATTCAGCAGAGTCAAATATTGCTTTGGGATGGGGATTGTCATGTTAGGATAGTACAGAACGAACTTTGCGACCTAGCATATGCATTCTGTATATGACAAATATATACCTTCTGAGATAGTACTTATCGAGAGACATGTATCATCTGTAGGACTTCAGCATGTATATCAGTCAGTATGATTCGACTGTAATTAGAGACTTAAGTTGACACAGCTCAAGCTGGTCGCCATGGGGTAAACACCTTCCACTTTAAAAATCTTGTCTTTTGTCCCTACGTTTAACCCTTTCATCAGCCATAGTCCTGACATTACTATCTTCACTAATTTTTCTGGCTCACTGAGTTGGGGCGTTGACTGGATACAAAAGGTTCGGTTGGCTTTTGCCAACATACGCCACCTATGGCGCCGTCGTGGTATCGGATTGTCTATTAAGAGTCGCGTGTACTGCACGGCAGTCCGGTCTGTTCTACTGTATGGCTGTGAAAATTGGCCATTAAAGGTGGGAGGCTTCAAGAGTTTGACCACCGTTGCCTTCGTAGTATAGGCCGTATTCCGTGGTGTCACTACGTGAGTAACGCAGAAGTCAGGTATAGAGTTTTAGGGAGAAGAGGTAAGTCGGTTGACGAGGTTATGAACCTTCATCGACTGAGATGGTTGGGACACGTATCAAGTATGCCTAGTCACCGATTGCCTCGTCACACAATGTTGGCTGAGGTGGGTCCAGGCTGGAGAAAGGCCCGAGGTGGCCAGACTAAAACATAGCATCAATGTATGAAGTCTTTGACTGATGGTTTGAACCACGTGAGGCGATGTAGACTAGCCGGTTGGGGTCCGCGGGACAAGAGGAACCAGTGGTTGGAGACTCTAGGTGATATGGCTCAGAACCGTTGTCAGTGGAGCAGATGTATGCATACATGACCTTCATCTTAACGATGCCATACCGAATCTAACCATTTTCCCATTCTTCCTTTCTCTGTTTTCGTACTTTATATTTCTTTGACTGAATTTTCTTCTCTTCATCTTGCACCTCACTGCCTTTTTACTTGATGTACTGATATAAGGTATGGCAACTCGGAGTGTTACACAGTAATGCCTGATCCTATGTTGATATTGGTGATGATGATGAGGGCGTTGACTGTCAACCAGTGGATCGCAGGTTCAAACATCTCTGCAGCCAGGTAGTATCATTAGCCTTCAGACAAAAAGTATGGCTCGTTGCCTAGTGCATGAATGTGCACATGATCACGGAGTCGATTTGAATTCGATTCATGGTTTTACTGTTATAGAGATACCATTAAGTTGTTGAGCGAACAATGCACTACTGGATATCATTTAATAGTAGCTTGTTTAGTGTTTGATTGAATGTTGCAGCAGAGACTAGAGCCGATTGTTGCATGTGGCTCAATGTGGTGTGGTTTATTAGTTAAAGCAGTTGGTTTTCAGACAATGGTCCTCAAGTTTCGTATCACGCTTCGCCTGCTTCTACCTGAACATCCAAGCCCAATAGCATAGGCTTTCAATGAGTGTGGATTGTAGCCTGGTACATACTGATACTGATACATGCATATATGCCAAGGTGGGTTGTGTTCTAAGAACCAGAAGTGAGTTAGGCATCACTAACGCGTTTAGACTAGCGCAGGCATTGTACGATCCTAGCCTCGGCTTGGTGATAGTCACGAAGGAACTAAATCACTCCATTATGGAAGGAATATCAATTGACGGGACTATAAACCCCCGTCGACTAAGATCGTCGAAATATATGCCACACGCGCAGACCAATTATTGACACTTACACACTGTTCGTTGAAATAAGACTAGGTTTCGGAAAAGCTGAGAATGGTCAGATGAAAATAGTGGCAGTTCTTGAATTCGCTACCTGCTAGTTTGAACCTTCAAGGAAATGTAGACTTCCAGTTTGAACTTCCTGTTTTAGTTGGAGTCGATCACTTGAGACTGAAATCGGAATCGATCATAATAGCACAGATGCCTCTATGTTTTATCTTCATGCTAACCCTTGTGCCACATTTTTTTACTGGCTTTAACTCCTCTTCCTTTCATCTTCTGACTTCCTGTGACTTCAGAGCATATTATTTTTGTGTCTTTTTCTTTCATCCTGTTATATTGTCTTAATATTGTGATATGAAGTGTGACAAGTCTAAGTTTCATGCAGTAATTACAGGTCCCGTGTTAATAATGACTTACTGATACCTACTAAATCTCGTTCACTTCACTCACTTCTGCTCGAAAAAGGAAAGATTATGAGAGCAAAACTGAAACGCATCTGTAAGATCAGAATAAACAAGAGTAGACTTCACCAAGTAACTCGTTTCATATGTTATAAGAACCACAGGTGATGAAAATGAAAGAAAGGGTCAAACCCTAACGCTACTACAATTTTTACTGTTAGCGTGCTGCACGAAGTTAATCTTACTGAAGGCTTCTTTACTAGTGTTTTCGAACAAATGTGTAAAGATGTTTGAGAATATGACTTGAAATCGTAGCGACGAAGATGCAATCACTCTGTACTGTTTTGATATTCGTCTACTTATTCTCCATCCTCTTGTCCTTATTTACGATGCTATCATCCCACTTCTAACCATTTCCTCTTTTTATGTTGTTGCAAAGTGTCGTTAATTGAAGTTATGCACTTCTGTGAGTCTGTCTCGTGTTATTGATTTTTTGCTCCACTGGTTTGAAGTGGGACAACTTGCACTTCTGAGAAGTGCAAGCGTCTACGTCGGTAGTGTTTGACTGACACTTACTGTGAATTTCCTAAGTTGCATTTTATTTCTTATGGTTCCTCGTCAGTCTACTTGGTCTGTGTCTAATATTTATTCATGTTTGAACACTTCATTTTAGATTGGATGTCATTCGACTAAGACTTTGAATAAACATGTTATGGTTTTTGACACTTGTTTTTAGTGTACTGAGATGGAGTCGGAGTAGCAAACTTTCGAAGATATTTACGCGTTAGTGGCATCTAAGTCATTTATGATTCTTGGAATGCACCAGGTACCGATCAACAAATTATGAAAGGGTATGATATCGCTTGTATCCTGAAGTCAAAGTAGGTGAAACGGGATTCGAACTCGGGAACCGTTGTTTGAAGTACGAGTGCTGAAGCTGACAAACCACATTCCTAATGTTCTCAGATGTTACTAGGTGTGATTACTAATCGGTCCTAATAATGCATCTCTTGACAAATTATACCTTTCAGTCTTTAGCTTCTGCGCAACTTTTATGTACATATTTATTATCTTTACGTGACGATTAATACATCACTGCTCTCTCTGCTACGTGTACCAATCAGTTAGCTTTCTCCTAATCTTCTTTCCTAATTTGTCTCCGTTAGGTTTTGTAATTGGTGTTTGATCTTTTCTGCTGTGGTTTTCATCGATTTCTCTAATTTCTCAAAGACTGACTGTGGTTAAAAAGTATCCAAAAGTGGTCTGCTTTTTGTATTTTCTTACATACGATAACATATTTGACGTAATATAACTATCCCTGAACCTGTGATATAACAGCTATTAGGGATTTACATAAACTACCAATTCACTATTTTGACTGTTTATATCTGCCTCTTTTCTCTGTATGTGAGCACCACAGTAAAAACGTTATTGGACATCTAAAATAGTTGGTTTTTGTAAACTATTAGGCAGTTAGCACTTAAGAAAAATACATACTAATTATTAACCTGGAGGTCATTCATCCGTGTAAAATTTCCTAACAATAAAAAAGATTTCTACATTTAAAACTGATTAAATGACATGTTATTTGGTATATTTCACTCTCCTTGACTAGATTTGATGGAACGAATTCGGCAAATTGTCAGTCAACAAAAGTTGCGTTGTTTGGATGGTGAGTGGTTCAAAATGTAATAACTTTTTAATTATTTAGGAAAATATTCATTTTAATAATCTTTGGAATGCTTTTGTTTACGAAACAACTACCTTGTAACATGTTCATCAATGAGATTAAAAAGTATATTGGTAAATAAGTGAATAAATGCGTTGTAAGTTGCACATGTGAATTTTGACGTGCGACTAGTGCACATTCATGTACCAAGCGATGAGCGAAACGAAATTCACTCAACTACATTGTGTACATCCATGCAGTAGGCAGTAAGCCACGTCTGTTGTGTGAGATATAGTGATACTACCTAGCTGCCCAAACCTTGGTAGTTGGAGCGGCGCTCGAACCTGGGACTCAGTCGTCGGTAGTTATCTCCCTAAACCACTGAGCTGCAGCTTTACCACCAGGCGATAAGTCACATCTCTAGTGTCAGCTGTGATACTGCTTGGACATTTAAACCTTGGTAGATGGGATCGGACTCGTACCCATGTCCAACTGCTTCAATGGTTACTGGATAGACTAGTGGACCACAGCTCAACGAACGTCGACTGAGTTAGGTCAAACGTTGATAGGTTTTGCAATCATGATCTTTTGAATGCATAATCTGTATACCAAAAATGCTAAGGCTTACAATGATGGATATGTTCATAATATTATCATTTGTATTGACTTTCTTTTTATTTCTGAATTTGATGCAATTCTTTCGTTTGCTATATGCGCTATTTTAAGTTATTTACACAAAAACGGGTCACTTTCGATAATATGTGGCTTGAGTTTAATTGTAATACCGTACTCAAAATGTACTTTATGAGTTTTGGATAAGAAGTGCAAATGCAAAAACATACCAAGCAGAACTTTAAATCTTTGGCATCTAGAAGTTTTTTTAAATATGTCCATACATCTTTTCCCCCACGTATTTTTCCAGATGATACGGATTAGTTACTGAGAGAGTGTTAAGATTTGAGGTTGCATCCAAAACGTTTATAGCGAACTGATTTGAGAATTTAGGTAATTAAATGCACAGTTTAGTTTTATCAAAATGTTTACTAACTGAAAATATTTTCACATAACACCTACCATTATATACCTTGTCTTTTCTACGTCTGATGACGCAGGTAATAGAGTCGAATCCTCTCCAAGTAATGAAGTAAATTTGGATGAGTTTATGAGTGATATTCACGAAGTAGTTGAGTTATCCAACAAATGTCTTGTACGTAAAGTTGTTGAAGGTGCCGCTCCATCCGCTTATCCGGGTAAGTGAAAAAATATATGTATTGCTTGTCTGTAAATTAGTCAAATCTAAGTGCAGTGTTTTGAATGAATTAGATAATGGTTATGCAGCAGACTTTAAACCTCACTACGTACGTATACTCTTCTGTTATTTACTAACCTTCGTCAATTTTAGCACTAGAGAGTAGCATAGCTTTCGATCGAGTGGCGAGTGTATTAAATGACGATTATCCTGTGACCTATGAGACGGCAGTTGAAAATAAAATATGTAGGAAGATTTCAAGTTTTCTAAGTTTCAGTGTTCTCGTAGGATTGCTCGCCTGTAGTTGAATCACAAAGTGAACATTGTCGAGGTTAGGCGACGAGAATTGAGTGAGAAAGTTGAGACGGTTGATGGTTTTGCGAAATTTTACCAACTTAAATAGTTGCGATCTACGTTGGGCGCATTAATCGACTGTTAGTCTGACGCGTGACGATGGCCAAAGTAAGATTTAGTTGAAAATAAGGAGAATAGCCAGGATAAGACGTGGCACTAATAAATAGAGTGTCTGGTTATTTTGGGCTGTATAGGGAAGTGTACACTTCTTGAGTAGTGTTCATGAAATGTTGTGGACAAATATTTTGAGGATTTTGGGTGATGTCTCGAAATCTATCAGTAGTGCAAATGTATTTGGTGTTAATCGTCAGAAATCCGCAGTTTCATCTGATTATTCTATCTTCTAGAATCTTTTCCTTTGGTAGCGCTCTATTTTTGTTCAGTTTCTCTGTCTGTGAACCGTGGCAACTTGAACTTACTCATCTATCTTCATGGTTCTAAACCGTTTTGTACATCTGTCGAATTTTAATTTTACGAGTTTATGTATTTTTGTCTTCATAATGTGTAGGCTTTTCTCCAGTTACTAGAGATCAGACGAATACCTTGAAGAACAGTCCATGCTTACAGACACGTAGATCTGATACGAAAGTTCAGGTTTTGAGACGTTTACATGAGACATGTTCACCAAGTCCATATCCTAGACGTGTTTCTCTCAGAAGTAATGGTTCAAAACAAGATGACTCAAAAAACGATGCAGTTCCGAATAATGCATATGCTTGGCGTCAGGGTCAAGAAATCATTCACAAATATCTAGATGTTTCACCTGGTAAGTAGTTTATCATTGAATGTTACTTTGAAGTGATAATTCATCTCATGTTTGTAAATGTTTGTTTGATTATTCAACTATTCAGCTAGTTGTTGTAAAAGGATAAAAACTATTTTAACAACTTAAGAGTAAGTTTGAAAAAAAATTGGACATTGGGTAAGTGATGTTCATTATTTTAGTATTTGTATTTCCCAATAAATATAAAAGAGAATAAATTTGTTCTGAGTTTTCGCTACTTAGTGCTAATACATTTATCAGAGTCATAGTAAATCGGAACTTACAATTTTAATTTCAAGTTGGTATTCATCACGGACTGACATTAATTGGAGAAACATCGGAAACTTGGGTGCACTGGACAGCTGTTTCGTCCTAGTATGGGACGCCTCAGCAGTGCATACACTTGACCCTGCCAAGGATATATTTGCTGTTATGCTTTAGTTCTCTATGATCTTTCCGGTGTCATATTTCCCTCATATGTATTTTAGAATCAACAACATACTATCGTTAGATATCTGTGATAAATACCAAGCTGAAATTAAATAAATCCCCACAACCTCTAAATTAAATTTATTTTCTTTTACATTCATTGGAGAATATAACTACTAAGTAATGAACTTGAGAGTCGATTGCTCATCAGTATGTCACGATTGCTTGAGTTCTTACTTTCACACGAATTCGGTCTTGTTGTTTTATAAGAAATTACTTACAGCGTTTATTGATAGGTGACGTTTTTGTGAGCCATCTTCTACTGTCAGTAAAATCAATTCAGAGATATATTATATCTTTCTCTAAATCGTCTACTTCCTTGTTGGCACCTTTAGTTTCTTTATTTTTGAAGATAATTTCGTTTATCATAATATTAAATTTATATATTCGTAAAAGGGTAGAGAAAATGAGTCTGTAGTGAATACTTGCAAATTTTAAGTCTTGTGTTGTTGTTAGACATGCCGGCTTTGTGTAAGACTTGAACGATGATACGTTTTGAAAATTGACTGTTTACTCTTAATAATGTAATACACTTTGTAGTTTATTTTCCGAAGCCTTCTTCGGCTACCATATATGATTTACCACTTATGATGTCATCTTTCCCCTTTTTAGTTTGCTTACACTTTTAATATGCTAAGAAAAACCCAACTTCACGTAGTCAAGGGTTCAAATCCCATATCCATCTTCTTTGACCTACGTCAGCCTGCAACGTGGTAAGCTCTCACAATGCATGCTGCAGGCAGATAGACAGACGAAATCAACGTCGAATCTCACACACAGGTGCACCTGTTCAAGTTGCCCCACACATCACAGTAGTATACAAAGAGTAGGTGGATCGAAAAAAAGAGTGATATCAAAGTAGAGAGAATAAACAGTTTGAGGATAAGAGTTAGTGAGACTATTAAAACTTCAGAAGATATCGAAGAGTGAATACATTTGAGCTACTGTGACCGATTTTCAGTCATTTCACCAACAGTCCTCAACCACTGACTCTTTTCGTCTTGAGAACCCTAACCAGATAGTTTAAATCTACACACAGAGCTCAGACCAACACTAAGAGACTGCATAGACTGGTGTCACGTTTTGATCTGACTGGCTACCCTGAACCCCTCTTCCAACCTAATCCATCTTCTAGCATGACATATCGAGATGGATGGTAGATAGGCATGCGCAACGCATGTACAAGCCATCTTAACCGATGAAGGTTCATAGCCTCATCCATCAATCGACTTGCCTATCTTGCCTAGTACTCCCCGACTGACCTGGACATTGTTCACACAATGATTCCAACAAACGCGAACAATGCTACGAAGATATCTGTGATCAAAACCCACTAATCGCTTCATGCCTTCTACTTTTAACAGGCATGTCTCACAGCTGTGTGACAAGACAGAGAGGACTACGGCGCAGTATACTGGTCCTTTGATAGATAATCGGATGTCTCGCCGGTACCGGTATGGCAACTTGGACCATTAAACAGTAACGATGGTTAAAAGTGCGAATAATCATAAATACAACGAAGATGAATGACAAGTCTTATCTCTTAAGAATGCTCACTTTTTCCATTCTTATTCACTCTTTTGAAAGTTTTCCTCTTATTATCCGTCTTCACAGGGATCGGTCTTATCACAAGAGAGTGCTTAGTAGACGTAGAAGTCTTGTTAGGTGATGCTGATAGGATTCATAGTTTTCTGAACCCATTGAGTGGCAATTCGTTGTCGTTGCTCTGGGACTGCTGTTCAGTGGTGCCCCGGCTAACATTTAGCGAAGTGGTTGAGTGCGTTGACCACTTCACTTCGCTAGTAAGTCAGATCAGCTGCGGGGTATCACTGACCGACGAAACGTCTGCACTTGACTTTCTCCGTAGTATCTGATTATCTCTTAAGAGTCTATTGCATTGCTCTGCTGTTCCCTCTGTTGTTCTGTATCTTATGAATAATGATCACGAAAGGTTAAAGGAGTGAGGCAGCTTTATGTGTTTGACCGTCGTTACTGTCTCTGCATATGCCGTGTGTTACGGCATCATGATGCGTCAGTAGTGCGGAAGTCAGGGGTAGAGTTGCGGGCAGAGGAGGAAAATTAGTTGATGAGATTATGAAACTTCATCGACTGAGTTGGCCGGGAAATGTTTAACGCATGCCTAGTTAGTCACCGTCTGCCTCACCGTGGAATGTTAGCTGAAGTAGGTTTAGGTTGGAGAAAAGTTGAGTGATTAGACTAACACATGGCATCAGTGCATGAAGAATTTGAGTGTTAATGTGAGCCAGGGAGTGAAGTGTAGACTTCCTGTTGGGGTCCGCGATACAACAGAAACCAGTGGTTGTTGAATGTAGGTGATATATGGCTTGGAATTGATATCAGTGGCTTAGAGGCACCCGCACATCATTTTCATCTTCATACGGAATGCAGCATTTTCTCATCCTTACTTCCTCCCTTTTTCTACTTTAACTGATTCATCTTAATGTCATCTTAGTGCTCTCCCACTTGACGTGTTGATATGAGGTGTGGCAAGTGTGATCGTTAAGCAGTTATGCCTGGTTCTATTTCGATGATGATGATGATGATAGAGTGATATTAACCTTTTTTCACTGATAAGTGCATGGTGTAGGTCTTTGTCGTCGACTCATGGGTTGGTAGTGAATTACACAAATCACTGCGTCGTATCTAAGCTAAATCCACTTACTGTTATGCTTTAATTCGGTATGCTATTTTTGGTGTCATTTCCTTCAGATACATCTTAGAATCTGAGAGTCCTTAGATATCCAGAGCTAGTTGATAAGTATTTTCAATCAAGTTTCTTAGTATTTTCTTGGTTCAGAATTCGGTCTTATTGATAAATAGATTGATTACAGGTTAAGGCAGAAGAATAGTGATTTTGAGATATAAAATGTCCATGTTTTTTGGTTTAAATTTTATTTTTATTTGTTCATTTCGCTTTCTTCTTCCTCAGCGAATTCAGGTAGTGCTGATGAGCACCTAAATAACAAGGAACAGTGTTTAAAGGTGAATGATACTGTTTCATTAGGGTTTGAATCGATCACTCATGCAGACAATGAACCTATTCTGAACTGTAATCCAAAGGAATCTATTGATAAGAGAAATTCAGCTATGAAACCCGAACAATCAATTAGCGCACCATTAATCGCGTCAAAATCTAAAAAAGGTCTTTTTCGTCCAGATCGTACAAAATATACAGTAAATAATCACCCAGGTATGTCACTTTCTTTTCATATATCAAAATTGCACATGATAAGCTTATGAAATAACTTTATTTTAATTATGTAATGGGAGTTAACCTCCGTTTGACGGTTACACTCTTTAGCTATCAATAAAAATTCGGTGACTTCCTTAATTTTACCTGTTGAACAACAAAAGCATTGAGACTGTAACATTTGATCAAATAACGGAATTTTAGGTTGGAATTCATCATGAACTGACATCATTTGGAGAAACATTGGAAACCTGAGAGCACTGGACAGCTCTTTCGTCCTAGTATGGGAATTCTCACCACTGCGTACCCATGACCCCGACCCATCAGAGATACAACCCAGCACCTTCAGGTTCCGTGACCAACACGTTACCATTGAGCCACTAGGTCGGAATCCAATCATCCACATTTCCTACTTCTGTCACTTCACAACATAGCGCGACACCTACATCCAATGTCGTCGAAGAGTAACTATCCTCATGTTCGACTTGGTTGACTCCACTGGTCACTTCTATAAGCTAGTCACCAATGAGTGCTAGATTAGTTCTATTTAGAGGTATATTAACTGATTTTAGGTCGTGACTAGTGGAGTCAACCAAGTCGAACATGAGGATAGTTACTCTTCGACGACATTGGATGTAGGTGTCGCGCTATGTTGTGAAGTGACAGAAGTAGGAAATGTGGATGATTGGATTCCGACCTAGTGGCTCAATGGTAACGTGTTGGTCACGGAACCTGAAGGTGCTGGGTTGTATCTCTGATGGGTCGGGGTCATGCGTACGCAGTGGTGAGAAGTCCCATCTAGGACGAAAGAGCTGTCCAGTGCTCTCAGGTTTCCAATGTTTCTCCAAATGATGTCAGTCCATGATGAATTTCCACCTGAAACCACAAACCTCCGAATAGAAAGAACGGAAGTGTTTGTAATTTTTGAGTTGTTAAAGACTTGAATAATCTTACCTCGGATTATAGGCTAAAATAAGACAAATAAAATGACATCTTTGATGTGATATATTATAGTCTGTACGGTTGGTGTGTAAAACTCTTCATTGCATATCTGTTTTCATTTTTACGTGCTTCTAAAATTAACTGAATAAAAGTTTATTCATTTTTTATTCGAATGGAAAACTGGAGAAATTGTGAACTATCATTTCCGCTTAGCCTCACAAACGTAACTTTTCAACCACTAGTTGTTGAATAATTAATAAATCATGTTCTTGGCAGTACTTCATGTTTCTGGAGTTGTCTACTATTCTCTTGTTCTGCTGCCTTCAGATGATCCGTCTTCCGTATTTATCTCATGTTTGTTATTAGAATCCATACATAAGATATACAAACGATATAGAACTTAGCACAGCTATGCGTCTGTAAAAGTTGTCAAACTTGCACACTAATGTTGAAAATAAAGTGAACAAAAGGGTAGACACAAAATTTCAATTGATGATGTCCAAGGACACAAAAGAAGTAAAATTGATCAGTAGGGTAAACGGGTTATCTGCAATTCCTGATGAAGTGGATTCATACGATTCGTCTGTTTGATCTATCATACAATAATACCATGTATTACTTACTGAATGATGCTTCGAACACAAATCGTCCCTCATAATTATACCAAAGTGATATGATATGAATACGAGGAATGATTTGTGATGAAACATCATAGAGTAAATGATGGTTTATTACTGTGTGCTGTATCAAGTAAACTGGAAACGCACTCAGCAACCCTGTGCGCATTCATGCACTAGGCAGTGAACCACACTTGTTGTGTAAGGGCTTAAAATTAACTTATAACTGCTCAAACCTCGGTTGGTGGGGTGGTGTTCGAACCTATGACCCATTAGTTGAAAGTCAACCATCTAAACCTCAATGTCTAAGTTTTACTTATATGGATCCTCAAAACTGTCAAAACATCGGATGAATTCTCTAAAATATATGTTTTTTCATATCACCACTTTTGTCAATGACAAAAAGGGGAAATCGAACTTTATTACATTGTCGTTTACTGAAGTGTTAGAAGTGTATATCCTATTACTGCTCCCTGCGAAACTATGAATATTTGTTACTGTCTCACACCTAAGTATATATTCTTTAACTACCCACTCATTAAATAGTCTACCTATTATTTACAAGTAAGAAATAACTCAGTAGTATTAGAAGTTTATTATTTTCTCATCTTACTTTTACAGGTATTTAATGTAAGTTACACCATGATGTTAGAGGTTGTGCTCAATGCTACTGTTTGTGGAAAGATTTAAAAACTGATTTACTAACCACTACGCCTTTTTGTGTGATAACTCACGCTTAAAATTTTTACTGTCATCGCCGATATTTTTATCAACACATGGCGTTGAATAAAATATAACTGGTCATAACTGAGTTTGTTGTCAAAAATGTTTTGAGGAGTACTGATACGTAGGTTACGGTACTCATGTCCTAGGGTGGTTAGAATATCAATTAATTTGAACTTACCAGCTTGTATTAAGCTTGTATAAAGACACTTCCTAAGTACATGTAATTCAGTGATCTGACATTCGTATGAAGCAGCTAACACAAGTAATACTTCCATATTTATGTTTGTTGTGTGACTGGTTAATTTAATGCTATTCTCCTTAATTTGTAGGTACCGAACCCCCTGTGCAAGCATCAAATCATGATTGTGCTACACCTAGAGCTCATCTTAGAGCATTAGTTAAGCAGCAAAAAGAAGTTAGGAAACAAGAACGCAAACGACAAATCGAGGCCGAAAAAGAAGAGCGTCAACGAATTCAACGCAATCTACAAGCAACTGCTCTGGCAGCAGCAGCTGCTGCTAAGTTGCCTGTCACATCGAACAAGAAGATATCTGAACGTACTCCAGTTATCTCCAGATGTGAATTACAACAGATGAGAACATCTGTGCTGCCGGTATGCACTTTTTATAAATAGATGTAAGATGGAATACACTTATAAAATCTTACGGGCCATGGAAAATACCTAGGTTTTATATTCCAATGTTTCAGAAACAAGAAGAGTTCATGAATAACAGTCTTAACTCATGGATTTTATAACAATCTACTAGTTACAAAATGATAACTGGGGGAAGTATTTGTACTCAGAATGCAGTAAAACAAAATCCTCTTTTCTTGAATGACACGTGAAAAGGGCTCAGTCATTTTAAGTACAGTACTGTTATATCTGGTCAGCAAATCGGTTTGTCTCGTAATTAAAGGCGAAAATCTCATGTAGTTGCTTGTGGTTTACTATTTTCAAGAGTATGTGCAAAATAGTAGAGGAGAATGGATCAAAAAGGGAATGGCAACTAGCGACACGTATTATTTGAACGCTAGTGGCACTAATTTGTAGCTCAAACTTCGGTAGATGGAGTGTTTATGCCAATGCATAAAAGCCCCTCAATTTACATGAAAATTTACAGCTGCATTTCATATCAAATAAAATGCATGTTTTTATTGATAAATATACCTTTTAGCGGTGCTCACCCATGTCCCTACAGGGCTCCGACCCAGGACATTCAGGTTCCGTGACCAACACGTTACCATTGAGCCACCAGGTCGGAATCCAATCATCCACATTTCCTACTTCTGTCACTTCACAACATAGCGCGACACCTACATCCAATGTCGTCGAAGAGTAACTATCCTCATGTTCGACTTGGTTGACTCCACTGGTCACGACCTAAAATCAGTTAATATACCTCTAAATAGAACTAATCTAGCACTCATTGGTGACTAGCTTATAGAAGTGACCAGTGGAGTCAACCAAGTCGAACATGAGGATAGTTACTCTTCGACGACATTGGATGTAGGTGTCGCGCTATGTTGTGAAGTGACAGAAGTAGGAAATGTGGATGATTGGATTCCGACCTAGTGGCTCAATGGTAACGTGTTGGTCACGGAACCTGAAGGTGCTGGGTTGTATCTCTGATGGGTCGGGGTCATGCGTACGCAATGGTGAGAAGTCCTATCTAGGACGAAAGAGCTGTCCAGTGCTCTCAGGTTTCCAATGTTTCTCCAAATGATGTCAGTCCATGATGAATTTCCACTTGAAATCAATTAATAAATCTTGACAATCCTCCAGATTGAAATATACTTCTCAGCAGTTTAGTTCCAACTTTCACATTTGTTTGGATTTCTTAATTTAGAGCAGTTCAACAATAGTTTCATCTCTCTGAGTAGGTGATACTTTTTTCGTCTACATATTCAGAGATATGCAGATATAGATTACATTTCCTGAGTTGGTAGCTGAAAAGTTTTTTTTTTTTTACTGAATCTTCGTAGATTATCATTTGAAAAGTAACCAGTGCCTTCGATGAAAAGTTTTATGTTTTTAAAAATGTTCTACCTGCACAATTTAATAGAGTGCTAAAATGGTGAATGTGGCAAATTAAAGTTGTTCTGTTTGTTTCCAAATAGATTAATTGGTTTCCATGATGATATATTATGTTGAAAATTTGAATAAACCGAAATTAATAACAAAGACATCGCATTATTTGACAAAAAGATCATTAATTAAAAGAGCAAACTAAAAATGATATATCTCAAGGTTTTTTTTTGAATATTGTTTTCTAAACATTAACACAAAATATTTCGAGAAGTATCGGAGTAGTGCACAAGTTTTATCAAATTATGATTTTCATGACATTTTGTGTAAACGTTCAATTTATTTTGTATAGATTCATATTGAGTGTAGTAGTTAGTTGGCCTAAGATACTTACTTCAAGTCTTTGCTTTAAGTCACTTTGTAATCACTGATTAGTGTAATCTCATATGTCAACTGGAAATTCAAGTGCACAGTATATTCCGGTTAGTGTAACGAATTTCCTCAAATTACTGATCACTTTGGCAACCAATATTTATTTCAGACTTTAAAGGAAAATGAATAATTGGGGTGGAATGTTGGAGCTAGTTTGTATGAGTGGTCATAATTTCCAACGAGGATAAACAGAATTAATTGTGGAAGTAAATTCCGTAGTCGCTTAACTTTATTGCTATGATGTAGATTAGATACTTCTGAAATTTTCATCTCATCATTCTTCAACTTTTTATCGGTATGTATTACGGTCATTTTCACAGCATACACTTTGATATGAGCATAATTGGAGATGCATTTTTCACCAAATGTTTTTTTTCTCCAGTTGAATTCCTACTCTTCGGAACGAGAGCAGAAATTGGAAGAGCTTCTAAGGCGTGAATTCTTGACACAAGAGCTTCACACAGTTGCATGTGTGCCTCCCACTAGTTCAGGTCGAGAACCCAAACACTCTGCGGACCAGGATTTTAATGAAACGACAAAAGTTAAATGTAAAGCAACGGAGACCATGACAAAGGATTATTTCCTCCCTCATCGATGTCACGTAAAACGAAACACCTTGATTACTTCACACACATCAGGGGATGTTAGTAAGTGATTTTATTACGTTATATATACGTCTTCAAATATCTTTAATCTTGCACTTTTCTATCACTCTAGGTTCAGCATGGTGCATAATTTGATATTGAATGATTCAAAACTCTTTAAGGCATAAATAATTATGAAGATATCATGAGGAGGCTTTATTGGAAAGCGTTGAACAAGTAGCCAGGCATGACGGGGTAGAGGTTATCAAAGATTGAATAAAACGGAAATAAGTTTAACTAACAGTAGGCTTTTGTTAGGTCTATCATATCATACCTCCACACTTTGCGACTACTAATAGTTGGCATTTCCCTGATTTAGTAACTTGTTTGATCTTATTGCCCCATTTTCTTCATTTTTAAAGCAATAGCTTTTGATAGTCATACATCCATCTTACATATCTTTCAATTCCAGCAGGTAATAGTCTGCTTCGTTTGATTACGCAGTATTCTCACTCTTCTGAAGAGCGAGAATACATTGCAGTACAACAACTTCACGGAGATGATATAGAAAACACCCACAATTTGATCAACAACGTTTTTAATGACATCAGATTCACAATGGAGAAAGAGTCAAGTAATCAACTACCATTCCTGGATGTTCTGGTCAATAGAACAAATACGGGGAAGCTGGAAATCCAAGTGTACAGGAAGCCAACACACACTGACCAAATCCTCAACTACAATAGCAACAACCCAACGACACAAAATCAGTTGCGTGCAGACTCTATTCAAGAGAATGAGAAGACATTACAGTACAACAACTTCACGGAGAAACGAAGAAAATTACTTGATATCCATCCTGAAGAAGAACGGCTACCCATAAAAATTTATCAGAAAATTCCTATCCCGTACATCACCAACTACAAAGTCATCAACAGAAATCAATAAACGCATCATCCTACCATACGTAAAGAATATATCAGAAATCATGACAAGATTGCTGAAACCACTTGGAATTGGTGTGGTTCACAAACCAACAAATTCCCCCCAAGCACTATTATGCAGACCAAAGGATGTGACAACCAAAGAAGACAAACCGAACTGTAGTCAACACTACATTGGACAGAGTGGTCATCCTCTTCGCCTTCGTCTACATGAACACCAATTGGCTATTAAACGCCACGACATTTCGTCACTCATTTCAATGCGCGTGTATAATTATGGACATGAATTCAATTTCGACAATGTAGAAACCTTGGAAGGAGAGGGGACACACAAAGAATGTCAGAGAATTCCTAGAAGCGTGGCATTCAGGTCAGGCAGTCAGCAACCAATAGATGTATAGACATAGACCCGATCTGTCAACCAATAAGAAAAATGATAAAGGACAGAAAGGTCAGAGGTGAAGCAGAGGAGCAGCCAACGGGAAAGTCTATACAATAAATGACACAACAATCGAAGGAAACAACCAATCACAGACCACTTCGTCAAGGCGAGCTATCAAATCACGCATGGAGAGATATTGACAGCTCACTTGATACTGAAGTTAGTGCTGACGATGTCGTGTAGAAGGACAATGAAAGCTTCGCGACTAAACAACCCAGCCCAGAGAACACAATGTAATCAAGACCACTCACCTGAGTTGCAAATATTCTCTACTATTTCAGAATGCGTCTGCGCTTCACCTAGATCGACCCTGAGCCGTGTTATCTAGTCTCCAACTGCTGATTCATGTTGTTATGCGGACCCCAAACGGGAAGTCTATATTTCCTTACACAACATAGACCAACAGTCAAAGACTTTATTAACTGATGCGACGTATTACTTTAACAGTATTCCAGCATGAACCTACTTCAGTCAGTATTTCATGCCGCAAAGCAGATGGTGACTAGGCATGAACAAAACATGTCCTAGTCAACTCAATCGATGAAACTTTACAACCTTATTAATTGACATTATTCTTCTGCCTAAAACTTTACGCTTGGCTTCTACGTTACTGTGGTGACACATCGACACAGCCTATGCAGTATTCCTAGTTCATAATCCATACAATGGTTAACACAAAAGCAATCAAAAGTTGAAGTTAAAATAGGTAACTATTTGTGAAAATCACAATTGTATCCCATAGGTAGTTATACATTCAAAGGATTTGTAGAATGATTACCATCTGCTGATTTCATTTAATGCACAAGTTTATTTTTTAGATTTTGATTGATCATTTTAATAATGATACGTTAACCCACATTTTTGGCTGATAAAAACTACCAACAACTGAGAATAAATATCGTTTATATCATTAACTTTTGCATCTTTCAGTGTTGACTAGAATTTATAGATTAGGCTTAGCTAAAATTACTGCTTCATAAACTTTATAGGTGGATCACAGAAGCTCAGATTTATTGAGAGATTATTATCATTGATATTTTGAAGCTGTTATATTATTGTGAACTCTATTTGTTTATCCACTCTCTTAGCTTGGAAAATGCGTTCTACTGCTGTTGTTGTAGAGCTTTAATACTGCTACTCTTAAAGCTCAGCCGACTTTTGGGTGGTAGTTTTTAAGAAGCAGTACATTTTCAGTGTTTCTGGTCGTAATTCCGTCAATGTCTTCACAACAAGTTGCTAACTTCTCGATAATTCAATAATTGAGCATTCAGTTTACGTTAATGTTAGTTTTCTTTTAGGATTATTAACTTGGTTGGCTTTCTTTTATTGACCTTAAGGTTTCTTGGTTTATATGGAAGAAGTTATCTGATTTAATAGTAAAGTATTAGCACTAAACTATCACTGTTCTGCTAATTTTCCACTCTTTTGATTTTGCGTAAAAGATGATTGGTTTACTGAAGAGATCGGTGTATTCTGTTTGATGTTTCGCTCTACAATGTATTTTTGTTTTTAGTTCCTAAACCACGAAAATCTGACAAACTGGACTGTGGCAGCTTGTCGAACACGCATAAATTTGAGCCGATTTCCAACTCAAATTTAACCCAAACACAGCAACATACTCAGGAGGAGAAATGGTTTCACACTAATGGTCTACAGGTTGGAACGGTTACAATGGCACCTGCTAAGGAAAAGTCATGTGAATCCGGTGGTGATCATGGTCTCCGTGAGTATTCATTATCCGTCGTACTTTTATAATAATAAAAATAATAATCGCTTTATTCCAAACAACATGTATAACACAATATGGAATTCTCACTATGTAATATTTCAACAAATTCTCCACCTATACGACATTTAAAAAAATAGTTATTCCCTGTGAATAGTATTGACAATAACAGTATTAAAGGTACTGAAATGAAATGAGTAGTTGGTGTTACATCGCGTCTGGTCTGGACTCGAGAATGAATACAAAATGGAGTATAATTTTTGGTGGTTGTAGTTTAGTCAGCCAGCACAGAAATCTACAATTCGATATAGCTATCGTAAGCATAGTAATGTACTGTATTTTTGAGCATTTATGAATCCTTTTCCATCCGACGTAACGTATTTCCTCTGTATTGTTCTTGGCTTGAAAAATGGCAGCTTGAAAACATTTTATACATGTACAAAAGTGCATAATACGTTTAGAAGACATAATCGAAAGATCCAAACAAACTAAAAGGGAAAGATTTGATGAAATATATTTGGTGGAAAATGTTTACTAGCCCAAGGTTTAAGCATGCCGCTCTGTATCATTTCAAAGAAATAGGAATACAGTCAGCTAATTATCAAGGGTTCAGTATTTGTCCCACCTTTTGTGTTCAGCAAAAGATGTCTTGGGACAATCAAATGATGAAGTATATTCTTAAAAGATGCACCCAACATACTTGGCATATAGATCAAGATTATAAACAGTATTGTGATATAAGATTGTGGTGTCATCCAGAGTGCTTCTTTTGCTTTTGTATGCAAATTTACTAGCCTAGGCACTTGACTTTAAATCAATAAATCAGAGGTTCATAGGGTGCTCTTCACATTCTAAAGTCGTGGTGGACAGGTGTTATAATTAGTTGTCACAAGAGATGTACGTCATTGCCTACAGTAAAATGTGTAGGTGGCTGCTTTGTTGTATTTCATTTCGTTTCAGCTATTCAGATACACAGCAGCTTAATTTGCTTTCTAAAATTTTAGCACTGTAGTTTCATTGATGATAGTATCATGTGTAATTCTGTCTATGAGAACTGAAATCCGCTTTCAGGTTCACAAAACTTTTTTTATCGCAATTGTTTACTTCATTGTCAAAGTCGTTATCGCTGAGCACTGTTCACTAATTAGTCTGTCGGTAAATCATCCAGTTGTCTTTAAATTCATGGAATGATGTCGTTTTCTTATTTCCAAAACTTTGTACAATCACAACTCTGTATCTTATGTTGAAGTATACGATGAGGTGTACTACGTTGCATTATAACTGTTTGATTTCACTAACAGTTACAAGGCCGACCATATGATTAACCTACGTTATTTACCAATCTTGTGCATGACCTCAACATTTATTTGTCTTTGATTTGATCAAATGTTGTCTGTGTTGGCGGTAGCGAATCAGACGTCAAAGAAGTTCAGTAGCGCGATCTCTAGTTCGCTTATTTGTTTTTTTATGTATACAATTCACTTCTTTTCAACTTAGCATTCTTCATTTTAACTGATTGATTTTCGTCTGTACTGAGTATTGTTTTTCCAAAACTCTCAACAAGAAATCCGTTAATGTTAAACAGAAACTTTTTATGATGGTGTTGGTACTCTACTTGTGATCATTCATGGAGTTGAGTTGTTAACATTACTCCCTTTAACCTCTGTTAATTCTTGTATTGTTCTAATTATAGGTCTGTGCAAAAATGGACTACCTAAAGCAAAATCTCATCAGCAAAATTTTGACAATGACGTCGCTTCGTCTATTTCTCGTTTACTGGCGACGAACAATGCATCAAACTTCTCAGGAGATGGTAATCGTTATTCCAGAACACAAAAACGGTACGCAATGTGTCCATACACATGGGTTGTGCTTTATTGACCATATTTATGTACTGTCATTTTCGACCAATATTTGTTACATTGAAGTGGTAGTCAAGTTCTCACATTACAACAATCCAACGAACTGTACTAGTTGAAACAATTGTTGCTGTAGGCCCTACAATACCGGGGAGGTTTGTTAGATAGCGGTACGAAAAAAAGCAGTTACTATCGTAGTGTAGTTAGCTTACTCTATAGTTGGAAGTCAAAATTGTACGGCTGACCGTATTGGGTGTGGAGCAGTAAAGTGTTTTCTGCAGATGACCAGGATTGCAGTCTCATATCAACTTCCTTTATCACAAAAGGATGGGTTAGAAAGGGTTATTGCTACAAGTAGTACATGTTTCTCTGTCCTCTGGTTTTCGGTGCTGGTGGCTTTTTCTAGTACGGATAAACTGCAATCACTTCTAAGTTGAATACTACTCAATAAGATATAAGTGATCAGCCAGAAATAGATGTATGTTTAATTCTTTGTTCATGCACCCGGGTTTTTAATATCACCCTTACTAATTTGCTTTCCTTTTCAGGTACCCTAAGAGAAAGTACCCTTCCACTTTGTGGGTAACCGGGATGTTTTAATCACCATTGTAATTCTGTCACCACTGTAGCACCCTTTGATTACCAACCTCCTATATTATTGCCTTCAAATATTTCCCATGCTTCATGGTTAATGACTGCACTTCATCCTCAATTTCTTCCATCTATGCAGCCCATGATAACAGTATGAGTTCACGTAACACTTCGCATGGTTTCCTGAAACCGTGCTTTAAACTGCATATCGGAGCTCTCAGTTTCCGCACATTCCGTTCAATTGACCGACAAGCTTCGCGAGAACTCTGACATCTTGGACCATAGATGTGTACTGTGTTCATAATATACTCACACAAGACCTAAGTTCGCTTACTGACTTAACCTCAACTGGTCGATCTGTTCAGTCTACGAAATTCACTCTGGAGACTCGATTAATTCTCGTTCTTGCAAGTGTAGGTATACCATTGAGTGCTAAGACATAAATTGCACTGCTCAATTTGGTCCCATGTGACAGTCACCCATTCGTTAAGACTTGTTGACTGTCAGAAAGTGATTAGAAAGGGCCAGCGAATCTCTGCAGTTTCTTGTGAATGCATTCATACAGGCTGTGAGCATATTGGGGTTCGGACGCAACTAAAATGTAAACTGACAAGAAGTCTTTGAAATGACTGTAAGCAGCAGGTTGTTGGAAGTATAGTACTTTAATGAAATGGCTTTCAGCAGGCAGATGACTTTAGGCTTTATATACGAACTGTCTGGAACGAACCAATCATACAATGAACTAGAATTGAATTAATGGAAACATTACTCAAGCATGTAGTTAGTAAAAAGCATCGTGTATTTATATAAGGCAGACTTCTTATCCTTGTGTTCTGACTGCAGAATGACTTCATTCATATTCGTTTCCTTTTTTAGACCATATTATTCTGAAGAACTCAAGGTTTGTCGACCTAACCGACCACGAACTATCAGCGATCATGTTACCGAAGCTGCTCGTTTAGATATAAAGCTGAGCACTCAGAGGGTAAAGCACATGCTTGTTGTCGATTCAGATGATGATTCAGATGGTGATCAGCACTTTGAAGACGATGTTGATGATGATCATGATTCACTACCTTCATCATATGGTGTGATTAAGAAACCAGTAAGTAACTTTTGGAGACAGTTGGAAGCTGTTGGACCTAGCGAATCTGAAATTGAGGAGGATAACGTTTGCATCGTTGAAGATATTCAGGTTGGTTGATTTCCATAGTTATTATATTCACAAAGCAAGAGTAATATTTGTCACACTTCGAATTGTTACTTATCAACTTAACACGCTCACCTTTATTTCAATTTTAGTAAATATTCATTGTCTTACCGAGTTTCCGGTAATTCTTTGTGATTACTTATGATCTTTCAAACAGGTGTTATGTTAACGGATAGTAAAATTTAATGTCTAAAACACCTTCCGTTTAATCCTACTAGTTGAAATTCAACTAGGCCTAAGATTTTTTTTGTCTGTATTACCGTCCTGTTCTTTACTTTTTCTTGTTCATTAATTGATTTTTTTTATTCTATCATCTGTGCTGGTCAAAATTTTTATTTTTCCATGGCTATAACAAATTAAACGTAACATCTACTATCAACGTTTTTCAGTTTTCGGTGTTTAAATCCCACAGAAACTTCGTGTATCAACAATGGTATCGAGTAGCTATATTATTTGATGTTTACCAGTAGTCGCTGCTACCCAATGTTACGAAGGTAAATTTTTGTAGCTCACTGGTTTAGGAAGATGACTTTCAACCAGTGGGTCACGGGTTCGGAGCCTGCTCTAGCTATCGGGGTTTATGCAGCCAGGTAGTATCACTAGCCCTCACATGGTAGGTGTGGCTCAGTGCTTAGTGCACCAGGTGACTGAATGCGTCAATCCTTTTTTTCCGAAGTACGATCCTATCGTATTAAGTCGAGTTCTACCGAGTATATTTTACTTGTTTTTATTATCATTTAGGATGATGGGATTTTAGACAGTGTGTCTGGGCACCGTAAAAGTTTTTCAGGACACTATATTAATGGTGACAATCTTCATCGGACAGATGCCAGTCACTTTGTGAAAGATGTTCAGGCTAGAAATGAATTCCGAAATCATATATACAGTGATCCTTTACGCTTTGTGTCTGTACACAAACGTCAACAGAAGCTGCTTCATCGGTGAGCGTTTCCCATATAAATAAATAAAGTTCTCTCTATTATTCATCTAATAACACTGCTTAGCGTTCACTGTTGTAAAGACAAATGCATATGAGATGTTGTGTCTTTTCAGAGGAGGAAAAAGTCACTTCCGGTCATTTGGAATTGAGGTGAACCATTCAGAGAAGACAGAAAAGTATGCCCGAAACAACGTAGACGGAAGTACTTCAGTACGTCCTCGCGATGTTAGACGGAATACCTTCGTTACTACCAACAGTCAGGTAGTCACTGTAAGTAGTCTGTTTGTCTTAATAAGTAGTTACTTCCTTGTTAAAACTCGTTACCTTGTAATAATGTGTTTTGTTATGTTAGGTGGAATGTTCGGAATCAACAAAAGAAAATATTTTATCCATCAAAACCGACGAACAAGAGTTATTCACTACAGAAGAAAAAAATTGTAGTCAGTCCGATTCCCATCAACAAATATCAGATAATTCTTTTCCTATGGATCCTCAGAGACGTGACCCTTTTTGGCATAAAGCTGTTAACTCATCTCAACCGAGGCTAACTCCTGCTGCACTCAATCTCCAGTTAACTGCTGAAATGAATTACCTTGAAACACTAGCTGGTTCAATGCAGCACATTGCTGATATGGAGTCTCTACGTCATATTACTGCAGCTCAAGCCGAGTGTGTTAGTCTAGCACAAATGCTAAAGGTTAGTAATCTTCCTCAGATTTTTATTTGACCTTTGTAAGTACGTCACTTTGTAACGCGTCTATGCTTGCAGACTGTGTGAATCGATTGTGTCATCATCTCCTGTCGGCTACTTTCACGTTTGAATACTCATTTACAGGTTAATGTACTAAATTATAGATTACGTCTGCACTTTACGGGTTTAGGAATGTACTACTTGAGTGCTGTGTCATAGCAGACGTATAAGATATGGAGCCACGACTCAATTGTTGACCCGTTGAGCACACACGTTAAGTTGAAACTTCACGCATTTAAATGGGATTAAACTACCTAAAATAAATTATATGTGATGATATAATTTGCCTAGTGGTGATTATCATGTGAAATTGAAGATGTGCGTTCTCTCCTACGTGGGATTTATCTACTGGAATTACCTGCGCTCCAATGAGTGATGTTCCCGCTGAGATTCGTACTCAACACCTATCCCTTCAAACTCCAGGTCAAGCCACTACCAAGAAAATTACATAATGAATCTTGAGGCGATATCGGTATATCCACACAAGAGCCAATATGCCAACAGGCGTCGATCAGTTCGGTCCTACATGATAATGAACAGAAAATTGCAAGTATCAATTAATAACAGTTGATATATCTTCTTATCTTTTACTTAATAGATTTTATGATTTAATATCAACGTATAGTACGTGTTATTCTTTTGTTTAATTGTCGCTAAGTAGTCAGTTATGAAATCCTATTTTATCAGTATGAACTATGAAATTTATGTTCTTTATTATGACTTGTGACTTTTATTCATTTCGTTTTAATCAAGGCTCGTGAATTGCAAATATCGTCAAAAGATAGTAATAAAGTGTTGGAAAAAGAAACACAAGTATCTGGAACAGTATTTGTCACTCCTGAATCAGGTGGTCTCATTTCTGGTGTTCACTCTCCTCAGTTTCAAGATATACTGAAAGCTGCTGAAGAATTCGATAAGGTATATAGCAATATTTCCTCAGTTGTATGTACAAACTGGTAAAAAAAAGATTTCACACAGAATATGCATTTCTCCCAATTTTTAGAGTGTGCTTTTCTTATGAATGTTAATAAATCGCCAAATGTAGGTTTAGCCACAAATAACATTAGTTGTAAATATTTGAAGGAACATTAGATAAGTACTAGTTAACTATTCTCACCTACTATGATTCCTTAATACTTACCTCAATGTACAATGCTAGGGGAAGTCGGGTTAGGTTGGAAGAGGGTTCAGCGTGGCCAGATCAAGACGTGAAACGAGTCTCTTACTGTTAGTCTGAGCTGTGTAGGGAGGTGCCGACCACCTGCCTGTGGTCCTCTAAATTATAGGTATCATTGACTGAGAACTCTTCGTGACATGCGTGAAAATCGGTCACAATGGCCCAGGTGTACTCACTGTTTGATGTCTTCTAGAACTTGAATGTTATCATTAACCTTTATTTTCAGATTGTTTATTTTCTCACATAACTTCATCTACTTTGATATCACCCTTTGTCTATCCACCTGTTATCTGTGTACTACTGTGAAGTATGGCAACTTGAATCTCGCACTTATGTGCTGTGTTCTACGCTGATTCTTTCTACTCTCCTGTCCTTAATACATAAAACGGTTTCGTATGCATTTCTAACCAAATTCTCAAGTTTAAGGCACTAGATTGTCATCAAACCCCTATTTCAGAAAGTGATATCAGCTTCTGTAATACTATTTTCGTCTGTTTATTAGGTGTCACATAATGAAACGCTTATTTACTGTATGACGGAATAAAACTGAATTACAATCTACCACAATGCCCAAGTTCTACTCTTATATTAATTTTTATGATAGTCTTAAGGCCATTCTCAAATATATTTACTTTGAACAGTCGTTTTTACCTTTTTTTTCTTTAATGTATATGTTGAAGTGCTAGTTTTTTGAATGCGTAAAAGGCAACGCATACTTTATTATGCAGACTCTTTTTGACTTCATATTCTCTCTGCTACTCCTTCATTTCTGTTCTGTTTGTCTTTTATTTAAGATTGAACGTCGTCTTAGCGTGAAGACTTCACACTTGGGTTCTGTATCTCACCATTCTTCTGAGTCACCTTCCATCAACTCAAAAATTTCGAATCAAACAATTATACAGAAATCTTCATCAGTAAATGAGCCTCTTTCCGACACATCTTTTGAAGGTATGACATGTAACTTACTGAAAAGTAAAGTTTGATCGATTTCTTTTCATAAAAGTGCTGCTTTTTGATTTAATTTTCAGTTTTTATAGCCAAGTTATTGAAATCGATTATTGTTCGCTGTTATATTTCGTTTGATGATGATGATGTCCTTAGTACATATCGCCCCTTATTATCTTAAAGAACAAGTAATGTATTACTCTTCTACATATATTTAATTTTTAAGTATTTTGGTGTTGTGTTCTGTGAGCTTGATGGTTTAATCAAAGTTATCCTCCTGACCTATGAATATTCTCCGTATCTCAACTTTGAAGTAAATCTGTTGAATGTAGTTGGACCACATCCGGCCGATAGCTGGTACCTCGACGTAGTGACTAGCCTTGCATATCACAGTGACCCAACGAGCTACACTGGCTGAAATTCGTGTTCCCTTGAGGTCCTACCATACCAGAAAGGTCTGTTAGATAGTGGTAAGACGGAAAGCAGTTACTATTGTAGTGTAAATTGTTACACTATAATAGGGGTCCGAAGGCTAAGTCGTACTGCTGGGTGGGTGGGGTGCGGTAATAATAAATTGTTTCCCTTGGGTGGCCGGTAGTGCCACGCTGATGCTACCCTCCCTATGGGAAGGTGGGGCTGGGAAACATCGGTCACAGAAAGAGTACACTCTTCCCTGCTTCACGGTCTTCCGCTGCTGGCGGTATGGATTTTCTCTGCCCGGCGTTAGAACAACCAAATCTTAAAACAACAATCCCCAAAAGGCTATGTGTATGACAGGCCTCAATCAGGTGTCCCGTGGGCTCTGCGGTCACACAAATATTTTTCTCGAAGAAGGAATAAACTTCCACGGTGTGGGCAGTCGTAGTTGTGGTCATTGGTTCAGAAGGATGAATTTCAACCAGTGGGCCACGAGTTCGATCGCCACTTCACCTACCGAGGTTTAGGCAGACCGGTTGTATCATTAACCCTAACACAGTAGATGTGCCTCACTGCCTGTTGCATGAATGTGCACAAAATTACCGAGTGATTTCGGTTTCTGCATGAACAGCTGGGAGGTGTCAATTGCGCTCACAACGTTGTCCTGCACTCAAACTCTCCCAGACCACTGCCACATTCTTACCTTCCAATCTTCCTTCACATCTCCCGGTCAATTATCCTACATCATCTTTAATTTCTCGGTGCTCTGCAGCTCTTGAAAACGATCTGAGTTCTCAGAACAGCATTCTTAGTCTCTTAAGATCGCGCTCCGAACTACACATTGGAGCTTTTAACGTCTGCAACCCCTCTCAAGTTGGCAGCAAGCTTCATTCACGTAAAGTGTAGCAGCTTAGGCCATGAATATATTCTGTGCTTGTGAGGCAGGAACACATTACCAAAGCGTGGTTATTCACTTAACCTCACCCAGTCAATACGGTGAATCCGAAAAATTCACTCTTCGAGTTTTTTAAGACTCGATGGCTGGTTCTCACAGTCTTGCAGGTGTGTAGGTATGGCATTGAGCACTGGGCAAAGAGTTTTTTATTCGACTGGATCTCAGTTGACAGTCACATGTGCGCTGTTCGACTGAACAGCCCAGTGAGGACTGAAAAGAATAGTGAAATTCTCCGTTGCCTCTTTGTGATCTCTGCTTACACATTGACTGCAGTTCGAATAGAGTGAAGGATGAGTTCCACCAAAAACTGTCTACCCCCCTACCGAAAACTAAGCGTTAAGATGTGATAGTGGTAGAAATGCACTCAAGTGGCACTTTCGGAATCGCAACTGAACGGAAGGATAATGGTGATCAGCCTACTACAACTGTGTTCAGACTCATTTACTGCCAGCTAGTACAAACTTCAGATATAAAGAAAGACACTGACATGGTGTCCACTTACCTCAACTAGTAGGTGAACGCAAGTAGACATTGCTATCAGTCATCGCTGGAGAAGGTCGGAGGAAGTCTGCCACTCCTTGTGGATCACGTGCTTGGACAGCGACCACACATTGGTCCCAGCGCATGTATGTCTGCTTCTCAGTAGACGTAGGAAAATCTTAGCAACAAGACCATTGCGAGTGCAGATCGACAGTGAGAGCACTAAGGCCGCTTTCAATTAGAAATTGGCTAGACGGTTATCGGAATACAGTAATATCACTGGTTCGGAAAATGCTTGGCGGCATCTCCTGTCCGTTGTAAAAACAGCCTTGAATACCGTAGCCGACTGTCATAGAGTGGTTTTAAAGAACCAGTGGATCTCAGTAGCTTCTTCTGAAATTAGGGGTGCACGCGAACGCATCGCTGCAGGCACAATGAGAAGCAAACCCAGCTCAAACGCAGACTGACAATACGTCTACGCAATAACCACTAACAGTGGTGGCCAGGCGATGTAAAAGGCAGCCACGATAGGTAACAGTTGACGGTTGTTTAGACGTATTAAAGAAATAGGTGACTGAAGAGAAGGGTGGGTCTGCGATTCAGTAGCATGGGAGGCGACTGGAATAATGTGCAGAACGTTCCGAGGAACAGTCCAACTGGCCTCCAGCTATTTCTTTGTTCCCCACTATCCAGTTACAGCTTGAACAGAACATTGAGATAGGATCCCCAACACTTTGAGTTGATATAACTGTTGGTGGTTTGAAAGAAGAGCGATCAGCAGGGCTAGACGGACTAGTATCAGAGGTATTTAAAAACGTTAATAAGTGATTTTGAGTCCAGTTAACTGAAGTGTTTACTGGCATGAGGGAGTCAGATACGATGGCCTCTGACTGGCCTCAATCACTGATCACCCCAGTCTTCGACAAGGGCGAGAGTCAGCCTGACCAACATGGTGTCTAAGATTCTAGGTTGTATAATCATTGGATGCCTGAGTGGAAGTCGGAAACAGGGAATCCTCAAAACCAGACCAGTTCCAGATGGGAGCGTGGGTTTATCAACCAAATATTCGCGCTCCACAGGTTCTGGAACATAGGCTGACCTGTCAACACTGGGTGTATTTCTCGATCATAAGGCGGTATCTGACGCCGTCGATTGGGATGTCTTGTGGGTGTCTGTCACTGAAAGGGGTGCAGATTAAGTGCATCACTCTCTCGACGGCTATGTGCTGGAACACTCGCGATCTTGTTAGAGCCCATGGTGAGTTATCAGATGAGGTGTGTACATCAGGCGGTATCCGTCAAGAATGCTCACTTTTTCCATTCTTATTTACTTTTATCGTAGGTATTGTCTGAGAGATCTCCATCTCATCGTTCATCTTCACAGAAGAATGTTTAGTAAACGCAAAATAATCGTGTTAGGCGAAGATGATACCAAGATACAGAGTTTTCTGAATCCCTTGAGTGGAAATTTGAGAATGTTTGGGAACTGTTTCTCGCCACCGAAATGCAAATTGTTGGTACAGAACTAATTTCCAGTGGTACCCTGGTTAACTCTTATGAGTGAAGTGGTTGAGAGCGTTGACCACTTCACTTCAGATCAACTGTGGGATATCACTGACTGACAAAATGTTTGCACAGATGCAAAAGACCCACTCAGCCTTCTCTGTGATATCTGATTATCTCTTAAGAGTCGAGTGTGCTACACTGCCGTCCTTTCTGTTCTTCTGTATGCTTGTGAATAACGACCATTAACGGTAAAGTTGGTGAGGCAGCTTGATGTATTTGACCGTCGTTGCTTTCTCATAAGGCGTGTGTCATGGTATCATGACGTCTAATGAGGAAGTCAGGTGTAAGGATGCAGGCCAAAGAGGGAAGTCAGTTGTTGAGATTGTGTAACTTCATCGACTGAGTTGGCTGGGAAATGTTTTACGCATGCATAGTCACCTTCTGCCTCGTCATGTAATGTTGGTTGAAGTAGGTTTAGGCTAGAAAAGGGCTGGTACATGGCATCATTCCATGAGATCTTGAACCGTTAGTTTGATCCCAGTAAGGAGATGCAGATTAGCTGGTTAGGATCCATGTGACAAGGGAAACCAGTGGTTGGAGACTAGGTGGTGTGGCTGCGAATCGATATCAGTGGCATAAACCTATCTACACTTAATCTATATATTAACCACTATACTGAACTCAGGAATTTTCTCATTCCTCCTTCCTATCTGTCACTGCAGCCTACTATTTTTGACCAATTTTTCCTTCTTCATCTTTATTCTTACGACTTTGTTAGTTGTTGTGTTAATGTGAGTTGTGGTAACTTGAACCATTGTACAATAATGTTTCGTTCTTTGCTGATATTGATTTGATTGGATCATGAACAGATTACAAAAAGATAGTCACACTTCCTAATCGATTTTTACAGTTATGTTTATTTTAGTTCGTCGATTTAACGTATCGCCTATTAAGACAGTATCAAAATTTTACCTCGACATTATTCAGTTGTCTCTTTTCTACCTCTACTAGAATCTGATTCAACTAGAAAACAGTCATCTCTGAGAAGTAACAAAACTATTTCGAATAATGATGTCAATTCAGGTGTAGAATGTGTTATAACTGCTTCAGATTCTTCTGATAAATCATATAATTCTTTCACTGGCACTGATGTTGGTTGTACTACTGCAGGAGCTTCTGTATCTGAGGTATTGAACATTACACCAACATCTAAAAATATTACACCTTGTGATGTTGAGGAGAAGAAGGGCGTAAGTATCTTTTATTTTCTGTTTTATCTGCTATTATTTATATGAAATTCCTTGTGTTCGACGCCTTATGATACTATTTAGCAGGTGTGTAGAGGCATTCTACCCTTATACTTCATTTTTCAAGTTTATTGTTTTGAGAACTCTCAATTTTGCTCTTGTTAATTAATTCATGGATTCAACAGTGACATGCTTGTCAAGTGTTTTTAAGGGTGTAAATTCTTTAGCTCTTAGTCTTACAATACGCCTCATAACTAGTTGGTTGGTTGTTTCATAGATTGATGAAACATTGCATGTTTCTACCTGAATGCTAAAAATTACATTTCTTCAATATAATAATTAACTCACTTGAATTTGATTACAGTTTGAAGATCGACAGCTGATATCAGTGGAGTTTAATGTTGACACCGACTGTCCAATTCAACGTGATGAAATCAACGATAATGATACTCGTTTCAAGAAGTCAAATAATCAAGAACAAAATAAGCGACGAAAATCAAAACAATCTAACCAAAATGAAAAGTTACACATTAAGTCGATTGGTATTCCTATTCTAGATTTATGTGCAGTTTCACCTGATAGCTCTTGTCAAACGGAGAGGAATGATGAATTTAACCAAGTTAAATAGTGAGTTAATAATTTGTTTTTTTGCACAAGTATTTTCTGACTCATTGATTAACCTATTAAATGTTCTAGGGTTATTCCTTCTATTATCCCGTCGTTTATTGAACCGAATTGATCGGTCTCTATTGGCATATGGACTCCTGCGTGGATGTCTCGATGTTGCCTGTTTTAATTATATGTATTGATGATGGATAGTAGCTAGCAGTGGAATCTAGGACACGCATTTCATCCTATTCGGGACTCGTCAGCTGGATGTGCCTGCCTCCCAGTGAGTGATATTGTTCCCACAAGGACTTGAACGTGGGACCGACCGCTCCAAACCCCAGAGCGTCGTCCACTAGACCACCGAGCCACGTTAGCCACTTGTGCGATGGGTATAGTTTTGGTGTTATTGCTTGGATAGTACGAGTTCCGGTGGGAACAATATCACTCACTGGGAGGTTGGTACATCCAACTGACTAGTCCCAAATAGGATGAAACGCGCGTTTTGGACTCCACTGCTAACCACTACCCATCACCAAGACATATATTCTATGTTCACTCACTGAATCATGAGTTTACTATCACTTTGGTTACACTTAATGCATTCCACACCACCATGTAGCTTCGTCATCACTCACCACTCATGTGTAAGAACAACATCCGGATTTTTAACACTAATATCAAGTAAGTGCTGCTATATGGTTCAGAAACTTGGCGTATCACGAAAAGCATTTCCAACAAACTACAAACATTCATCAACAGCTGCCAACGCTCGAGACTGAAGATCAGATGGCCAGAATAATAAGAATAAGCAACAAGGAACTCTGGGAACGAACCAACCAACAACCCATCGCCCAATAAATATGCAGAAGAAAGTGGAAATGGATTGGGCATACTCTGAGAAAACCATTTGGGGACATCACGCGTCAGCCCAGACCCACGAGTTGAATGCAAAGGGGAAACGACGAGTTGGACGTCCTAAGGTGACATGGAGGAAATGGTGTGAGGAAGAGATGAAAGCTTGTGGTCAGTCGTGGAGCCAGCTTGAAAAGACTTCAGAGAACAGAGTGCAATGGAGACATGCTACTGAAGCCCCATGTTCCACTAGGAACCCAAAGGACAAATAATAATAATAATGACAATAATAATATAGTAATTCATGTGTAACTCATAGTTAAATGTTAAAAAGGGGAAGGTGGTCACTAAAATGTTTTTTTGTCAGTTGTGAGGTGTCGCCAACGAATTTTCTATGCTAATATATTCTTACTTTTAATTCGTGAAATATGTATGCCTTTGGCTTAGATTTTAAAATATTAGTAAAAATGGAGTCTTTAGACATGCGTAGTTTCGCAATAATATGTTCTGATTATTCTACACTTCATTATATCGATATACCTAGTGTAGTTGTTCTGTAATAGCTCATAACCTAGATTATATGATTATTCTTCTTTAAAATGGCAGTGTTTTGAATAAGCGTGTAGCCGCTCTACAATCCAGACGTAAGAAGGCTGAGGAATTGTTGGCGCTTTCAAAAACTCTGGAACTAGAAGAAGCTGAAGTTGTTCGTTTAGAACGTGAAGCTTTGAGTGTGAGTGTGAGCTTTTGATTATCACTTCATTTTGATATTTTGCAGATTTTTTTGAAGAAAAACTCATTAAAAATGTGTATATTTATTTACTTGACTTTCACACAATGCCTTTCGGGGGATAATACTATACTGCTAACAACAAAGTAAGTAAGATTGGTTAAAACTCTTAGTCAACCGATTGGAGACTTTTGTGCGTTACATTTCACACTTAAATATCATCCCCAAATCTATGAGCTAACTCATATATCACTTACATGAGGGCTGAAAAAAAGTGTTTGAATTTTCAACTTAGAAATTTCAGTATGTTTATTGTATTTTGTCCGTTAAATGTTTTGTGTAGTGATTATAAATTTAGAAAGTGTAAAAATGCATAGTTATTTAACATGCAGTTGTTATAGTAACCAAACTTAAAAGAATCCATCTAACATGAAATGTGATCCTATAGAGTTGATAATGTAGTCTGATTACAGTTATTGCACTCACTGACGGTAAAATAGACCAAGTCTATAATGTTTGTTTCAAGGGACTGTTCTTACAAGAATCTCAGTATTTGTTTGTTTAGTTTGTCTCTACTCTCTACATTACAGTAGTCGATTATCGTTTATTATCACTGTCTGCGACTAGTTGTCAATCATACATTTACTCAGAACTGTTATTATCTGTATAAATTCATTTACGACCAGTATTTAAGCACATTGTATCCCCCATAGTGCAATTCCACATTACACATAATTCTGCGTTATTTATTCACTTCTAATCTATGGAAATGCGACTCACTGATTGAACCACCACTTTCAATCGATGCATTCGAAACTCATTCCATCCACCACATCATATGGTATCACAAGTCTTTATACAATATGTATGCCTCATAGCGTAGCGTATAATCCTCTACGGGAGTGAGTTGCATTATCTTCATTTATTATATACTAATCAGAAATATTTTTATTTTTTCTATTGTCCGTTAATAATCAGTTCCTTTTTGACCTGGTGTTTAGCACAATAAACTTTGTCACATGTGTTTGCTGTGAATCTAATCATCTTATTGTCTTTTGATGTCACTGTTACTTTATCTATATGGCTTAAATTTGGTCCGTGTTAGCTAGATATACCGTACCTCTTCAGTACAGTTGTCCACTCTCTCCTATGTAATGTGACATTAGTGACTAGGAAGTTGTTTCAAATAATTATGCGTACAAACGTTTAAGAAAACTGGTGACTTCATCCTTGTTGTAGTACATACATATTCTCTTCAATAGTGTTAATTACTTTTCTTCATATTAATGTAGGCGATTCAAAATAAACGTTCAGCTCTACGCGCCAGTCGATTAACAGAGTTTTCTCGTTCGTCGAACAGTAGTAAATCAGAAAAATGTTCAAAGTCTGCTCAATGTTCAAAAGCTAGCGAATCTAAGAATTTGCAATCAAACGTATATTCCACCGCCAACCAAGAATTTAGCTATACACACTATACTGATGAACCTAATTTGCAGAATTTAGATGAACAAATGTGTGGAAGAGATCACTCTGAAGCATTTCCTACTGCTTCACTGGGGAAAAGCTGTAACCCGTCAATAGGCGATCGAACCAAGTAAGTGTTTACATTGTGATCAGTTTTTTATTGTCCGATAAAACATTTCAACTTTAAAATGAAAATGAGATTTCAGCCTTGAAATATTAAACATTTAGTCCCTTTTGGCGAATCTACATAGTGTAATAGGAAGACGGGGGTTATCTAGAAGATGTGTTGTAATTTGCATAGTACATTTTGAACAATCTGATCACACATTTACTTATCTAGACATTTTATGTGAAGGGTGAAGATAGGATGGGGGTGCGGTAAATAAACTAAAATAATACAAAATTTGGAAAGTATAGAGATAATAAGAAGGAATAATACATTTTCACACCTTCCTTGAAATTGAAAGGTGATAGAGATAACCGATGAAGGTTTATGTTAACGACAATTCGCTTTTGAATACAGAAAGGCGGTTTGAACTTTTTTATACCTAAGGCTTCAATGTGAACCTAAGTATGGGGTCTTGATGGCTCCCACATAAATAGTCTATATGCTATTTTGCAATTAAATTTTGTGACCCGTTTATATAATATTAATATGTTTATCTATAGTCATATCTACCCCCTATATTTATCGGATTATTTGAATATAATTGTCTTTCTAACCAGTTAGGGATATGCTCTACCACCGTCGACTTCGATTATTCCTCCGAATGTATTTTTCACCGTGTCATATGACTTCAACTTCCTCGTGATCGTCATGGTACTCTATACTCTCTTTAACGCAGTATATCGTAAAAACCATATGCAGGTTTGTGTACTGAGCAATGGGTCAGACTTATTTTGGGATAGCCGATGATACAACCTAGTATCCGAACCTCATTTGTTAGAGCGAGATTCTGATCTGTAATTCACTGTTTTAAATACCAACTCCCCAAACCACCAGTAAACCCTAGCTTAGTTTTTCTTTCGACAGGTTTGAACAATGTTGTGCTTACAATGACATTTATACTTCATAGGGAATATAAAAGTGAAGTTTCACACGTTTTTTTGTGGGCTTTGAGCTATTGCTTTATAATGATTGTTCAATTTCGTATCACTTCACATTTTTATATTAAAATATTTCAGTTAAACTACTCATAAGTAATCGGTAAATATATGCTTAAATTCATGTGTAAAAGTTCTTCAGATGTGAACTAATTAATTCTCTATTTTATTTTTGAGATATTTGGCACTTAGACAATTGCTAAAATACCTATTCGTTAACACAAAAAATGGATAGAATCGATGGGTCACATTAATTCAGCGTTACACTAGTCAGCTTTCATCGATAAACTGAATTTATAAATCAGGACCAGATGAACTTTTTACCACTTCTTTTTTTGCTTTTGGGAACTGAACAATTCATTACTCAGTGTTTTAATCAATAAATATGAAAAGTGATTTTAAGGTAAACTCCCGAAAAGATTTGAATCATATCTCATAGTAGAATCCATTTCTTCCACTTTTGTAAAATGAACAATCATAATTGTTTGTATTCTGTTCAACTACTTTTATGTACAGTATAAATTAAAGTTCCTGCTTCTGTTTTGATTTTGGTGAACAGATTGAATAATGCCTATGAAGAGTTGTCTGCGCAGACACTATCCAATACTACAGATCTTAATTACTGCAAAACTGATTCAGATTCTTGTAAATCAGCTTCACATTCTGAAAAGCGTCTTTCACATGATTCACTTGGAATCCATAAGTCTGTGTCAGATCATCACAGTGAAAATCGACTGCTTAATGTTAACGGTGATAATGATGATGTCAGTCAAGTGTCCAAAGTCTTTCAAAGTGGTCATTTAAAAACCGATAATACGAGTAAGTTCTTTACTGAACACTGATATACGTTTCCCATATTTTCTGGTTCTCTTAAGAAGAGCACTTTTTCAACTGTTGATTTATTGGTTGACATACGACTAGCCTTCTAACGCGGTTTACTTTTTGCAGTAGAAGAATATGCCGATCATGTAAATATATATTCTTTTTCCTCTTCCTTTCATAATAGTGTTTTGAAATTTTCAATGTTTCGCAAAAAAACACATCTTCCAGTTTTCACTGAAGGTGTTTTCGGTTGACATGCACATTATGTAGATGTCTAGGATATAGCAAACGAAATATAGTTAGTTTCTGTGATGTTTCTTAGAGTGCTATAAGCTTATCTTTGTTCATAGTGTATTCGTAGTGTATCCCTCGAACACAAGCATAATTCCCGACGTCCGGCACTTACCATATTTCTCTACCTGAATGTGGCATTTCACTCTGTTGACCGTGAGGTAATGTAACAGTGTCCGACTGTAAAGGTAGTACGGAGGATGTATATAGTGTTTATCGAAGCTCTCTAATAGAGTTCACACGGCCGTCTCAGGAAAGTTGTCATCAACTAGTGGTGTACACCAGTGATTCTCACTGTCATCTTTCCGATTTGACTTCCTCATAGACATACTAATAGAAATGACCTTAGATGCATCTGACTTTGCAAGGATTAACTTACTCCATGCAGGTCATCTGGTTGACTTGGAGTATGTAGACAATACTGTCCTGCTGGTTGATGATGGTGACAAAATGCAGGGTTTTGTTAATGTGTTGAAGAGAAATCTGTGTGTGTTTGGCATGCATTTCAGTGGCACCTGTTGAATGTAAGATGATGCTTCAGGACTGGTCCGGCGCAAGTACTCCTAGTTGAATGGTTGGAGCGAAGTGTTGGAATGTGTCGACCACTTCAGTTACTTGGGGAGTTGCATCAGCTCGAATTATCTGGTGTCTGATGGAGTCTCAGCCCAGATACAGAATGCCTGTTTTGGTATTTGCCAGATGGGGAAATATCCGACAGTCTATCAAATGACGGTAGTACTGCGCTACAGTCCGTTGTGTCCTATTGTACGACTGACGCGTGGCCGTTGAAAGTGGAAGGTATGAAGAGACTACAGGTCTTTGACCATAAGTGTTTTCGTAGCATCGTTTGCGTTTGGTGGAATCAGTGTGTGAACAATGTTGAGGTCAGGCGAAGGATACTAGGCAACACAGGTAAGTCGATTAGAGAGGCTGTTGAACCTTCATGGTCTGAGATGGCTTTGACATGTGCTGCGCATGCCGACCCACCGCCTGCGTTTCCATGTAATGCTAGTAGAAGTTGGATTGTGTTGGAAGAAGGCTAAGGATAACCAGATCAAGACGTGGCACCAGTCTATGTAGTCCTTGACCGTTGGTGTGAACGGTGTTGGGAGATGTGGAATACCTGGTTAGGGTTCTTGGGATGGTAGAAATCAGTGGTTGAGGAGTCAGATGACATGGCTGAAAATCGATCTCAATAGTGCAGATATATTCACTCTTTGGGGTTTTCTAAAGCTTCAGTGTTTTATATAATCTTCATCTCTAAGTTACATCTCCTTGTAAGCACCTTTTTCTACTTTGTTATCAGTTTTTTTCTATCCACTTGTTCTTATTGTACTATAAAGTTTGGCAGCTTGAAATGATACATTTCTCTTCTAGGTTCTACGATCATATTGTTTGTGTTTTGCAGTTAATAGTGTGTTTAGGGTTCTTTTAGTGAAAGAAGGTAATATTTTTATATGTATAAGTAAAGACACCTTAGTACTTGCGAATTGAGCTGTCTAAATATGCAGTACTTCTTGCGTGTATTGTGTGGAACTTTTTAAATGTCAATGTTATATTCTGTAAATGGTTATTATTGATGTATTAGGAGAAAGTTGCTGATCCATTTGTTGGATGGATTCTATTTCGATCGTATATATATCTAAGTATGTCTATTCCTATTACAGTTGAAGGCACTCCATCTTTACGAAACTGGTTAACTAATGAAATGGGGACTCCGTCGTTGGATCGTACGATGAATTCCACTTCCAGGCAGTTACGTCAACGTTCAAATTCTCATGATTCTGGTCGTCGAAAGCGCGTTACTGTTCCTAATTCAGTTGATTCTTTAGATGAAGATGGTCGTGTATATGGCATTGGTGATGATGAACCATTCTCTACAGTTTCAGCCAATTCACATTCTGATCTAAGTGAATTGGAATCTCGAATCCAAGCTTTAAATTGCAATTTAAAGAAGCAGGAAAGTATTCTTTGTCGTATCAATTTGGAGTATAAACGTGTTCATAAAGATCGTTTAGCCAGGTTGGAATCCACTTTACTGAAACATAGACAGGTAAATTTAAGCGTTCACTTTTATTTGAAATAGTAGTTACCTTTTTCGCTCATTAAATAAAATGAATTATATCAGTTCACTGATAACAATAGTGCGCTACTATAGTATTCATATTGAGCTGTAACTCAGTGGTTTAGGGAGATGACTATCAACCAATAGTTCACGGGTTCGAACCCCACCCCACCTAGCAACATTTGAGCAACCAGGTAGTATCACTACCTATCACACAATAGGTATCGCTCATCACCTAGTGCACGAGGTGGCTGAGTGCATTTATTTTCTCTATAGTATATGTATTTACCGTGCAAAGGAATATAGTACTAGCGTATTGGATATTATGTAATGACATTGTTACTGCTATATGATGTGAGGTAACTCTGTCACGTAGAAATCGCTTATCATATATAAAAATGATTATGCGTACAGTTCCACAGATGTTGTATTTAGTAAACTTGAATATAATCTTTTCTTAGTTAAAATTTTTGAAGTTACTTGGTAGTAGTATGACGCTTTGAAACATATTTTACGTGCCATAAAAGTTAGAAAATAATGCTGTGAATTTATAGTTTACAAATAGTTTGACGTGTTTATGAAACAGATTGTTGGCACAATTTGAGGAGTGGTGTTATTATTTTCACTGCTATCGATAATAAAGTTATATACTTGATCATGGTTATTGATAATTGATTTCACACTTTGCTGTATGTATACCATAACGAGTTTTTGTGATGAAAAAGTAGCAGTGTGTAAGAGACAAAATGAAGTAATGTACTGTAGAAATAAACGGTCATGTAGATAATGCAAGTCTTCATAAAAATGAACGTTGGTGTATTTTTTATAGAAAGTCTTGTGTGAATATTTATGCAAAATATAGTTTATTTCGTTGATAACTCTTTTCTACACTACACCTTTTCTCTTATCTCTTTATCTTTTAGCTTTGTACAGAGATTATTACTAACATTAAAGCTGATCTAGACGTTTGTAAAGCATCTATTTGTACGGAATCTGGTGATTCTCATTCAAAATCTGTAAACAAGTTACTCGATGGTGTTAGCGTTCCCAGTATTTCACCACCAAAATCCTTAAATAAAACATTTGATAGTTCTAATGACAACAGTTTCTCTTGTTCATCATCAAAACATATTGTTCCATTAATTCTTGACAAAATTTCATCATCTGATCACACAATTACCAGTAAGCACTCTGTTACTGGTGAAGAAACTGAACCGGATACATTGATATCAGTTGCTGAAGAATTAGTTTCACCACAAGATACTGATGATGAATTGAATCAACTTGAGTTAGATGATGATTCTGATCATAATATACCAACTGCTGAACCTTCTACAATCATCACCTCATCTAGAAACAAAGAAATCTCATCCTTTTTAAACTCTACTGGTGTAATCAATGCATCCAAACAAACAATAAACTCTGATGCTTTAATAACAGGATCTACCTTATCTTCATCTCAGACAGACACATTTTGTAAAGATGTTAAGCCAAACTGTGAAGTTAATGATTCAAAATCATTGCCAAATGTAAAACAAACGTATATTGAACATGTGAATGTGAGTAATAATGATGATCCATTCAAGTTTTCTACTGAAACAGCTGATGAAAATATAACACAATATCAAAATGCTGCTAGTATTCAACAAATGTTTAAAGATAAGCCCAGTTTCATGGAAACTGGCAATTTTCTCTCGAATCATGTGACTTCAAAAGTTGATAACGTTAGATGGTATGTTTACTGGATATGTATATATTTTGAGTGTTGGTTTTTTTTTCTGATGTGTAATTTGAAAACAGAGTCATTAGACGCTGGAGATTTGTTTTCTGTTTTATGTAATAAACAGAGTTGATAAATTTGACATTTGAGTTATGTTTGAAGTTTGAATTTCATCGAAGTCTTATGACTCTCATGAATACTCTATGATGATATCAGTTAATCAGTGTGAAAACGGAGCATTTTAAGACTGCTACATGCAAATTATATGTGATTTCAGAATCTGACCAATTTTGTCCAAGCTTCAGTGTACTTAACATAGAGTGTGAAGATTTTGAATCCGATGTCGAGATTGGTAATATGCATATATACTCCAGAATACAGAATTTTATTTCTTTTTTTCTGAGTTTCAATAGACGTAAAAAAACCATTTCCGAACTGAGGGTTTTAATTGTATTGCTTACATTTTGAAGTCTATTATTTGAGGTTGTTATTAACTTGTGCACTCCATTTGTGATTTAGGATGTTCTCCAACAAACCCTTTAGTGTTTTGTTGTACTTTCTGGTTTAGTGTAATCGTTCGTACACTCTATTCTGTTCTATGTCTGGTTAACTAAGAAATATACTGCTTAAAACAACTGCATGAGGTAGCAGTGTAGCTCAGCTACCACATACAGGTTCATGCACTTGGTGGAAAACCATAAGTGTGATATGTAGGTTAGTTGGTACTATTTGGTTACCTTAACCATGGTTTATAGAGTGGAGTTCATTTCGTGACCCTTTGGTGGAGAGGTTGTTCAAATCCTTAGGCAACAACTTCATTTCATACATTTTAATTTGAAATTATACTTGGATTATTTGACACGTTTTGTTATCGCAGTTGATTGATGCCGATGCTTTCAATTAACGCCACCTGTCCAGTCCTTCCTGTTGGTCTCATATCTATTGCAGTATTGAAAGAATGATTTGTTGTGACAAATCCTCACTTAAGTGAAATTTCGAGTTAAGTAGATTGTGTGATCTTTCTTTTACTGGAGGTTGCAGTAATTTTTCGTAGTATTTTTTAGATAATACAATATTTTGTGTCAACCTTGAGAAAGTCAATAGTCTGTTCTTTAGGTAGTGTAGCCTAATTTTTATCTGCTAAGGAAAAACATTATTTCACTTAAAAGTGAATTATGGGATATATTAACACCTGACTCTCAACTAATTAGCTCCCAGTTCAAAAGCGCTTTACGTGCTTAGGTTCGAACAGCTATGGAGTATCACTAGATGCCCCCTTACAACAGATGTTGCTAATTGTCTGTTACAAGCATATAAGTGTGTTTTTAGCTGCGCTGATCGATATTGCATGACAGTCAACAAGGAAGCATAAAATAGTGGAAAACGTCTTGGAAAAAAAACGTGATTAGATGTAAATATTTACTATTAAATACTTAGGGTGAGATAGATAATGAATCTATGTATTACCTTTGAAGAGAGATAAAATGAAATCATACTTGTCGTTTGCAGTTGTACCCTTTTTTTTTGAAAACCTATGACGTATCAAAAGTGCACTATACTGGTGATCGATTTGTCTGCATAATCCAGTTTTATACAGGATCAGTATTTGCCCTTAATAACTCAACTGTAAAGTCCTTGACTTTTTCCCTGATTGATATAGTTTTCAAATACTGAGGGAATAACAGTCTCTCCCATGGTTGGAGATAAACTTTACTGATAGGTGCATGAAGCCTGAACCCAAGACTTCCAACGGATTGACTCCAAATATGTAACATCAAAGCTAATTAATGTTACACCAACCAAATATTGTTGCAGATTTCTGTTAGTGAATCGATCCAAGAGCTTCATTCCACGGAGGAATCATATATGCAATTATTATCTCTTTTGGTAGTGGTTAAAACATTTCATGAATGTATATTAGTTATTCTGAAGCTTAAGAAGTTACGACTTGGTTTTAAAGGTTTTTGACCTATAGTAAATCTTGAACCTCTAAATGGATTTAGTATGTGTTAATGTGTTATTTAATATTCACACTGAGTGTTATTTCAATCGCATAGATTCACTACTTGAAATGGAAGGAAAGTTCTCAGTTGTAAGCTATGAGAAGTACTGTGTGTATTAATTGAATTATGATTCTCTTATATATACTGTCCTCAAGTCACTGCATAATTGACCTTTTTATGCTCGTGTTTGATGTCAGTCTGTCTGACATATATTCTTCAACCTTCGTTTCGACTTTCTTAGTGGTTTATAAAGTTTTACACTTAATTTTATACTGGTAAACTGAACGAGTTAGTTAGTTAGTGGGTGAGTGAGTGAACAAAATAAACTGTACCTTGCACAGATATCTATGATTTTGCTGTATTTTTGTGCTTTTGCCTCCTGTCATAGGGTTTGCAAGTATACTTAAGATTGTATTATGTGTATAAAGCATGTATATACTTAAAGCGCACAATTCTGACAATTTATTTACATGTCTTTCGGTGTGTTTATATGCCTCCATGTTTGTTTGTAGTCACTACATATAGATTACATTCTTTATTGATATAATCACATTGATTTGAGTAAAGTAACGGTACCTAAATTTAGCTAAATTATAAGATAAAGACTTTCAAGACACACATACGTTTGGAATGTTAAATAATCAGAATTCTTCGCAGTTGAGTTTCTACCGCATATATATGAACATGCATATACACACATTTCTAATATTACCTCTGCCTTGAAACCTTTTTAATTCCTCACTATTGACAAACGGACTCACGGTAAGCCAGCCTTTTTTTACAGTTAAGTAGCTATATTGTAATTTGTCTTATTCTTTCAGTAATCAATTCTGGTAATTTAAATTGATTAGTTATTGGCTTGTTTTTGATTCACTCGGTTAAGTCCTATGAAGAATGTCTCGTAAGTAAACATCAAAGAGGTCTCTGGTTTAGTCGAATCAGTCAGTAGAAATACGGAACTTGACATACCGGTCCAAGTTGGCACAGTTTACAGCGAATTAAGCTACAAGGCAACAAGATAAAAAGAAACAGGGAAATGGAAATAGCATAATCGACAGTTGCAGAAAGCCATAAGAAGAGAAAAAGAACGAGTAAAGTAAAGAAAAAATATGATATATCTGTGCAGTGAATGTGTAAGTGATCAACTGTTAGTGGTGTAAAGCATGCGATGCACTGTCTTATTCTCCTAGATTTGAGAGATGAAACAGCTAGATATGGTATTTAATTCCTGTTTGTATGTCTTTAATGGCTCATATTTTAATTTACTGTCCTATAGTTTGGTTAGTTAGTCATGCTCTAGTACGCTAGTTTTTACCTTGTATAGTAGGAGTATGTTCACCAAATCAAATCACTATAATTAAAAGTCTCAATCTCAGCAATATGAGAATATCGGATAGAAATTTTGGTCAGTCACAAAGTAAGCTAACGGTAAGATTCAGCAATCACCTGCAGATTTCGTGCAGTAGCCAATGAGCCGAAACTATGATGAGGGCTAATGATACTACCTAGCTGCCCGAATCTTGGTAGGCAGGAGGGAGTTCAAACTCATAACCCATTGGTTGGAAGCCATGTGTCTAAACCAATGACCCACAGCTCCACAAAAGTAATCTGACTCTCACCTTTGCACTTATAACATGCGTCAGAGTTGATTCAAACTCTTAGTTTTCCTAGAAATTTGGTTGACGCTCTACAACAATTGATGGTTTGAATTAACCCTGCTTCATGTCATATACGTAAAGGTGATATTAAATCTGACCAGTTGATAAGTTTACCTTGATATCTAAAGCTATAGGTGAGATTTCTCAAAAACATCGTATGAGTATTAAGTCTCAAGTAATTTTATGTTCTGATCTTGTTGAAGCACCGGGTAACTACGCTGGTTGTTTTCTCTCACAGACCTGGCAAAAGGTGGTCTCATCTGTATTCTCTCTCTCTCTCTACATATATATATATATATATATATATATATATATATATATATATATATATATATGTCTTAAGAATGATTTTAGTTTCTCAGCTACAACGCTTTATGTGGGAAGTCATAGATAACTGTCTTCATTATTTAAGGGTAAAAGATGTAGGATGGCTGCTGAAATTGTAGTATGTACAGGCGTTTAAAGTTGTCAATTTATAAAGACTGAGTAGGATATCCTCTGTTGATGATGCTAGATTTTTCGGGATTACACGAGGTTCACAGCTGATATCTGGCATGTTGCCATACAAGCTTTATGTGGCGTGAATGACATTACTGGTCATTAATACGTTCGAATAGATATGAAAAATATTACAATAAATGAAGAGTTTAATTAAAATACACCCAAAATTACTCATTTGACACAGTATTTGAACGAAATAATGACCTCTAGTGCCACCAACGCCATACAAAGTTGACATTAGCAATATCCCGGGTACCGGCAACCCATAAAGGTCTATTGAAGTGTAAAATTTATTTCAAGTTTCGGGATTCATGTGATATAATGACAGTCTGCCAAACTACGGCTATCTCAGATAATGGAAACAATAATCAATATGATGCTGGCCTCCTCTAATTCAATTATATTTGGATTTAGATGGGAAGTCCTGACTAGGCAGGCAGTGTGAATACGATCAAGCGGTAGTAACGTGTCACGAATTCACATGGTGTTCGGGGCAAACCTGTCTTTTGGTTGAAGTGAAATAAAAATCTGGTCAACAGTCGAACATTGTAGCTCAGCTGGTAGAGTATCGGGCCGGAAACCTAGTGGTCACTGGTTCGAATCCGACTGCGATCCAAATTTTCATTTCACCTTCAATCATCACCAGCTTAAGGATATTCACTTACCTTTTAAGAACTGTGATCACAACCAGCATCGTTTGGGAACAAAGAAAATTCTAGTTTTCAGTTGCTGCTGCTGTTCAGTGCTATGCGAACGCGTGCAAAATGCATCCGTTCCAAGCTTAAATCTGTGGAGAGGATATTCACTACAAATAGAAATACACTAAGTTGATTACGAGAGAAAAAGCTTACCCAAACAGATGTGTGTGAAATTGTAGCAATGTGGATATATTTTACAGGTGTGAACTCTTGACCGACAACTTTAAGATTACAAACTTGATGGTCACTCGGTCGTATATATGCAAACAAACAAAAAAAAGTAAGACGGGAAGGTTCATTTATCCTAACTAGTATGTAGCCGTCTGTCACATTACCTACGAACTACTAATTAAGTCCAAATGATTCTGAATATATTCCTCGTCATAGATGTCATAGTACAAAGTTTAGTAATGACGGCGAAAACATGCACTAGTGAAGTAAATCGGGAGGTGTTGAAAGACAAATAAGTGTAACAATGTTCGATGGAGTATGAGAATGCTAAAACATTAGAAGTCAGATTCATTGATTGACCTTATGCATGAACTCCCCTTTATTAATTTGAAAAAAACAAGGAACAACAATTAGAGCAGGATAAAACGAATCTATTTTATTTCGACACTATCTTGTCAACTGCTTACAACCTAGAATATCAGACTAGACTTTTATTCATTGAAAGAAAATGTTAGTTAAGACGAATGGAATTAGTTGTAGCGTGTTGATAAATTATAAAAGTAAATTCGAGGAAGGTTAATAAATGAAAACATTTGTCACGTCTATAAACGTAATTCAATAGAACGTTTTCGAATATAATGACGACAGAGGGTAGCTATCAAGGTATTGAAGGACTTATCATTATATGATTATGCAAAACAAGCAAAATATCGTGAATTAAGCTCAGTTATTTGGGAACAGTCTATCGAAATATACCACTGAATAATTTGAGTAGTTAGAAGCCACTCAGACTACATGAACAATAGATAATGCAATTATTGAGCAGTCAAGAAAGGCTAACAAGGTAGACGGAGGTTGACTATAGCTTCTTTTACAACACAAATTAGGTTTAGGGTGTTTTATGACTATAGCCTCAGCAAAATCCAGGAGAATTTAGTTAGTTAGTTTGTTTGTTTCAATGAATTGAAGATGTCTGTGTGATGTCCGATGTCAGTCAGATGCGATGCTGAGTGATTGTGCTATCCAGCGTTACTTCCCCTTAGTCGTATGCTCTTCAGAGTGTGTTCATAAAGTCTAAGGCAGAACTTTCTTTCTGTTCTTCCAGTGTATCCACTCTGATAACTATGCGTGAATTGAAATACACAGCTAGAGCTGATATAGGAAGGGTAACTGTCGACTTTTTATTTACTAAGATCTGCATGTGTATTCCAAATCCCTTCCTACTGATGCTTGATATTCTATTTCTTCCTGTTCAAACTCCCCGACCTGAACTATTTCGTCTTCACACCAGGGTTTTAGTTGTTTATAAACATTACATTACTGATTTTCATGTAAATTTCTTATTGGTTATCACTAGCTGTTTGCTGGTGATTTTCAGGTCTGTATATCTCTTAACTGGATAACACCTAGCTTCATGTTTTTCAAGAAGTCATTGAATCTAAGATTTCTTTTTTTAATCCTCTTTTTTAGTCAGCTAGGTGCCGACATCATACTGAAGGTTAACTTTCGTCGTGTGTTATTTTTTCCTGATCTATATTTCTTTTGATTTTTCAATATTTTTAGTTCAAATAATGTTACGCTTTATTCATTCGTTGCCTAATATTATTCTAAGCAATTGAAGCTAATTTTTCGATAAATTGCTGCACTCTTGACAAAGTTCACTACTCATAATTGTTTTTCTTTTGCCATTTTTGTGCGTCAGTTTTCAATTCTCCGTAACACCAAAATATTTCACATATTTATAAGCCTTAAGCTACATATCTTAGTGTACACATGTCTAACCATGATGTTGTAGGTGCGTTTTTACATCCTAACCAGGTTTCTTGATATACATCTGCTGCCTATCTGAAGCGTTAATTTCACAGAAACGCTATTTAGGTTAAGTGATTTTGCCTTTGTTAATCCTACTTTTTCTTTTATGCACACGTGAATTGTATACGTGTTTCTTCTGCGTAGAAGTTGCCTTGCTGTTTTTACAAACACGCCTAATGCTACCTAAACTTATCCATTGACAGTTTTTTAACCATTTGATTTTTGCGTTGATGTTCTTCACCGAAATTGCATACCAATATTATTACTATTACCCCTGATAAAGACTATCCCATGATCATCATTGATCCTTGCCTAACACTGACCGAAATGGGGAATATCAATGGTAGTCATTTTCACCAAACAGACAATCATTGTTCTACGTTAAATGTATCAACCGCATCCTTACAGTCATTCAGTTCATTGCCTCTTAACGTTGTGAAATCATCAAACACACAAAGGTGAGTAACTCCCAGCCCAGTAAAACAAATAATTGTATCTGTATATGTATTCAAACTGATTGGACGTCACATTACATACCCACTGGTGATCAGAAAATCACTAATGAAGAAAGCCATTATCAGTGCAATAGTTTTAATTCATAATTTTGGTTCAAGAGATTGTATGACTTTTTGTTCATTGAAAGAAATACCTTTTTAGTTCATTATTATCTTTACTAGTATAGCAAATACTACTGTTCCAGCTAAAATAAGTAGTTGATACTTGACACTATGTTATCTTTATAAGTTCACGCAATTTTTTTTTGCTTTTTTATCTCTACCATCTCTCCTTTATTTACAATAGTCAATCAATTCTGGATGTTATACATAATGAATCTGAATGCGTTGAAATGTCTTCTACAACTCCACTCACTCCACCACCACCACCACCAGGCAATGGGATTGTTGACAATACTGAGAAAATTGCAATTGTGACAACTGAAAATTACGACAAAATGGTAGTATCCACTGTTACTCCTTGTACACCAGAAAACACTAGCCTGCTTAAAATAGCCTCTGAACATCGACAAAGAGAAGAACTGGTCAATCGTATTACTAGTGAACTACTGACACAACTGGTTTCTGAAGCCATCGACTCCACTTTGAATACTAGAAAAATTAACTTCAAGGTAAGGAATTAATTGTCATTCCTCTTCGTTGTATTTATGATTATTCGCACTTTTAACCATCGTTACTGTTTAATGGTCCAAGTTGCCACACCGGTGCCGGCGAGATATCCGATTATCTATCAAAGGACCAGTATACTGCGCCTTAGTCCTCTCTGTCTTGTCACACAGCTGTGAGACATGCCTGTTAAAAGTAGAAGGCATGAAGCGATTAGTGGGTTTTGATCACAGATATCTTCGTAGCATTGCTCGCGTTTGTTGGAATCATTGAGTGAACAATGTCCAGGTCAGTCGGGGAGTACTAGGCAAGATAGGCAAGTCGATTGATGGATGAGGCTATGAACCTTCATCGGTTAAGATGGCTTGTACATGCGTTGCGCATGCCGATCTACTATCTATCTCGATATGTCATGCTAGAAGATGGATTAGGTTGGAAGAGGGGTTCAGGGTAGCCAGTCAGATCAAAACGTGACACCAGTCTATGCAGTCTCTTACTGTTGGTCTGAGCTCTGTGTGTAGATTTAGACTATCTGGTTAAGGTTCTCAAGACGAAAAGAATCAGTGGTTGAGGACTGTTAGTGAAATGACTGAAAATCGGTCACAGTAGCTCAAATATATTCACTCTTCGATATCTCCTGAAGTTTTAATAGTCTCACTAACTCTTATCCTCAAACTGTTTATTCTCTCTACTTTGATATCACTCTTTTTTTCGATCCACCTACTCTTTGTATACTACTGTGATGTGTGGGGCAACTTGAATAGGTGCACTTGTGTGTGAGATTTGACATTAATTTCGTCTGTGTGGACCACACCTGCTATCAGTCCATGAAGGGAGAATGAACTAAGATGAATGATAAGAAAAGTAGGAAGAGAGCAGTCAAATGTTTTAGATAGTTATGAAAAAAGAGAAAAGATCTGTTGCGAAAATACTGAATTCAGTATGATGAATAATATGAAGATGATGTGTGAATCCACCTTTGCCGTTGCGATCGATTCTGAACGTTATCACCCCAAGAGTTTCCAACTAAGTAGATTGTAATGCGATGCATGCCAAAGTGTATAGTGCTAGAAACAGTATAGCTTGCATGTGTCACCACCTAAAACATCAATAACGTTTGCTTATTTTCTGTCCATCTCATAACTTAAAGTTTGTTGCGTATTTAATCTAAGAATCACTCTAGCAGCCATTGGAATAACCGAATGACTTTAAATGGCACCGTAACAACTGTTGAAATAACCAATCCGATTTCGCTGTTTCGGCTATGGAGTAGTTAGCACTTCCTAAAATGTAATTGGTTATCTCAGCAGCTGTTTTTTTTGGCCATTGTAGTCACTCAGGTATCCCGTTTAGGTTCCCTTATTCTGTCTGCAAAGATAGTTTTTTCCCCATGGTAATGTAGTATAATTGGGGTCACTTTAAAGGCCATCCTAGTAATGATTGAAATAACCAGTTAGGTTTCTCTATTTTGACTAAAAGGTACTTTTTCGTAAACTGCGGAACTTTAGTTGGTTTCTCAAGTAGTTGTCAGGATGGCTTTTCGTTATTGATCATTTCAACTGTAAACATTGTCTATTTAAGTAACCCAGTTTTTGGAATATGTGAATGAAGTAGAAAACAAACCATCAGTGTCGTAACTAAATCCCCAACATCTATGACAGTAATACTTGTTTCGAACATCATTTCATCCCTTGCAACAACTTGCAAATACACTTTCCAATGTATGATATAACATGCCTGTGTGCTTATCAAGTGTTTTAGTGACTAAATCCGAGTGACTTTATAGGCCACCCTAGCAACTGCTGAAATAACCAATCATTTTTCTTCGTTTTGAAAATAGCTGTCTTCCCAGCTGAAATACTGAACGTTGATTGACTACTTCAGTGGTTGCTAACCTGGCCTATAAAGTCATCCTTGAATCCATATGTATATACATTCAAGAGACTTCAAGGCCATCCCAGAAACAACTGAGATAACGAATCACGCTCCTCTGTTTTTCCTGGTTAGGTGGTTTTCTCACGAAGTACAGAACTCTAGTTAGTTACCTCAATGGTTGTTAGGGTGGCTTTCAGAGTTACTCTACTTTCTGCGTCATGATTATGAAAGACATATTTACTTGTGTAGCTGAAATTCTTATCTTATATATGAACTTTTTTGACTTTGTGTGGTCATAAGTGTAAGCCTGTCTGCTCATGTGGTTAGTTTGTCTGAATTTACTGTCGAGTTTGGATAACGTGCCGGAGCTTTGGATAGTGAGTTTATCCAAATCTCAATCACCTTTTTTTTTGTCTTACGCGTACAGTTCTGAATTGCAAATTAGGGTTTTGAGTAATTGCGGAAACTAATTCATCACTCAATTTTCAGAATACAACAAACGAAATTTTTCTGTCAATATAGACGAATATCATCTTCAGATAAGAAATACAACTTATAAGAATAACTTGATGTTTCAGAATATATTGCATATCTAACCTGAGTGTTCTTTCCGAACAGCACTTTATATCAATTAATTAGTGGTTTTGAGATGTACTTCACTCTGGATTTTCGCCTAGTGAAAAAGGCTTGTTTAGGTAAGTGTTGACACGTAGTGTTGGGTATTGCGATAACCTCTAGCGTTTTTAACCGATAAAATGAAGGGATGACAATTTTATGAACAGGCCATAGTTCTTATAGATGTCCTGAAAGAAGTTGATAGCCGAGTCAGGTTTAATCAGTATAATAAAACCTATATAAGGATGACATCTTTGTTTAGTTTATTTGTATGGAAACTTGCATCAATAATAATGCTACAGAAATGCGATTATTTGCAATGTTTTGACTGTAAGTGGAACGGATGTTAGCATTTTGTAGTGATACTTAGTCACCTATAAACTAGATTAAATGGTTTAACTAAATATTTAGCTTACCACTTGATAACTGGTGTACTGTTATCGAAGAGTGACTATTCCAAGAGTCGACTGAATAAATATCCAAGAATCAAACCGCCATCTCACTTACTATGTATCTGTTATCCCGTTATAATTTAAACTCGGGAACTAATATCCGGAACAGTAATGAAAGAAAATAGTCAATTATATACAATAATGTGACCAAGATCAAACCTCTGATGTGATTTTCAAATACCGAATAGTTAGTCGAGGTACGGCGGGGGGGGGTGACATGAAGATTATTTAGCCGGTAACCAATAACTAGAAGAATACAGTTCTATCCTCTCTAATAAAGAGTTTTAGTAATCTGTTTCTACCATTAATTTAAATAGCCGAAATGTTCGAATGATTCAGAAATTGACGAAGATGAAGCAGTGGATGGTTTATTGGAAGATGAATCCCTTCAACGGAAATCACTAGATTCGGATGATTCTTCAGAGGAGTCATTAGCTTCGTTAGATATGAACGGAAAATTATGCGATGAAGATTTTGAAGAGAAAATTTCTGAAACAGTCAAATCTAAAATATGCGTAACTCCAGAACCATCATTTACAGAAGAAAACATTCAAGGCTTATTTGCTGATACACCTGAGAGAACACAAACGTTGATTCATCTGGCTGTCAAACATTTTTGGGATTCTAGATTGAATGCAGCTTTGGGTCATAAAGAAGCAAGCTTATTGGAAGCTTTAAGTAATCCTCCTCCAGAATTTGGATTCGATTATTGTAATGAAACAGGTATAGTTTTATATGTTACGCTCTAGTGCTTGTTGGGTTTATTTTTCGAAATTCCATTTATAATTGAAATTGTTTATGTACTTGTCAAGTGTAACTAGAATGTAATACACACCTAAGCATAAAATTATTTACAAAAAATGGTTTGCATTTTACATAGGAAGATGTTTTATCCATTGGCGTTACAGGCTTCCTTGTACAATCGCCTAATATTATCATAAGTTTCATTATAATGTTATTTATTTCGTGGTTGCCGACGATCGTATCCAGTACCCCAACATTTCATTCTATCTGAGAACTTGTAAACTGGCATGTGGACTCACTCACTGAAGAGTGTACATGGCAAGAAATATGCTTTCTGGATTCATTTGCTATTTTTCAGCAAACGAATGGCATAAGGGATTATTATTTGCTTTGTATACTATATTACCAACATTGAAGACCTGTAGAAACATTATTGCTTTTATCAGATAACGGACTTAAAAATTAACTTTGTAGGCTAAAAGTCTCTTATTGATCCAATCACGCCAAAGAATTTAGTTTGTGGGATCCATTGCAATGATTGTGAGGTCAAAGAAGTCAATGTCGATCAACTAGACTGTTCGAGCATGAAATCTTGACTAGGTCCAAGACTGGTAAACCTTAGTAAGGCATCTAAAGAAAAGCTCCACTGTAGCTATCCCACAAACTGAGGCAGGGTATAGCGGCAGTCCGTAAAACTAAATTAATTGGATAAAGGAAAGAGGTTGATAACTGAATCTTCATGTATTGAATAAACAACAAATACTCTTGCAACAAGAATGACTCAGAACCGGTTCCAGCTTACGTGGTAAGTTATACTACGTATACCATAAAGAAGGAGAGAGAATTAAAACTATATAAACCATGTCTCAAAGTTGTATTAAATGTAGACAATAAGTAATACTACTTCACTCACTATATGATGCACTGAATAAATCAACTGAAATGGAGTTGTCTTAGCCAATTTTTAAAAATTAATCTATGTATACTATGTGAAATGATTGACAATTTTCATCTTTTCAACCGTTTACAGATCTTGAGATATTCAAAACTAAACGTAATATAAGATTTATTAGTTGCGCTTTACTATTCGACTTTATCGGTGAACTTCTACAGAAAATTTATGCTGGTGAAGATAACGAAACAGAATTACTCAAAGAAGCCACTTTTAATCACCTTCAAACAAAGCATACACATCGTGTTTCAAGTGCACAATTTCGTCTTTGGCGTGGTCCTTGTCGGTAAGTGATTTTGATGAGGAAAGTAAATATTAGAGTTTTAAAAGTTTGTTTTTCATATTTTTCAACTTTTTTTTTATAAGAAAACTTCTGTGTTTCTAAATTCTAAGACCGAAATGTTACATAGTAGGTTTAAATAAGTTGAGCAGTAAGTTTATTATTATTATTATTGGTCCCTTGGGTTCCTAGTGGAACATAGGGCTTCAGTAGCACGCCTCCAGTACACTCTGTTCTCTGAGATCTTTTGAACCTGGTCCCACGACAGCCCAGAAGCTCTCATTTCCTCTGAGCAGTAAGTTGGGGATTTATAAATAATATTTGTTGAACTCACAAAAAGTATAAAAGTGAAATCTTCTAGTTAGTTTCTTTGTGTTCATGAGGTTTGAGACTATCTTCGTAAGTATATTCTGGTCGTCAGATGAGTCAGTGAATTGGAGATACTGAGCTCTATATATGTCCTTCGGACGAACATGAATTTATGGCTAGATCATTCAATATAGATCTTCTATTGTGCATATGCGTTTAAGCAACTAAAAAGATATGAAAGTATTATAATGTAGGATAAAAAGTATTATCATTTTGACTATCTGATATAGCTGCGGTTTGCCAGGCTACCATTTATACTGGGTGATGATTGGAAGTGAAATGAAAATTTCGGACCTCGGTGGGATTGAAACCAGCGACCACCAGATATCCAGCCCAATTTTCTATCTATTGAGCTATCTTCAATCATTACCCAGTATAAAAATGAAGAGATTTTCCTCATGAATAGGTTTTCTGTTAATAATTCATGTAACTGAGGAAAACAAAAGTATTATTTTCATATTAGATTCTTAAAGTTTCCCACAAAAATATTCAACACAATAGGACAGTTTTTGCAGTTGAAGAATACAACTAAAAGAACTTAACACTATGCGAATGACTTCACTCACCTTAAGTATTCAGTATCATCATTCATACTGAAAATGAAGTCTGTTGAAACCGAACGAAAATTCAATAGTATTTCGGCATAAGTTGCACACACCTATCAGATATTGAATTACTCGCTAATTCTAGTATACCTTGATACACTAATAAGTGATATGGTTCAAAACACTGACCATTTAGTTTTTGTATTAAGTTAAATGACCCCTAAGGAGTTTGTTACTGCTGAAATTTCGGTACGAATCGTGAAGACTTATCTGAAGATTACCTAGTAAAAGTATCTGAGGTGACTGTATGATGTTGAACTACTCATCTGAGGAGGTTAAAGTAGTTCGAACGTGTCTTCGTAATATTACTCATATGCTAGTAATGTTGAGATAAGGTGTAAAGTAATAGGCATGGAAGACAAGTGAATTGATGAGAATGTCATGCTTCACCAATTGAGGTGGCTTGGGTTTGTTTTATGAGAACGCACTAATCCACTGTAGACCACTACATTCAGTATTTACCGAAGTAAGAGTAGGTTGTTAGGTATCAATATTTGGAGATTTGTAATCAGATTGCTTAGCATTGGTCACAGTGTAACAGATGTATTCATATTCAATTCCATTGAATATCACAATGTCTATCCTTATACTTTTAAATGTTGTACCGTCCTTATTTGATGGTATCGTGTACTGTTGGTATTTTGTTTTATGGCGTTTACTTCATCGAACCGTAACTGACACCTACTACGTAAAAGTGTATCTTTGATATAATTCACTCATCTGTTAGTTTTCCATATAGTTCTCAATCTGTTTAACTTAGGAATTCATCTTTTAGAGAAGTGTTCATTTCTGATATGTTATGGCATATATGATCATGTTGAAGACGCATCCTACCATTTACTCTTACTTCTTTTATTTCACAGGCCTACTACATATAATCATCTATTGAATATTGTTACATCAGAGGTTTGTCGAGAGTTAAATTTGAAAGTAGATTGGAAATCAAACGCTTATCCTCAGCAACAGCATGAAACAAATAAATTGAAGCGTATTGGGTTGAATGAAACTGGACTGTCTGGTTCACGTTTCTCTCGGCTAGTGCAGTGGACATTAACCAAGAAACCATGGTTAGATCGTATACTAGACTTGGAATTACGTGCAGATGAACCAACATGGTTATCATATGTTCCAGAGGAACGTGAGATCAAAATGAAACTATCTAATGAATTATGGGAAGATGTATTAAATGATGCATTGACCTCAGTCATCGCCTTAAATTCATGTAAATCACGAAAGTAGTTTTTTTTTCTTAAAGTATTTCTTTCTCTCCCCAGTGTGCCTTACTATCTCATTACAGTGATGATATATTTCATTTCCATGTGGGATAACTTCCTTTTTACTTCCAGTATTGAATTGAAACTACTGTGATATGCATCTTTTAAAAGAAATCTTTGTACACGCTAAAAGGAAGAATGATATGCTTGTAATACAAACGGTATAATTTTTTCCGATCTCATAGGTTCCTATGTTTATGTTGCTCAGAGTATATTTTCATGTTTTTAGATTTTTATATCTTAGTTTGTTCTTCATTGTGTTTTTTTTCTATCTCATATCTCTTGTTTCTTTCCTCTCTCTTCAATTAAGTAAACGTTCATTTTATTGTATCTTATTTTTTTTTGTTTTGTTTAAATACTTTCTTCTTACACTGTTCACCTTCGTTTTCAATAGAAACAAGTGAGAAATGTATCCTTTAAAAGTATCAATGTTTGAAAGATCCAGGAGTAATAACTTACATACATACACACATACATACGTACATACACATGCACCACTGCAACATCAATTATTACTCGCATCCTCTTGTACCCTTATGGTTATGCTCATTAGGTTGATAAATATTATAATATACATTAATTAAGGTATTGATTAGAGTTTTTTGTATTTGTTTTGTCTTCCTTACCTCTTCTTGATATTAGTGTCGTATAGATTCTTCATTCTTTCATTACCATTTGTAGAAAAAAGGCCATAAGCATACTTCTTTTTGTTTGTATATAATCAGCATTTGTTTGTGTGTGTGTATGCCGCATATCTACTCAGTTTATTTTCCTTCTTAATAAAAATAACTTGCCTCCTTGATCTTGCACAGTTACGTAACTATTTTATTCATCTGTTTACGTAAAAATGATAAATGTTATCATTCATCCTATTATTATTATTATTACTATTATGATCCTAAGATGTAATGAAATACAATGATAGAAATAATTGATTGTTTACAAATATATCACCATTTCTCATTGTCATAAGTCTATTTCTTCTTGGTGTTTTCGTAGAAATAGTGGGGAACGAACCTGTATAAACTGTGAAGTAAAGGTGTCTAACTGGTACAGACACTTGACTTTGAACTTCTGGGTTTCAGACTCAAATATACGTAATCAATCGTGAAACAATTTTATCAGTTCCACTATTGTGTATCTGTGTCATAGTCTATTATGTCAGTATGAATTTGCACTTATTCTTAACACCTTTAGGATGTCAAACAGAGAAACTTTTCACTTCCCTACACGGCCTTTTTGGTTGGATGCTACGTCTTGTTCGCTCTGTCGTTTACTTCTTCTGAACTATTCCTACTTCGGTTAGCATCGCATCTCAAGATAGGTGAGAGTTTGGTATGCAAAATATTTGTCCTAGTCACGTTTGATAATCCCAACATTACTCACTTAGTGGTTCGACCATGCGAGAGCGATCTGTTGAAGCGGTATACTACGTTATAGCCAAATGCTATGTAGTACACTAATTTTTTGATAAGTATCTTACCGGCATCAGAGATGATGCAGGGTAGAGAATGCATAACTTGTTTTTTGTATATGAACTGGGAATTCGTTAGCAATCAGTTCATTACCGCTAAGGAAACTTCTTCAATAAGCTCAGTAACCAACGCCTTCCTACAGTTAATTTGGCATATATGTCCTATTGTTTGTGAGTTGCATAATAAATATACCCAAGGTTTTCCTTAACAGGTTCGGAAGACCTTGGATTTTGTCTGCATCTTAGCCTAATTGGACTATGTGACATCGTCATTCTGTATGGCACTTCTACATGTCATTTTCTTTCCCTACCAGTTAATTCGATAAGCCTAAATAACTGTCAAGTATCATTTAAGACTGATGCAGTCTCCACCAGCACTCCTTGTCGTGCACTAAGTTTAAATTAAATATGATATGCTTTCGTTCTTCATCATGATCGGAGCTAGTTTTAAACAGTTTTAAAATTAGTCGTTTCGAATGAGGCTGCAATGATCCACTAGCTTTCGCTAACGTTTAGTTGTAGGCTGCTTCTTTTACCCGGTATATGACATGGAGCTTCATTTAGATGAGAGTAGCAGTCACGTTTTGGCAAGCACCTAACATACAAATTTGGTATCCTTTTCCTTCAGTCGACGGGAGAGCGGTTTCACATTGGTTTGTTTTCTGTATTCCAGCCTTCCAATGATTGCGTATGTCAATATGATTTGTCTGGGTACGCTACTGATTTGATATAATCGGATGCAAAGTGAGATGGTGTCCCCGAGTACGCTTGAAGTTCATGTCTGCGGGTAACAAATCATTCCCAGAACAAGATTATAGAGGCACTTTGTCATCAATTCAGCTTCCCTGCTGGATCTCTAAGGGTTACCCCATACATATAACCACATCTGAAACTTCTCTTCTGTGTAATGAGAAAGGCAGCTGTTGGTAAATTGTATGCTGTACATTATTAGGAATGGAGTCGGTGGGTAGAGAATACAAATAGGTGTCCATGAGTATCACAGTTATTTCTAGTTCTTACAGATTCACTGCCAAACGCCACATATTGCTGTCATTCAGGACTCAACTGAGCAGTGTACTATTCTCCCTACAGTTGACCACCACCTTTCACACAGTGACATCACGGCAATTAACCATGGAATCTCTGGACGCCTCTGAGGTACGATTTACAGTTTCGTGACACTGACGAGATGATACCCGATATACAACCGTATTTCACTTCTGTATGCATGTCACAGAACCCGTTTATCCGTGGTCTGAAACTTCATAGTTTTGTTTAATAAGACCTGTTGCACGACTCGACATAAGTTTCAGGCGTTGAAAGCTTCACGGTGAGGTTGTTGGCTTGATTTTTTTTGAGATTGAAAATAAGGTTTTGAATAATATCCAGTTATAAGCAATGGCTGAAAAATAAGAATTTAGGGAAACTGTACGAGGTATTATTTCAGCATAGGGAAGGCGTAATTACTTCAAAGACAAGGAAGATAAGTGGTAATTAAGTAGGTTCTGTGTTCCATCAGATACATCCAGGCACTGGACATCTCGTGGTTGCCCGTACCATGGAAGTTGGTGCCTTTGTGAAGTGCGTGAAAGAAAATGTCCACTGATTTGGGGTGACCGTAGAGTTCCAGGAAAGTTTGCATGAGGTTAGTCACATTCAGTAGGACCGTTTCTTTTATATATTCTAGATTGATTGGGCCACTACTGCCAAAGAAAATTTTGTCACGAGTATTATCATCTTTTAGGGGAGTATTCGATGTAGGTCATAATTAAGAAAAAACAGCCATAGAGACAAAGCATTTCATAGGTTTGGGTCGGAGAACGACAGGAAAACAACTTGTGGGCAACTAAAAGACAGAGACAGGAAGGAATGGTCATTATTGACATCTTGTACAGTAGCCATTAATTACTGTACACTTTCCACTAAGATCGTCATTTACACAGTGTGCTTCATTTCCTCTTCTGCTTCTATCTTGATTTCCTCCTAATACGCCGACATTGTCTCTTGCATTTCTCTTGGCAGAATATTTACCCATTGCTGGTAACTGCCTATGATTTCTGCCGCCCTCTCAACATATACTCCTTATATCCATTCTGATCAGTAGCACCCATTACAACTTTACTTTGACTTTTCGTAATAAGCATAACTATGTTGTAGAGAGCAATGTTTTTATTTTTTTTATGTTGATTATGATTATTTCACTTTTTTCGGGCTTCAGTAATTGACTGTGAAGTTGTTTTTTGTTTACGAATTATATGTTTGATGAATAGTTTTCATTAATTCGCTGCTAGTTCAGTGTATGACTGTTTCATTCCAAGTAATTTCTATAAAAAGCCTAAACTCCTGTACCTGTTGACAGCTACTTGATTAGAGTACTATACTTTCAAGGTTATTCTGGATATCTTTGGGTTTTCAGTATGTAAGCTTTGCATATTGAGTTTATGGTTTTGTTTGCCTATGTGTATTGAGATCATTGATGATATGGTATGCTATTAGGCTGTTATGTGGTACTCAGCGTAGTAACTGATAGATGTTACAAGTGTTTTGAAGATTACGTTCGAACCCGTGCCACGCAGATCTGACAGGTTTTATATACACTGAACTATACCAACTACAGTATAGTCATTGTTTACAGAAAGTAAGATGAAAACACATCAGCGTATATCTCCTTCTTGTTCAATTAAATAACTGTTAATCGGAATGAATCCAAGAAACGTTTGTTTTACCTTTCTGACGTAAAGCTATACAATTACACCTTCAAAACAACGTAAGTACCCGTCATGAAGATTTTTGTGGCTTCAGTGAAGTAACTGCGGAGATAAATTACCATAAACCAGGGTAAATATGTGCAGCTTCGATTACTTGGGTTGTTGTAGTATTCTTTGGTGACACTGCGAAAAGTCTGGCATACTATGCAGTATCATCCCACAGCATGTAATCGATTATCGAGGGAGTTAACCTTTGTGCAGAAAACAAATAGTACTGAAGCATCCTTTTATTCAGGTACATATTACGTTTCCTATGAACTGTACAAATATATAAGATCATATGCATTTAATGATATCTGTCAGACAAAGCAGCTGACATTCTCAAGACCTAGATTTCTCGGTACAAATACCGACATCAAAGGCAAATTCATTGATACATAGGAACTAAATATACAGATTGTAATTTGCAAGAAGTTTCACATGCATCATTTGACTGTAAAATGCCACGTAGAAGTTAAATTTCATCAATCACAAGATTCCCACCACTGATATCACTTATCTTTTGATGCAGAATGACATTTGTGGTAACTGAGAAAGAAATATACTTATTAAATTTTGAAGGAATTGTGGAGATTTGGAATTATTTCAAGTTGTTATTCATCGTAGACTGACATCAGTTGGCTCAATGGTAACGTGCTGGCCGCGGAACCTGAAGGTCGCGGGTCCGACCCCTGCTGGTGGGGTCGTGAGTGCGCACTGCTGAGGAGTCCCATACTAGGACGAAACAGCTGTCCAATGCTCCCAGGTTTCCTTTATTCCTCCAACTGATGTCATTCTACGATGAATAACAACTTGAAATATATTTATGTTGCCTACTAAGTTGAAATTTTATACAAAACTAGGTGTATTAAAATTTATGCTTAATGTATTCACTCTCATTTAACATGTTGCTAAAGTGTTAATTGTGTCATCTCTTCCATTGCACTTGTATCTACGTAGATTCATGATCCATCTCTCCTAACTGATATGTAGATACGTTTTTTCGTTGATCATACTTTCTGTTAACTACCTTCTATCAACTTCAATGAAATCACCTATTTCTGATTATTCTATAGAAATTATTATCTCACACTGTGAACTGATCTTAATGTGATTGTTAGAAACTTGGAAGTTGAATCACGAGTTCAAATAATAAAGTGCTCTAGAAATAATAATGCTGCTGATGGACATCTATAATCATTACAGCTTCATAAAAAGAAGTAAAGATAATAGTATGACACTCATACATTGTTCCTATATTGGTAGTACGTTCATTCAAACCCATTCCATCATCATCATCAATATCAACATAGGACCCAGGCATTACTGCGTAACAGTCCGACTTGCCACAGCTCATATCAGTACATCAAGTAGAACGGTAGTGAGGTGGAAGATGAAGATAAAATTCAGTCAAAAGAAATATAAAGTAAGATAAAAAAATAGGGGAAGAATGAAAAAATGGTGACAATCGGTATAGTGTTAAGATGAGGATAATGTGTATATACATCTGAGCCACTGACATCGGTTCTGAACCATATCCTCTGGAGTCTCCAGCCACTGGTTCCTCTTGTCCCCTGAACCCCAACCGGCTAGTCTACATCTCCCCACATGGTTCAAACCAACAGTCAGAGACTACATGCATTGATGCCATGTTTTCGTCTAGCCACCTCAGGCCTTTTTCCAGCCTTGACCTACTTCGGTCAACATTGTGTGATAAGATTTCAGGTTGGAATGCATCAGGGAGTAGCATCAGTTGGAGGAACATTGGAAACCTGGGAACACTGGACAGTTGTTTTGTCCTTGTTTGAGACTTCCCAGCAGTGCATATCCATGACCCCACCTCGTCAGGGATCGGACTTAGAACCTTCGGGTTCCGCAACCAGCACGTTACCGTTGAGCCACTGGGTTGGAATTCAACGGTCTATTTTCTCTACTCGTGTCAGTTCACGATATAGCTCAACCTCCATCCAATGTCGTCGTTAAGTAACTTTCTTCATGTTTGACGTGGTTGACTCCAATGGTCACGACTTCTCATTGAAAATTCAGGAATCACCTCTCGAATCTAGTCACCAGTGAGTGCTAGATTAATTCATTCTGGAGGTTTGTGGAGATTTATTAATTGATTTAAGGTTGGAATGCATCATGGACTGTCGTCAGTTGCAGGAACATTAGGAACCTGAGAGCACTGGACAGCCATTTTGTCCTTGTATGCGACTCCTCATTAGTGTGCACCCATTACCCCACCTCGCCAGAGATCGAACCCAGGACCTTCAGGTCCCGTGACCAGCATGTTGAGCCACTGGGTAAGAATCCAATGTTCCATATTTCCCACTTCATTTGAGCTGTACTGCAGTATTTTTGTATAAATGCTACTGGCTCTGATCGCTAGGATACAACTTCATCACAGAATTAGGGAAGTGAATACTTTGAACTAGAGAAACTCAATTACAAAAAAAAGAATATTATATGGAATCATCTGAAAATACTCACAAAAACTGAATTGAATGAACAATGAGTTCATTTAGATGACTTTCAACCTGAGATGATGATTGAATGGTCAATATAAATAATCATCTACGAAATACACCTTTAATGTAGGCATTTTCGCTCATGCTGGTTTTGGAAATCTCATGACACAACACCAACAATAATTATTGAACAATAATAGATATATATATATATATATATATATATATATATATATATATATATATAAATGTACTATCTCTTCAACCAATGGAGATTAGAAAGGATTTTCTTGTTGAGTACAACTTTCGGAGTCTGATTAACATTAAAGACAGTTAACAATCAGAATAATCGATTTTTAATTGATTAAGTCTGCAAAACCCCTCAACCTTCCAGAATGTTTCATTGTACTCAAGTCTAGTGTGTACCTATGATTGGAATATAATGTTATTGAATATATTGGAAGTTTGTCTGTAGTGATTACTATTATTATTATCATCACCATTAAAATCGAATAAAGTGAATAATCGCCTGTTATTTATAAACAACTTGCAGTTCAGATTTAAACGATAACATATTTTTCAAAACTTCTGTGCTTCAATGAAACATAGTTGAGCAGAATATAAGCAAAAACATAAAAATATTATTTGTTTTTATTTTTCAACTTAATCAATGATTCATTCAACTATAAACCGCGGTTGGTGTAAAGTAATAAATCATAATAATAAAGAACGCTCGTTATAAAAACAAATAGTTTATTCTTGTCTACAGAATTCATTATCCCACTGACATTCAGTTAACTGATTGATTGTTGACATATAGATGCCGAATCGCCGGTACATGTAAAGATGGAGATACAATGAAAAAGAATATTTTTCAGTAGTGTAAACTATGATAGTTTTTTTTGTCACAGAGATAAAATACAATACGGAGATAACGAATATCTGATACATATTATATATATATATATATATATATATATATATATATATATATATATATATATATATATATATATATATATGAATGTGAACATAATTATGTAAAGCACAGAGATGTGTTCAGTCATTGGTTATGTTGAATAAAGTAAGGGCATTGAAATTAAAATTTCAACATAATTTGAAACAGTTTGATAAAACAAACCATTTTTTTTACAAATACCAATTGATTCTACTGTATAGATATGAAACAATTGTGAAATGTGTTGAATAATTTCCAATTTTTCATTTGAAATTTGTTTCGAAGATTCAGTTTTCATTGATAGGTTGATAGATTTCAATGATGTTATTCATAGTATTATAGTATTATTTACTTGTATATTATTGATATATATATACATACAGATTGTGATAGATGAGATTTTAGTGTATTGTTTTTGAAAAACAAACTTTTAGATATGACTGTTTTCTGCTTCATTATCCTTATTTATATCTTTTTCATTATTTTTAGTATCATTCTCTTTAAAATCATTTTGTTCTACAGTTTTTAATGAATTCATTCCATTAGACTTAAAATTCGATGTTGATCTATTTATTTTGTTGTTTAAATGACCATCTGAATGAATTGGTGGTAATCTACGTTGACGTTGATCAACAGCTGATAATAAACTTTCAGATCGATATCTTGAATTCTTTAAATTTGGATTTGACTGATACATTACAGACTCATCTTTCAATAGATCACTTTCAGATTGACCTATTCTTATTCTAAATGAAAGAAGAAATAATTAGTGGAATGTTATTACAAATTTATACAGTTAAGGATAGATAACACTTTTCATTTATATGAAATAAAGAACAGTAAACAATCGAAATTCATGGTAAATTGTGTGGATTGATCTAGGTAATTGTCATCATGGATAAACATCAGTTAGGAAAATACTGGACAGTTATTTTGCTTTGATTTTCACGGCTCAGAAATGTATCCATAACCCTACAAGCAATAGAGTGCAGTAGCGTCATATCTAGCAGGCAGTGTATTGGATCAGTACAGGGTTTAATGGAGTTACAATGAGAGTCCATAAACCAAGTTGGATGTATGGGCAAATACTAACTAACCGAATATATAACCAACTGACCGGATTAGCAGGAAGTGGACCATTGGATTGTGGTCAAGTGGATGCATGATACTGTGGTCACTGTATAAGTAAACTGTCCTAGTCTTGATGTCTTTCTAGGTCACGCTACACTTTTCTAAGATATCAGAAACTGGAGTGAAGTTCTCAAGTGTTGAATGGTTCTTCAAATAACTTCAACTCAAGATTAAAACTGTTTGTAGAAGGAAATTCGTATATTTGAAGTGGATTAGTGTCTCATTTCAAGATTTGCTTTTTTTTCAGTATTCAACCTAAACAACTGGGACTGTTCGATACAAAATGAATAGTGACATTAGAATATATTACGAATACTCGTAAAGAAATGTATTGATATATAGTTAAGTTCAACTTCTAAGTCTAAATTATTTGGAATTTCTAGAACTAACCAGCAGGAAATTAAGTGCATATGTCTCATTTACTAAATATTTGTCACATCAAGAACTTTCATCCCACTACAGATAATCAGTGTTGGCTTATTCACTAAGCTATTAAAGTATAAAGTAACCCACAAAAGGCTTCAGTAAGCAAGCGAATAGGTATCAATCCACAGGATTTCACCAGCAAAATGTTTGCATTATATTGTTATATTGTTTAAGTCACTGCTTATTCACATTTCTCAGTTCACCTGCCCTCCAGTGCTAATTAAGATTAGGTTCCTTTATTCTTTCTTTCTTTCCTATCTTGAAGGTGATATTTCTAAATGTTCAGTACCCAAAATTCTGTTTCTCATCAGTCTTTAAATATTAACAAGTGAATTTTCTAGCAACACTGTAAAAAGTAACCTGTAACCTACGTTCACATATTAAACGCTAGGTACTGTGATGGTCATAATGTAAAACAGTACGACGTATTATCCCAGTCTGTTGTATATTATTAGATTGGTTTGGTTGTACCAATCTGCTGTTACTTTACTGTGAAAGTGGAGCTGCGGATCATTAATGTAACCAGTTTACTTTCATCAATGGGTCATGTTGTTAGACATCACTCCACTTCTCAAGGTTTTAGCAGCCAACAAGTATCATTATCCTTGAAACAAAAGGTTTGGCTCATTGTCTACTTTATAAGATTTCTAAGACCATTTCAATTTTTTCCCAGTTTTATTCTGATAGTATTTTGTAAGTTGATGAGAGACGTTTCCATGACCAGCTAGCTTTACTTTTCAGTATGGCTTCATAAGAATTTGTGACAACAAATGACAGACTTGGGCTTCCATGTCACTGGACAGAACTAAATTGAGTGAAACCGAAATATTTGATGATGAAAATAGTATTATTTGTACGAGTAGAAGATAATCCTTCGTTGCCTGGGATATGCAGCTTATGTAGTGGTCTGATTTTATTGAGGAACTTACGAAAACTACAATAAGGTTTAATAATAAAATCATGCATTCCAGGTCACCGCCTACCTCAACGTACCATGCTACGGAAAGTTGGATTAGATAGGGAGAGGGTTCATGGTGGTTAGACTAAGATGTGGCACCAGTCGATGAAGTCTCTTACCGTTGATGTGAACCGCGTGGGGAAATGTAGACTACCTTTAATTGGATCTCTGAAACGAGGGAAGTCAGACGTGGAAGTCGACCACGATGGTGCAGATGTATTCACTCCTTGACATCTTTTAAAGCTTGAATATTCTCACTAAATGTTTTCCTAAGATTGTTTATTCTTTCACACTAATTAACCTATTTTGACATCAGTCTTTTTCTATCCACCCGTTCTTTGTATACCACTGTGAAGTGTATCAACTTGAGGCGACAGAATTGTGTGCGGGGTCCAAAGTTGATTTTGTCAGTTAGTCACTTCTTTCAAGAATGCTGAATTCAAAATTTCTGGCAATATTTTACTACGAATATTCCTTTTTCTCTTTGATTTAGACTCATCTATAGCGTTTGCAGTAGTCAATTAGACTAAACAAGTAGTCAGTAGTAGAATAAAAATAGTTATTAAACTTACCTTTGCCTTAATAATTCACCACTGTTGTCATTTACATCTTGCCTACTTCGTCTTATAAACATGACAATTTTTTTTTGACGATCTTCATCTTCATCCTCGTCATCAGTATCTTCTTGTCCACTTGGAATATTTAGTAAATTTAACCATTCGTCTGCCATACGAGTTTTCGATGCACGCCTTAATGATGCTGTTTCACGTGAAGCACTTAAATCTGCTTTTGCACGTATCAGTTCAGCGTCTAAATCTATACTACGACGTTCTAAACCAGAAATACGACAAGTGTAATGAATAACTTGATCTTCTAGTTCATGAATTTTCCATTTTTGGTGTTGATTTGTACTTCGTAATTCCATTTCTGATGCTTGAGTTGTTTGTAATTCAACCTAGGTAGGAAGAAAAGCTTTTTTATCAGTCATGGATTTCTTTAGAATATATTCGTTATTAAGTTAGTCAGGTACATGAGATCATCATACAGTAAAATAAGCTTTGTGACCGTTAAGTTTAGTATTTAGCACTAGTCTTTGTGACAGTTGACTGTAATGCCAAGTTATGTGTAGAATTTGAGGCTAAAGGAGATTTGTCTTTGGTACAGCATACCTGGAGACGTCTATCAACAATACTAGTTGACAATGTGAGATTGTGTTTCTTCTCAAGTTACTTAGCTTGTTTGGAAAACTCTCCATTTATACAACAAATAAATTCTAACTATTCGAAAAGTTTGTTTCCTTTTTCTCCTTTGGTTTTATAAATTTGAGCTGAAAGAGAAACACATTAAACGAATGTGGTAACCGTTATCAGTACTGAAATAACTAGCTGAATTTGTTGCTCACTCCTAGGATATGGTCACTTCATTGATTTTTCCTCTCAGATGAAGCACTTTATTGTGTTACTTCTGTTTTAACATCATTCCACCACAATCTTACTTATAATAAGAGACATTGGCAATAATATTAAATTTCGAGCAACTTCCTGATTGGATACCGAACCTTATTTAGCAATATCCTTCGATGTGTAGCTACAGTTTATAATTCTAGGCGTTCGAAACCTTGAACCCCGTAATTGTTGTACATTTGAATAACTTAAAGACAATAATCATTGCAAACTGAAGAGTTAATAGAGACTTTGATGCACCAGGAATTTGATTTATTATGAAACGGAGGTCATAAACTGTGAAAATCTTCCTTTCACTAGACGAAGCTGTGAGTTTTTAGTTTAGAGGTTCACAATTGAGTGGTCAGTAACCGGTTTGAGATACAAAATTTATCAAGCTGGAGCCATATTCAGTATATAGTACACGATGACTTACATCCAATATTGCAGGTTAGTTGATCGCAGTTTAAACATATTCTTAAAAAATGTGAATACTGTGTTTTGAAGAGAGTTCCTATTTAGCGCGGGATTGTCATTACGCTTGACACTGTCCTAAACTTAACTGTATTAATGTAAATCAATAGCTTTGATAAATACTACAGTTTATCAGTTCGATTGTCTGAGATACTCGTGGTTTGACCGTTGTTTCCTAGCTCGGTTGGTGAAGCACTAGACCAGAAACCCGAGGTTTGCTGTTGGGAATCTTCCCCGGTGCTTATAGACCATATGAACATTTAAACTGAGTGGACATGAAATTAGATTTGAATGATTTCAATAGAGAAATATCTTTGAAAAAGTTTATTTGCGAGTTTCGAAACCAATAACATTAGCTAATATTTTAGCAATATAAAAGAAAATTATCACGTACTACTTCATCATTCACTGTTCTTCGGTTGGTTTTACTAAAAAGGACGTAATTCGCTAAAAGAACCAATCAGAGACAATAAGTAATCAAACATGGTTTGATCGAATCTGTGTCCATTTCTTTGTGGGCTGAAGTGATAAATTTTTACCTCAAGTAAACCATTATTAGATATTTTTGCAGCAAAAGGCCTATCTGTAGATGAAGTGGGATTATTTCTTGAAGCCCTCCAATAGAATACTAAGGCTGAGGTAGACTGCCAGTTCACGTGACGTCTGACTAATATTTCACTATCAGAAGAGTTCGATCCCTGATAGGAATTAACAGAAAAGGCGGAAATAATCCCAGATAAATCTCAAATGTTACATTCAACTAACCATCATAAAATATTTTAGAAATTAGTGGTTTCAGTCGTTAATTAAAAGTAATGTTATGTAACGCTGAACTGTCGTTTTAGAACTTTGAGCGGTTGGCGAATAACTGTGACTTTATCTGGTTAAATGAATCAATAACTTGTAGTAAAGATGCAACAATGGAATAAATTGACTTCAAAGTATATCTCCCTGAAATGAGTAACTAAAGCCTTTATAACACTTTTAACTTTATTGTGATACAAAGTGAAAACTTTTCCACTTTTGAATTATTCTTACCTGTGTCTGTTCCAGCTCTTCCCGTACTCGTTCCAGTTCCCCTTTAATATCTGCGATACGTGCTTCATTGTGCATTTCTATTTCACGTAAACGTGCCTGAAGTTGACGTCGTTCAGCTGAATTTTCTGCTGTACTACCAGCAAGTGCTTGTTTACATTCTGTTAATTCCTTTCGAAGCATATCTCTTTCTGAGCGTAATTCATCCATTTCACGTAATTTAGCAGCAGCCATCTCTCTGTCAGCCGCTGCACGACCTGTAATAGTTGCTGTTTGTCGAATTAGTTCATCACGTTCTGTTTCAAGTTGTGACATACGATGCATTTGGGCTGTTCGTTCTCTGTTCAACATTTTCAAACGTAATTCAGTCTGATAAATGAAAAGTAAAGTTTGTAATTCCTCTACAGTTGGACTACTCATGAATAAAACTATTCAACTGGAAAGGTTACATTGTGATACATAATACCCGTCTAACTAGGATACTGTAATTAACATTCGACTGGGAAACATTTTCGTGCAATGAATGCTAGACGACGATAAATGGTTTTGTTGATACAAGATTTACCATATCGTAGTCATTGATAATCTGAATGAAACTGATAGTTCACTTTTGTACCATACATTTCTGGAGATTTAATTACTCCCCAGGAAATTTGAAGTGATTCTTATTACTAGTAAGTTATGTAATTATCATTTGATTATCTGAGATAGCCGTAGTTTGGCAGACTAGTATTTATACTGGGTGATGATATAAAGTGAAATGGAAATTTTGGCCACAGCCGAATTCGAACCAGCTATCACCGGGTTAGATTTGGATTGGGATGAGAAGTCCTGATTAGGCAGCTAGTGTGAATGCGATCAAGTGGTAGTAACGTGTCACGAATTCACATGATGTTAGGGGAAAATCTGTCTTTTGATTGAAGTAAAATAAAAATCTGGTCAACGGTCGAACATTGTAGCTCAGTTAGTAGAGCATCGAGCAAGAAACCCAAGGGTCGCTGGTTCAAATCTGGACTTGGCTCAAATTTTCATTTCACTTTCAATCATCACCCAGTATAAATCTAGTAATTATTAACTAAATTATTCTAATCGCTTACCAATATGCTATTTTCGAATTAATGCCTACTACACCATGTGAATTCATCTACTGTTGTTTTTATTTCTTTTTTTCGGTGGTGAAGCAACCGGTATATTTTTCGTTCTCCTCCTGTCTTATTCTGCCTTCAGTTATCGGTAGCTGGTTTATGTATCGGTGTAATTCAGGCAGTGATGGAAAGGTTTCATGTAGCTGAACTTGAATACTTATCGTTTATGTAACACAATTTAACAACTATACAGTTTTCTAAAAGGAAATAAGGTTTTGTAACCCTAGAATCGTATACAGCTTGAAAAACTAACTTGGGTATGCTAAATCTTGTGATTGCAGGTGTAGGACTGCAGTTTTTGTCAGTGAAAAGTTTGTAACTAGAGAAATAGTGTCGCTTACTGATTGTTATATGTTTCCAGTTGCGCTTGTACACTATGTATGAATTGCCTAGATCAGATAAACTGCTGGTCTCCATTTTCCTAACTTTTCTACAGAGAAGTCGAACACAGTAGATTAAATATGGGTGATTTATCGTTTACATACGTGCATAATTTATGCAACACATCAAGTCCTCTGAAAACTATATCTGTTGTCGGCATATTTCTTTTCATTTTTGAGATTTGTGGGGATTTATCGACTTCAGCTTTGTATTCATCATGGATCGGCATCAGCTGGAGAAACATTAGAAACCTTGGAGCAGTGGACAGATGATTCAACCTAATATGGGACTTCTCAGTATTGCCTATCCATGACACCACTGGGGGTCGAAACTAGGACTCTCAGGTTCCGCTACCACCACGTCACCATTAAGCCACTGGGTCGGAATCCAGTAGTCCACATTTTCTACTTCTATCGGTTCAAGATACAGCATGACCTCCATCCTATGCCGTCTTCGAGTAACTGTCTTCATATTTGACTGACAAGTAGGAATTCTGCAACACTGGACCCCGAACTAATGGCTCAGTGGTAACGCGCTAGTCGCGGAACCTTAAGGTCCTGGGTCCGATTCCTGGTGGCGTGGGGTCATGGTTTCGCACTGTTGGAAGGTCTCATACTAGTAAGAAACAGCTGTCCAGTGCTCCCAGGTTTCTAATATTTCTCCAACTGATATCAGTCTGTGATAAATACAAACCTGATATCTCTTTTCCATAACTTAATCCTCAGGTTGTGTATCTGCATGATTATATTATTTAGGTATAAGAATTATTGTGGCAATAACATAAAAGATTTTAAAGCTTTGAATTACTCTAATCAACCCATCCAATAATTCTTTTCAAGGAATATGCAAAGGAATTACAGTTTTCAAACTTAAAAGATGAAGGAAGCAACAGCAAACTGCGTGCAACAACTAGCGTTTTGTTTCCTACAACTACTACGTCTACTACTTTGGGCTGCTTTGAGAATAACAGATATGATATGAAGCTTTTTACTTTTTGAACTTCAGCATGGTAAGCATTTCTTCTTTATAATCTGAAACAATTTTGACACACTCATTTAATCTACTTTTCAGTCTATAGATATTTACAATTTACATAAACTTGCATGTCGCATGTTATCTATCTCTGTTTTCCAAATCCCACATTTAATCTCTGACGGTGATTTAGACACAAAACTTATCAATCTATTTCCCCTTTATAGTCTCATCTAACCTCTCATACTTTCCATGCCTATTCAAACGTAGTTTATGATTGGAGTGGATAAAATTCATTGCTAGGCTTTGATCACAATCATTTTCCATGGCAAATGACACTGAATACAATTCTCTGCAATATTCGATCTTCACTCTATAGCATTACACAAAACTCTCTGTAGGCCTTTAAATCTGTTTCGGTATAGGATTTTATGATGGGTTGAATTTAAACAATGTCATTAGGTTGCATCTGTTATAGCATTCCATGGTATAGAATATAGAGTTCTGTAAACTTGATGGTGAAATCTAGATTGAAGATAACACAAAGTATAGCATATGTGACTGCGCTTTCGATAGTCATGAAATATCATTAACCGGAGAGTAGAAATCAAAAAAATCCTTTCGAATAAAAGTATTGAATACAACTTCCCCTACAAATAAAGTAGTTCAAGTCGAATACCTGTCATACGTCTGTCATACATACATCCAAATGAACTGCAGTATCAGCGTATTGAAACATACGATGTTTATTAAATAGATCATTGCTTAAATATTGCAATTTATTATTGTGTGCAACAACTCATCTCATAAACTACAATGAACTCATTGTCATTCGTTTTGTTTAAATTCACTAACCTTCAATATTCAATATACGCCTGAAACTAGTGAATTCCATTTCACTTCTGTCTACTAAATAGCTAATTATTATCGCAGTTATTATTATTAGATCGTCTTATAAATTTTTTAATGAAGAAATTTCTTAACTAAGTTTTAAATGAGGGTCTTTTTTAAAATGCGGTAATTACTCCTAATATTTGTATAAATTGAAAGTGACATAGTTACTGGTAAATTTTAGTGCCATTACCATTCATGATTACTGATTGATGCTTATGACCCTACCTGTCCTTTGATGTAGAAAACTAATTCTTCAACTTATTCAATATATTGTTAATGGCTGATTTGAGTATGATTTGTGGAGATCGTTTTCATCGAATGTTGAATCATTGATAACTGAAAAGCGCTACATAGGTGTGCTATTCTAGTTTCCAGTGAATTCATATTATTTAAAATTGGTCAAATCTACAAAATCTAAACATCCGTTCAAGGTAAAACATTTTAATCCCTTTTTACTTAGGTTTTATCTTATTTAGTCCCATAGTATAGATTAAACCAAACAAGTGAATCGTAAAAGAAAACCAAAGACCTGTAGATTAAAACTTAGAATGAGTTTATACTTGAGTAGCTAAAATTTACTGACTGATCACTGTTTTGAACAATGAGTGTTCAAATCTTGGAGCAAGAAATAAAGAAGGTAACTTTTCTAATGTCATAGACCATTTTTATTGATAAATACCATTAGTTACGAATCCTAAAATTACAAGGTTTTTCTCTCTTGTTCACAAATATTCATTTTAAAATTGTCAACAAAAAGGCAAATTTATCCTCATCAGTCAGAAAAGGAAGAAGTGAATGGTCTAATAATGGAATAAGTTAAATGTTAGGTGCAATATGATTAAAGCTGGTGACGTTTAACTATAAGCAGCACTAACTACTACGTCCTATGTTCAAGGAAACTGCTCGAGATATCTTCCATGATGAATTGAAACTCATTAGAAGGAGGGTGATTTATTGTTAGGGGTCATTGTCACGATGTTGGCTTAACTTTATCAATAAAAATCTTCTAATTCCATGATGCCAGCGAGAACTGAACTCACAAATCCTAACTTCACTGTTGATATGTATGCAATAAAAATAGTGTTCGTAAGTATGCTATGTGTTTGCATCACTGAAGTGCAAGGTACTCTTGTAAGATTGGAAAGAACCTGTGCCTGCTCTCACTGTTGATAGCAGTCGAAAAGTCCTTATATCTAGGTAATTGTGTAAGTGCTGGTGGAGGTGTGAATGATGAAATTTGAAAGCCAGAGTGACATATGTCAATCTGGGTCACCTTTAGCTCCGTTATAACGTTTGTCTGACCGTCAAATTTCAGGTTTATAATGCTTCTGCACGAGCAGTTCCTCTCTATGCCTGTGAAACCTGACTTCTTCAAGCGGAGGATGTGCGGCGTTTCCATGTTTTCGATCATCGTTGTCTCCGTAGGATTGATAGTATCCCGTGACAACACAGTAATTCTGAGGTTTGGCAGAGTGTGTTTGGGTGTGATGGAGATAGTCATTTAGCAAATGAAGTCATCTGGAAACACCGACTTCAGTGGCTGGGACATGTGTTACGCATGTCATCCTAACGGCTTGCATACCGTTCATTGTTTGCCAACCATGGGAGTGGATGGAAGAAGCTGAGGGGTAGTCAATATATGACATAGCGACGTGCGATAAAGGATAGTTGTATTGGGTAGCATGTGTTGGTGTATCACGACTCCCTGGGTTGGGCCAAGGGACCGCGCAACTCTGGCTTCAGACGTTATGAGATATGGATCGGAATAGAATCTAGTGGTGGTCATGCTGTAGCTTCCTTTTATCTTCGGCTTCTGAAAAGTAATGAATGTTTGCTTTGAATATATCTTAACTGACTGCCTTTCTAACCATTCTATTCTTATTGTGTTTTGTTTTTATCTACTTTCCCTTGCTTTATGTCTTCATAATGTTGTTATATTGTTTTGTGTGGCGCATTTTTTGATGTCTTGCTGCACCATATTTGTGTTATAATAATAATAATAATGCTGGTCTCAGCGATCAGACACATTGTAGTAAATTAGGCACAACTTACATCTTCTAATAGTGAAGTGGCATTCTGTAATTTCACATTTTGTATATCCAATTCCATACGCCATTGTTGTTTTTCTTTTTCCAATAAATTCAGCTTTTCCTCTTTTTCTGTCAACTTTCGGAAAGTAAAATGTGTAAAAGTATTCATTAAAATTTCGAAGGAAAACAATTTTTTGTTACTAAGATAGTTTTCATATTTGAGATATGCAAATAAGAGAAATAGGCAGATTAACCTTCATTCCCTCATTGATTTCATTGTCTTATCTCATAGTAATGTCCGGTTTATTGACGTCTCTGTGTACCTCTTGGTGCATAAAACACTCTTGCTTTAGACATGGGATAACTTACTTTGTTGAATTATATTCTTACTGTCTATCATATCTTAGAGCTACTGAACAGGCTTCATAATGTCAAATACATGATAGCCCTCTTTTCAGTTAGCAATCCAGTTTAACTATGATAAACAATTCTGCAGCTGAGAAATCTCCTTTCCCCTTCACCTCCTCTGAAACACTGTATGCTGTATTTGAATAGTACTGCTGAATAAGTTCTCAACACTTGTAGACTTTGACATACGTACTGGAAGAAAAATGTAAACCGTGACTGCAGGTATTTATAACTAACTAGGCAGTATCGTTTCAACTATAGGCGGCACAGATGAAGATATCAAAGCAGCCAGGATCTGAAAAGCAAAACAGGCTTTCATTTATCTGAAATCAGTGTGGAGATCTACTGCACTAAACTCAGCACAAAGAACAAGATCCGGATTTTCAACATCAGCGTCAGTCAAGTCAGTGCTTGTGTATGGTTCAGAAACTTGGCGTGTCACGAAAAGCATTTCCAGCAAACTACAGACATTCATCAACAACTGCCTAAGCTGACTCGATACTGAAGATAAAATCGCCAGAAAGAATGAGCATCAAGGAACTCTGGCAACGAACTAACCAAGAACCTATCACTCAACAAATATGCAGAAGGAAGTGGAGATTGATTGGGCATGCACTGAGAAGGCCAATTGGGAACATCACATGCCAGACGCTTGAGTGGAATTTGAAGGGGAAACGACCAGTTAGGCGTCCCAGGTGAGGGTGACATGGAAGAGATCATGTGAGAAAGAACTGAAAGCTTGTGGGCAGTCGTGAAGCCAGGTTGAAAAGACTGTAGAGAGCAGAGTGGAATGGAGGCGTGCTACTGAAGCGGTGTGTTCCACTAGGAACTCAAAGGAAAAATAATAATAGTCTAAATTTTAGCTTGAGAAATCGTTTACTGGGAAGAGCAGAAAACGTTTCATTGATACACCAATAAGGATAAATTATTTTGAATCTAGAAAAAGTATGTTGTGTATGCACAAAAGGTAAGCAACTATTAATAAAGCCATTTTACAACAAAATTTACTCAATTTTGTTCTCCTACCGAATATTCAAATAGAGTAAATGCATTTTTACTGTTCTATTCATTTGATTGTAAGTTATGAGTCAGTATTAACTATCGAACTTTGGTTTTCAACATCATATGAAGTTAAACACTTTAGTTTTGTGTAGATTGTATTTTCTCTTCGTTATACAGGTCAAACATGATATGTTTTTTTTTCACAGTTTCTTGTTAGCACCATTTAATGGTATAGAAATCAACTTCTTAAGTTGTAAATGTTTGTTATTTACATATTCATTGGATATGTCCGAGTATATACTAACTAACTCACTGATTAATGAATACTTATTGATTGATTCCTGTTTGATATGCAGATTCACAAAATCATTCATAGTCTTATAAAAAAGTTATAAATTAATTCAGTGTTACACTATTCACCTGTTCATTTCATTTATCTAACTCAAACTTTTAGAAATACTGAATTTGTAATTAGTTTTAGTGGGACTTTCTTTTTAGCTAAATAACAAAATGGAGACAAAATATTTGTAGAATATTGATTCAGTTTTAATATGACCAGGATAATGAAGTCAAGTTCTCAAGAATTATTTATTTATTAGTCCCTTGGGTTCCTAGTGGAACATAGGGCTTCAGTAGCACGTCTCCAGTGACCTCTGTTCTCTGAGATCTTTTGAACCTGGTTCCACGATAGCCCAGAAGCTCTCATTTCCTCCTCGCACGACCTCTTCCATGTCACCCTCGCCTCGGACAACCAACTCGTCGCTTCCCATGGGGATTCCACTCGAGGGCCTGACGCGTGATGTCCTCAGTCGGCCTTCTCAGTGTATGCCCAATCCATCTCCACTTCCTCCTGCATATTTGTTGAGTGATAGGTTCTTGGTTGCTTCGTTCCCAGAGCTCCTTGTTGTTTATTCTTTCTGGCAATCCATCTGATCTTCAGTATCGAGCCAGTGTAAGCAGTTGTTGATGAATATCTGTAGTTTATTGGAAATGCCTTTCGTGACGCGCCAAGTCTCTGAATCATACAGAAGCACTGACTTGACGTTGGTGTTGAAAATCCGTATCTTGTTCTGCATGCTGAGTGCAGATCTCCACACTGGTTTCAGGCTAATGAACGCCTGTCTTGCTTTTCCGATTCTGACTTTGACGTTCTCGTCCGTCCCGCCTGTAGTTGAAACAGTGCTTCCTAGATAGGTGAAGGAGGTTACTTCCTTTAAGTTTCTCCCGTTGACGGTGAAAGTTCTCAGGAATAGAGTTATGTAATTCAGTATATTGTGTTTGTCGGATATAAGGCTATATTCATTCATAGTTATAAGACTTCAAAAAGATAGAGACAAGAAGAGAGATAGAGAAAGATAAACAAACACATGAAGACAATTTACTGAGAAGTAATATTTATCATTTCTAGAGCAGTTTCATTGTCTACTTTCATGCTTCGACACTAGAACACTGATGAATTCAACGTTGAATAAGTGAAATGGCTGTTCAATGATAAGATGATGATAGAAATTCGTTGGTCAATGCTGATACCATTCACTTGCATAATTCATAGACTTATTGTATGCTCTTAAATGAGGTAAATCACATCTTTGTAATCTCAGTCAAATGATTTTGCAATCAAAATTCTGTTCATATTGTAGTTGCTTTGTCAAACAGAATAATTAGACTGCGATGAAGATGGTAAATGTAAGTACAATTACTATATATCAAAAGATGTACGCGTCAGTAGAATGAAACTTTCAACTTTCAGGTAGCCATCCAACTTGTTTTCTTCAAAATTTACCGGTTACCCTTACACTTATAAATTGAAATTTTCAGTTACTTAAAACAGCGATAAAATATTTCTTTTTTCAGTTTGTGCCTTATTTCATTGACCTTATAAACTACAATTTCTAGTTACTCAGCGGTAAACAGACAGATAGACAGACAAAATTAAAATAAAACATTGCACACGGGTGCATCGCTTCAACTTGCCGCACTTCACAGTAGTGTACAATGAACAGGTGTATATGAAAAGAGTGAGATCAAGTACACAAGTTGTGTGAGAGGATAAGCAATTTGAAGATAAGGGTTAGTGAAAGTATTCAAGCTGTAGAGGACGTCAAAGGTTCAATAAATCTGCAACAGTGTGTCTGAATTTCAGCCGTTCCATCCAGACTCCTCAAGCACTTATTCCTTTCTTTCCAAGCACCACAATCAGATAGTCTACACCTCCCTATACGGTTCAGACCAACAGTCAGAGACTTCATGCATAAGTGTTATGTCTTGGTCTGGGCATTCTGAACTCTCTCCCAACTTAATCCAACTTCCCCTAGCATTTCACGACGATGCAGGTGGTGGTTCGGCACGTGAAATACATATACAAGCTACCTCAGCCGATGAAGGTTCACAATCTCATCAAATGAGTTTCTTATCTTGCCTTTTACCCTCCGCTTGACTTCCACATTGCTCACACAATGATTCAACCAAACGCGAGCAAGGCTAAAAAGACACCTATGATAAAACCCTGTAATCGTTTTATATCAACCTTACCTCACAGCCATATAACAAGACAGAAAGGAATGCGTCGCAGTAAACTCATAATTTGATAGGTATTCAGTCGGTTACCTCACCATTTGGGGCAAGAGATGATGCAAGTTGTCGGGAAATATCAAACAAAGCTTCTGTATCCCAGCTGAGATTTTGTCAACAACCACCTCATTTGGCTTGATGTAACTCCCCCAGTAAGTGAAGGGGTCAACCTACTTCACCTCTTCACTCCCTATCACTAGACTGGGAGTAGCTGCACATCGGTCCTGAAACATCACCCTAGATTTGTCAGATGCGAGACGCATCCCTGACAAACACACCCAGATTTCTGCTCAACACATTCAGAAGACCCCACGTTTCGTAAATATCAATATCGCCTGCGTATTCCATATCAATCAGATAACCTCCAGCGAGTAGATTAATCTCTTTGAAGTCAGATGAACCTAACGTTATGCCAATCAGTATATCTATAACAAAGTCAATCGAGAACGGAGACAGTCAAAATCGCTGTCGGACACCACTAGTTGTCTTCCATATACATTGCAACTCTCTATAGACCCTTACATAGCTGCGTGAACTCAAGTAGGCAGTTTTGACTAGCGTTATATAGTTGCACGGTACTCTCTTTGCAGTCAGATACTGGTACAACACCTGACGGTCATCAGAGTCAAATACCACCATCAGGTCAAGAAGTATGACGTGTCAGCCCCTGACCAGTAGGCATGTCTGTGTTGCAGAATCTACCATAGGGTAAAAGTACGAGTAATGCATCCTTGTCAAGGTCTAGAAGCTCTATGGTTTTCTTGAGTTTGCTGTTCTCAAGCTCCAGTTAGGTGTCAGATAACTATGAATCACGGAATCTTGGATACAATATTAGTCAAACTAATTCCATTATGGTTATCACAGGAAGACTTCTCTCCCCTCTTATAGACTAGGATGACCAGTGAAGTAGACCAGTCTAATGGCTTTACCTCTGATTCGCTGTTCTCTGACTAATTATATGGAAGACTTTTAATAATTGAGACAATTCATTTCTTTCATAGAGTTTGAATTGGAAAAGAACAAGAATTGAAGCAGATCAACGTGATTTCGTTTTATTTCGTGGACTTCCATCAGATGTTTAAACAGTTTAAATCAATATTTATGTCAAACATGAAAAACAACCGTATACTTCGATTGAATTGACAGGAAAATAACGATTAGTAGGGAGGATACTATAATGTAGCAGTGTGAAGTTTGCATAGCGGAAATGAGCTACGTTTTACTGAAGAAATTGAGTTTTAGACAACTGAACTGAAAACTTACTTGGTTGTGGCTAGCAGAGGAATCCAGAATGCGCGTTAGAGGTTGAACAATTGAATCCAGTAAAACAACGGAGAATTACAAGTATATCCAAACAGTAATAAACTGAAAACTGTTTATCTAGAAAGCGATATTTCTAAGTCTTTTGCAACTATCATAATTTTATCTGATGTTCAGTTGTAAAACACTTATCCTTCACGTCATCTGATTCTCTTTTATCTGATTCATTTTAAACTGTTGTCTACTTCCTGCAATTCTTATGTTGTGATCTGTCGTTAGTTTATTTACTGAAACTTTGGTAAATCGTTTTCTTTTCATCGGTAGAAAATTTTGTCTTAACCCTCTTTTCAGTTTCGTTAAGTGTTTTTGGAATGTAGTTATCTCATTAACTGAGAACTTGTTCAGTCGATCCAATAAACAGATCCTTGTCAGACTGACTAAAATATAGAAAAACCTATTCATCTTATTGTCTCGATAGCTAATGAAAATCACCTAAATGAGATGATCTCTGCTGTGGATTTCAAAACCAGGAAGAAATAGAGACATCAGATACCTTATTGAATTCAACATAGCGTCAACTGATATCAACTGGTAGAAACTGTCTTCAAGCGGATTACAATGTTAACATTTAACATGGGTAACAAATCTAAACTTGAGTAGAAGAAGATAAATCCATTTGAAAACTGACTGGTAAGAAAAATAACTCAGGAGACAGATAGTTGGATCTTATGACGTTATGTTTATTGAGATAACTATCCAGGATAAACACAGAACCTAAATAGAAGTAATGGCCAGTAATCTATCGTTCAGCAAACGGATATGGTTGGGAAAAAGCATTAGATGCGACTTCCCTGTATCAAGTGGGAAGTTAGTACGTGCAGAAGAATATCTAGATATTCAGGTGGTCAGATAAGTCAAGGGACCAGAAAGCTGAATCCCTGCAATAAAACTTTCAGATATTGGTTTGGTCAGACAAACAAATATACTGCATCAATAATCTCTGGGAAAACGTTTAAAATCATGGTAATGATGAACAAAAGATGTAATACCTATTCTGAGAGAAGTTTCCTTTTAGAGCTAGTTACGTCAAGGAGATCGTAAACATACAATCACCACGTGTAATCTAAAACTTCAAACGTGACATGGACATCTTAGTCTGAAGAGATGAGATCAGTCAATAAGCCATTTTTGAGTTTACTTGAAGACGAAACTGGAGATAATAATCCTACAATAGACGGATCATTTTTGTACCAACTAGTAGGTTATTCAAATACGGTTTGACATTGGTTATCTGCTTTGAAAAATAGGTGCCACTGTACTATAGAACTGGTGAGAAAATATTCTTTAGGGGATTAATCCATAATATCATATACAGTAAACATTATTAATGCAGAGATTACAATGTAAACTATCACCTACTTGTCTTTGCATTGCAACAGGATCATTATCGATGCGATACTGTTCGTATTCTTCTCGAAGCTGATCCAAACTACGCTTGTAGAACATAGCATCGGCTCGTAGTTTTGATTTCATTGATTCCCATTCCTTTGCTACTGTATAAGGTAAAAAAATAGGGATAATGCTTCATCAGTTATGTAACAGGCTTAGAAGAAAAAATTCTTAGATATTTGTGATTGTCAGGGATATGCATTTTTAACCTTGAAGATTCACTCAACGACAACATCTCCTCTGGGCTAGTTTTAAGATTTTCTAAAAAAGAGTATGGATCACATCATTCAATTCACCGTTTTGTTATTCACCTATCCGTCGAATATTTAAATCCTATAAGTTATGTTTTGTCTAGTGAGTGTCAGTGACCTCAATTTACTTAAATGAGCTTCAGTAGTTTGTTAGTTTACATCTGTTGCATAGGAGAAGTTTCGTGATAAATTTGTCCAGCCCACTAATATCAATAAACAAAAGAAGCGTTTTCTGACGACTGATTCGAATGATTAAGCAGCGAACTAAGTTAACCACTGTGTCCCACTCATTCCCTTAATAAGCTTATCTCATGTCTGTCCCATAAAATTAGATTGAAACTTAAGACTAGTTGTTGTAATAACTTTAAAGTTTACTGATTTAAATTTGTAATGCATTTGAGCATTCAATGGAATTATCTTCAGTGATCCGGAGACAGTGGTAATTCTGATTTAAGAATACAATAATCTAGAAACGGAAGTAATCAACAAGAATTTTAGACGTTGTATGAGTTTGTATCAATTTTTTACCACCATACAATGAAACTTTTTCCAAAAAACAAAATGGCAATAGGCATAAAATCTATTTTCGAAATATATTTATATATAAATGTTTCCCATTTTACGAAGCGTTCTTGTGGTATTAAAGACTTTTATTTATATTCCAGATGCAACATGCGCTGAATGGAACGTCAAAGGAAACTGAGGAACTCAATTGACGTACAATTCGATTTATTGTATTTTATTTTTCATTCGCCACGACCCCCTAGAATAAGTTCAGACAACTAGGGGCCACTTCAGGCAGTGAGCCCATCGAAAGAGTTTTATCAGTGGAGAAACCACTGGGTTTTTACTTCCGGGTGGTATTGTCTTAGGGTCCTCATGAACCCACTGGGGGGGGAGTGATCTGTAACGTCACACACTTCTCCAGAATCAATAGCCTAGAGTCCGACGACATTCAATATCGATGCTGACCTTCATAGTTTAACTGGACTCGCTAAGCTTAAGGCACCCAGTCAAGCATCCTCGCCATTTTGCACTAATCGTAATCGACCCTCTGGCCAGTTAGTTGGTACGTATCGGTACCTTGGACAGACTTCGCAAATATAGTATTCTATCCGACTGAGCTATTATGTTCTTTCTTGATCCCGTATTAGTGGGTATATAACGAGTTCGAATAATTAGCGATTGGTCTCTGCGTCTGTCAAGTTCGCACCAAGACAATTCCTAAGAGTTCATCTCACCTAAAGTGAAAACGGGCGAAGTGTATAAAAATTTTCTTTTGTTGTAGCCTTCCATTTTTCCTAAGAAACCATGATTTGCTCATAGATGGTCTCCCAATATGACCTATATGGGTTCCATATTGTTTTCTTAACCCGTAGAAATTAGGTCAGTAATATGTTATATATGGATGACTGTGTGAAGTTCATTGACATGTCGAATTATATACGCGCTAGTCATCTGTACATATTGTGTTGTCATGTTACACTTATTAACATTTTAAAAGAGGCATAGTTTTGTGTAGCCCAGGCGAATGAGCCTGGTTGTGTTGTATTCTTTGAGCTGAAGGTTTTGTTGTTTTTCTAGACAACATCAGCAGCACTAACTTCGACATGCCTTTACACTGAATAGCTCAGTGGTAACGTCGAATCTCAGTCGGGAAATCAGTTCCGTCGGGGTTGCAGATGCGTCTTGCTGATGAGTGCCAACAACCATGAAACCTGTATCCAGGACTTCCTACCGATTGCCTTCATATCCACCTAACATCTATCAAAGTGCATCGCGATGTTGAGCTGCCTAGTTTGGTTACCCTTCAGTGACCAATAAATGCATAATTTACATCCCAGCAACATGGCTATGAAACCATTTTTCGGTAAAGTATCATATTATCGTCTTAATCAACCACCTATAACATAGTCAACAATCCGCTTCTTATCGAAACTAAACTTTATTCAGTCTGTAATTGAACGTATCTTGTAAGTTAGAATTTAGAAGCGACTTTCGACTGACCATAAATGTATTATTCACTCATTTATGACTGATGACTTCGTAAGACGCGTAGTTTCGCCTTATCATTCTGCAATCTCGCTTTTCTATATTCCTATTAGTTAACTGTCGTTTCTCGATTATGACAGGTCTTAGTGTACTCTTTAAACTTAATAATCATGTACGTGGAACCTTAGTGTGTTTTGTACTCGACCAGTGTTAAGTAACACTTTGTGGACTGAATTATGAGGTCGAACTATTAACCAACTGACAATTTGACTTCTGTTGCCGGAAATGTTTTTATGACTGTCCTGTGAATTAATGTCCATCATTCAGAATATTAGCTTCCTAACCAGGCTTTTTGACTGTAATCCTGAAATTGTTGTTTAACATCCTGATAAAACCCAGGGTTTCGTGTGACTTCAGTCATCATCCTTAAAAATTAAGACGAATCATTCAGGTAAGCTTATTTGTTTATTTATTAGTAATCTTTGGTGAACAAAAAGTAAAAGATGGCTCTTTGCTTTCAATGCCCAAAATGATTGTCTAAGTTAGAATGAAACCTGAGAAATAGTGTATTGACTCAGATTATGATACATTTCCACACTGAGAAAAGCCAACTTAGGACTAAACGAAGATGCATTATCAAACAAACGAGGACAGTACAATTCTGAATATGTGTGAAATAAGGAGTGCACACATCTAAGTAAATGAGTTTGCTTTCTAAACATGCAAAAAATGACTCCTGAATGATTTTATTCACCGTCATGGGGAACATACTATGAAATCCTATACTTTCCATACTGTCTTCTGTAATGAGCGTCTAGATTGAAGACAGTGAAGCTGATGCTAAATAATACGGAAACGGCTGTAGATCTTGCTGATTAATCACTAAAAAATTCACAATACCTGAAGAGCTGATCAGGACTTATCAAAATGATCAAGAGTCATCGATTTCGAACGTTTATTCATAAATTGGTTCAACTTGTGAAAGCCATCTGTATATCATACTGAAAATGCATTAGAGTTGACAAATGTACTGTAATCAAAAGCTGCTATCTACAATACGAGCCACAAAACATTTAACTTAATGCAGAGATGAAATATCCTGAAAATTTATCTTCATTTTGTCTTGCTTCTTTTTGATTATCCAGTTAAAAGTGGGATTTAAGAGTCTTGACTGAGATTTATGATCATCTAATGAGACAGTAAATAAATCTCGAAGTGAGGAAGGCTAAGATAGTCTAATTATCGACTTACCTATATCTTCTTCTGGTTCATCGTATTCACGCAGTTCTGCTAACTGTTGTTCAAGTTCCTTATTCTGTTGTTCAAGTTTTGTACACTTTCTTGATTCATCGTCCAAAAGTTCATGAACTTCTTTCAACGCACGTTGGTTTACCATTTCTTTCTTTACAAGATCATCGTATTCGTCCTGTATATGACGTAACTGTCTATCCAGTATAGAAATTTTATCGTATAGACTGAAGTTCTCAGCTTCTAATTCCTCCCTGTTTTCTGCCTCCTGTTTAACGGTGTCCTGAAGTCAGAAAAAAAGCAGAGGTGAATTTAAGCTAAATTCATTTTGATGGTTGTAACTCTAAATAGCAAACAGACCTGGCAGTATCTCAATACTGAGACAACTTAGCCATTATCTGCAGTGACTTGGTATTCGACCTATGATAGCATCATTTATGAGGCAAGAAAATAACAACTCCACTAGTAGGTGAATCTACGAATAAAGTGACTTCTAGAGAGTAAATAGTCTTATGATTTGACTGATCATATTGTCTGTCACAGAAACAGCTATATAAACTGTTATTAAAATTCAGAAAATTGAGGAAAGTCTGCAAGTTTTAACACCTTCTTCTGAATATATGACCAGACAAAAACATGATGTTTTTAGCTCTGAGTACAATAAGATACGAGAGTTGCTGAAAATGCTAAAGAGACAGAGTGTTCACTTGTGATAGCGGACTAGATTCATCAAAAAGTTTGGGGTGAAAGCTGAAGCTGTCAGTTAAATAATCTCTCAGAAATCTAGTCTAGTGATCTATTCTCTATAAGAGTCAGTTGAATAATGAGAACAGTACTTCAAGAAACTAATTAGTTGGTCTGTAGATACTCTTTATTGGTTCACAATCTGGTCACAAACTGAATTATAAATTGATGTGATATCATCAACTATGGTAACAGTTGGTAAGGTTGTGAGTGCTCTCAAGAAAGGAACGACAACAGTTCCATGTGTGCTACTGTTGTTCATATTTGTAGATAGTGGCTTAGCATTTTTGAACATACTTAATGTTATAGACGACGTATTTATGCTTGTTGATCACTTCTGAATGATCACATCAGACCTGACAAACTAGAGGTCACTCATATTAAAGAATGTAAGCAGTTGGTTTCACCACTGGATGTAACCTCTCTAGCAATTGAAAAACGTGAATTATGTTTAAATGTAGAATATGCTACAAAAAAATACGCTTTGTTCAGTTTCATTTCTAGGAAATATGATCGTTAAAAGTTGAAGGTTTGTTATGATCAAAGGCACCTTGATAGCGTTTAATTGGTACAGTCCTGTGTAAAACTTTCATGTGAATGATGTAGCAGTTAAACTTGAATCTAATTCAAATGATGAGGTTGTGAGCCTACTTGTACTTCAGTGGTTCGGGTACTTGTTGTACATACCTAGCGATACCGTTATATTCCATTAAGTGTCAAACATCCTATCATCTCATAACTTTCATTTATTTTCAAATATTTTTGTTTACCTTTCCTATTATCTTTGTGTGTTTGTAATTTGATTCCTTTGTTATTTCTCATATTATAGTGGTCATGTAAATCGTGTTAACTTTGTCAGACAAACAATTATCTACAGTCATGAGTTGCCTATATCTTTCGGTTGTCATAGATTATTGTAGCACTTTTTTCTTTGTGTTGAACAAATTAATTTCAAGGGAAGATCTTGACCAATAGATTCCAACTCAATGGTTTGGAAGTAAAATGGTCTGCAGGAGGTGTTAATATTCTGCGTTTGGTGTCTTATTGAAACTGTCTAACAAAAATGCTATTTAAAAAAGGGAATAAACTTATGCAAATGTTAACTAAGATTACTTAAAGATATTAGGTAACTTTGGGCTTCTGTCTGCCACTTCCCGAAAAATTGTAGGCAACTGACATGTTTTCATCTTTCACACTGTCAGCGAATTTCTATAGCATCATGAACTTAAACAGCATTGAATGTTGGACAAACCGTGAGCACTATTTAATGTTGGAGCTTATATGAATGCACAAAAGACATCCACACAAATTAAAAGTATACGAGTATGTATCAGTGGAGTCTTAGGCAAACAATAAAGTACAACAGGGAATCTTTCAAGAATGGTACGTCAGACTTTATACATGCATTTTTTGGAAGTATTTCATCATTTAGAAGAGTAGTAAAATCTTACAAGCCAACACTGAGATTATTAATTTGGACCCCCAGGGGGAACATTATTTAATTTTCCTTTAACAAAGTTTAGTTTTTTTTCCCAGTTGTATTTACTATGAAATTCCCAGATAAAGACGTTATCCAGAAATTCGACGTTCATGGTTGAACGGAGGCATAAATACTGACACATTGAATCTGATATTCTGTGTACTGGTCACCAAGTCATCATTTGTGCCCATATTCACCAATTTATGTCACAAACAAAACTTACTTCAGATTCGATCAACTGCTTCTGTAAAAATTCAAGTTGTCTTTTCATTTCAACCAGTTGATTTGATGCATTACTCCTTGGGGTTAGATCATTCACTTCTTCTCGAGACTGAGTTCTGGAAGATCCGAAGAAATGCTGGTTTTGTTGATGGTTCAAAGTTGTCTTGTCAATCATAACTGGAGAATTTAGTAATTCCAGAGCCCCATGTGTACCACTGTCAAGTTGAGACGACATTTCAGGATGAGATGACAAATATTCCCTGAGCTTAAGGACCAAGTCACGATGTGTAGTAAGCTCATTTTGGAGCTCAGTAATTAATTCCTAACAAAATCAGTGTTAATTAGAAATTTAGAGTTACAACTTTCAAAATTTAATTAATCATCAACGAATAGTTACAAATAACCGAGGAAATTTTTAAACCGGTTGTGCAGGTCAACTGAGTAATACCACGGGAATACTTGGACTGACCACATGCTAGTTGCTATTTGAATTACACAACTTCTGTATCAGAAAGTGTCAGTATGATCCAGCCTAAAGATATGTTGTCAACTTAAATCGCAAAAATATTGGTATAATGTTTTTCGATCGGTTTAAAAGATTTTCATTCACATATATTTGCATGTCGCACGAAACCAGCTTTAAATAGTAGATTCTCTAACACATCTAAGAAACCACAGCAAACTTGCGCAATTTATTCTCTGAGATGATTTATTTTTATGAACAGGCACAAGCATTCAAAATACAGTAAAACAGTCAGTCATCTTAGCAACACACGACATGTTTACAAAGTCTGTGTCTCTATAGAATTTCAATATAAAAGAAAATAGAACAATCTTTCACATAGTAATTGCAGTACAAATGACTGATTTGAGTGCAATAGAAGTAGAACTATAATTAATTATTACATAAAAATATAGTACTCACAAGATGCTAGTAGCATAAGAGTAAGTCAACTAAAAATCATAGAATGTGCTTTAGAATGTCAAAGTTTTAAGTCTATCAAATAAGATCAAGTGATTGATTAAATACAGTTGTCCAGTACTTTCTGTCCTATGAAAATTACCACTAATTTTGGCTGTATCATTTCAATAGACAGAGATTTCAATGTAAGACAATGAACACTCATTTCTGAAGTCAACAAACATCATAATTTGGGGTAGTATTCATCACTGATTGACATCAATTGGGGAACCATTGAAAAGCTGGAGACACCGGCCAGCTGTTTCGTCCCAGCACAGGACTCCTCGGAAGCCCCCATCTGAGAAGTCCCATACTGGGATGAAATAGCTTTCCAGTGCTACCAGGTTTTCGCATGGTTCTCTTATTGATGCTAGTCCTCGATGAATACTACCCCAAAGGCAAAATACTTATTGGCCTTAAGATATCATATCAACGTTGTACTGTATAATCCAGCTAGCTGGTAGCCATTTCAAACCACCAGTTTTCTTGTGGTGTTGAGTGTGCATTTGTGATGAAGAGATGACGACAGGCTTCAGAAGCTGACAGTATTTACATCTGAAAGGTTTATTCACCGACTGCTTCGAAAAGATTTTTTGTATAGTGATAAGTGTGACAAATGTAATGAAGAAGAAAATATGTGTGTCATCTGTAGACAATACTGAATATGAAACCATTGATACCTAACAAATTTTCCAAGTTGGTATTCATCATGGGCTGACATCAGTAAGGTGAACATTAGAAACCTGGGAGCACTGGACATCTGATTCCTCCTAGTATGGGACTCCTCAGCACTGCGCACCCATGACCCCACTAGCGAATCAAATCCAGCCCCTCCAGGTCCCATGGCCAGCACGTTAGCATTGAACCACTGGGGTGGAATCCTATGGTCCATATTTCCAACTTCTGTCAGTTGACGACATAGCGCGACTATCACCCAACTTCATCGTTGAGTAATTGTCCTGATGGCCACAAAACTTAAAGGTCCTGAGTTCGATCCTTGAAGGGTGGTGTCATGGGTGTGCCCTGATGAAGAGTCTCGTACTTAGATGAAGCAGCTGTCCAGTGCTTCCAGGTTTCCAATGTTCCTCCAACTGATATCAGTCTATAATGAACACTAACTTGAAAAATCACCAAGTCCCTACAAACCCCCGTATTCAACATAACAAATTTCTATGAAGAAGAAGATTTAGGAAGATTTTGCATGTATAACTTTTCTATTTCTACTTATCCTGTTATCTCAGCATTTTATACGCATTAAGTCAAAAGAGTGTTAGAGAAATGAGTTGTGAAATATAGGTTTATGAATTTCAGATGGAATGATGATTTCACACGTAATCTGATTTAAATTCTCCTGAGAACCAATCAGTGTAAACACAGCCGATACAGACAAATATTGACTATCAGTTAACTGGTATGCCGAACAGTGGTATTCACATCAAATGTCCTCAAAAGAGTATCACTTAAAGATATACTTGAATTTTGCATGAAAATGGAGGGAAGGTTCAAGTTCTGTAAGTCATTGTCATTGTATCCACGTGTCACGCACTTTAACAGGTTATGATCTGTTAAGTGCTACATGATGCTTGATAAGTAATACTATGGACCTCAGCTTCGTGCTTACTGCGTTTATCTGCTGTGTATTCCCTCGATCACACGGCAATAATACATCTTAAACAGAAGATTCACTCAGTTCAGTGCTTAAACCAAACATTCTATCAAGTAATCGGTGTTGGCTATCAGATGGTAACCAAATAGTGTTGAATGCAAGATCCAAATCTTATCTAAACATAACTTCGTCTTTCATTATTTATTCTTCGTACCAAACATTCCTGTAGAAAGAATATTTTTTCCAAGGTGACTGAAATCCTTCAGTCTTGCATAATGACTTGTGTTTGACTTTGATTTTAGTCAGTATCAAGAAGTGGCTGTTGTCTACTTTGAAACTAATAAGTTCATCATTATGTATTCTTTTTCTTTTGAACTATTATCCTCCAATAATAATATTGTCGTTGATTAACTAAGTTGTATCATTATGTTTTCACCTCTTTCACCTTCCAGATGAAATAAATAACTGACTAGAAGACCGCTACACTTATAAGTCATCATATCTGGGAAATTCAACAGAATGTAAGAGTAGAGTGTTTTTAATGAAGTATGCCAGTAATGACATGAATTTGTACTAATATAAACCCTTGGACCAGGTGTAAGGTTTTTAACTGAGCTAGAAACTCTGCTTTCTGGCTTACAATGGCTATTCTGCACTTATCACAGTTAATTGAAAAAGTCCTCTTCCAGACCATTAACTAGGCTTGCATCTTCTAGCTTGCATTTTCGAATAATGATTAAACATGATCAAGTAAAGTATTTAGCTACTTGATATTAAAGTTCTAGACATATTCAGAGTACACACGAATACACTGATCTGAAGAATGGATGAAGATTTAAGCTAGATGACGATTGAAATAAACAATCTATTTCTGCTTTTACTAAGCTCTCGCTTTCATAAGGTAAGCCCTCTTCAGATAAGAAGTCAGATGTTGGACAATAAACTATTTCACAGATATGGTTTATGAAAAGGAGACTGTGAAGGAAAGTGTATAACATACTTTTGTCTTTGCATCTTTTATATCAGTTTGATTTTCTTGATTTTCATCATTCCCCTCTCCGTGTGACATTAGTTTACTTCTTTGTTCTAGCTGTTTACTCAACTGATTCACCATAACTTCAAGATTGCGTACATAAGCTTTCGACTCAGTTTCTGAAGTATTTCTCTCTTCCAGCTCAGAACTTAAACGTTCCACTTTACTTGATTCCAAGGCTAAAACATGTTGTAACTGTTCAACTCGTTCACTGAGAACACGAACCTGTCAACAAAATAAAAGTAGTACATGTTTATTAATCGATAGACTATTGAAATCAAGTAGCATTTCTAAATTACCATTTTGATTAATGTAAGGTCAGAACAATATGAGATTGTACACAAGTAGGTACTTTGCATTTTTGGTAAGTCAGTATGCTTGATATATTTGACTAATTTTACCGAAATTTCCATCAGAAGGTGAAAAAAACCATCTATACTTCTCTAAGCTTGTCACCATCTAAAATAGTTTTTCTAGTGTTGCAGTCACCCATCTTATTTTGATGAATGGGGAAGAATGATAAATCATTTTTACTGCAAGTAGTCTATTTCTAAACTAGGCTTATTGAAGAAGTTATCATATGAGATAGTGAAGTCTTTTGAATAAGATTCACTTTTGGGGGTGTTCTGGTGAAATTCTTCAGATAAACATTTCATAGAAATGCTTTGAATTATTTCATTTTCTAGAGATTAAATGAGTCTTTATTCGTTTTGCTTTATGTCGTTATGTACCTTTCTAGGTGTAATTGACTCAAGCTTTTAGGTTATAGCCTTCAATAAAAATGTCTACTTCCATAGAACAAAATCAGTGATAGGAGAATTAAGTATACAGGAACAAATTTTAAAAAAATATGATGTCGACTTTTCGTATTTTGAAAAGTTCTAATTTGTAATGAGTAAACAGTTTTTTATTAGCCTCTATCAACATATATTAAATTAGAGAGAACTATATATGAAAACTCAAAATTCTTGAGTGATACACATACCAACAGGCTTTATAGATAGAAAAAGTATACGGAAATCTAATGATCACTAACTAATACTACTCAAATGGCTTAAAAAGCAAGCTGTTATAGGACTTCAGTGGGTAGAAGTTAAACAGTTGCGGGTTTTGAATCTGAGCTATGTAGGGACTAGAAACCAGACATGTTCAGAACGACTTCAGCAATTTATCAGACTACCAATAGGTTTTCATGGGATAGTTCTTCTGCCTAATTTATTTCAATTTGCTAGAGAAGTGAAAAATAATATGATTGCGAGAAGGAAACTGACTATTTTCAGTAAAAATGAATTGTTGGAATTCATTTACTGAGTATGAATAGGGTCGTTACATTGTGAAAAGATGAAGACCACTTGGCATACGTGTTAGTGAGTTGGAAGCTATCGGCAGGAAGCCCTGCTTGACCTACATTTCGCGCTTTTCGGCACTTGTCAGTAAGGCGTATCAGGAACCTCAAGGGGACTAGTATCTCCTGTAAGATTCAAACCCGTGTCACCTAGCGTTGCAGTAGCAGGCGTTACTAGTGAGCTATTCGGACACTGACTAACCTCCTGTAGGACTAGATTACATAATTATTATATTGCTGTTTGTTCCTTGGGTTCCTAGTGGAACATAGGGCTTCAGTAGCAAATCTCCGTTACACTCTGTTCTCTGAAGTCTTTTCAACCTGGCTCCACCATTGAGAAGAAGCTCTCATTTCTTCCTCACCCTCGCCTCAGACACCCAACTCGTCGTTTCCCATCTGGGTTCCACTCGATGGCCTGGTGCGTGATGTCCTCGAATGGTCTTCTCAGTGCATGCCCACTCCATGCCCACATACACTGATTAATCACTGGGGATCAGCTAATCTCATGTTGTCTATTCCTCAGTGCAGACCGGATTCTATCATTTTGCATTTTGCATGTGTCTTTACATTTCGGTTAGAACACAAATACTCACTAGATTAACCGATTGATAACCGATCATTTTACTGATGAGACCTAAATCGAATATGAAACGTCTCTGTTTAGCATCAGGGATCGAACATAATCAGTAGTAAATATCTATCAGTCTTTATTTTGTAAAAAACTGAATTATAGATGAGGGCGTCAAAGCCAGAATTGGAAAAGCAAGACAGGCCTTCATAACCTGAAATCAGTGTGCATATCTATTGAACTGCACTGCACTCAGCATACAGTGTTAACAAGTTCTGGATTTTCAACACTAATTCAGTCTAGTAAGTCAGTTCTTCTATGTGATGGTTGAGAGACTTGGCGGCATGTTATGACAAGCACTTCTAACAAACTGAAGACATACGTCATCAACAGCTTTGTCTACGCCCACACGATACTGACGCTGAAGACTAGATCGCCAGAATAATAAAAATAAGTAACAAGAGCTTCTCACTATGAACGAACCAACGAACAACCCATCGCTCAAAAAATATACAGAAGACAGTGGAGATGGATTCGACATACACTGAGAAGACCATTCAAGGACATCACGCACCAGACCAGGTCATTCAATGGAATCCAAATGGGAAACGACGAGTTGGGCATCTGAGGTGAGGATGACATGGAGGAGATTATGTGAGGAAGAAATGAAAGCTTGTAGGCAGTCGTGGATCCAGGTTGAAAAGACTGCATATAAGAGAGTGAAATGGTGATGTGCTACTGAAGCCGTATGTTCCACTAGGAACCTCAAGGGATAAATAATAAATCATATACAATAACGTTTGACGGTAGCAGGCATAACAGAAATAAAAATTGACAAAAGATTGAAAAATTGACCTACTTGATTTCTGTAGTGTTCAGCGGAGCGCAACTGTTGTTCATCTGCCTCTTCACGTAGTAACTCAACTTGATCTCGATAGAATTCAGCATCTTGTCTTAACTTAGTCATTGGGGATGCTTCTATGCATAATTATTTTACAAAAAAGTAGAAATATAAAATCAGTAAATGATAAGTAATTGGAAAACAATCTGGTTGTGTCCAGTGAGTTAGGCGGTTACATCAGTGTAGTATAAAATACTCAAAAAAAATAGGTTAAGTTTTTTCCGACACGATAAAATAATAATAAAAATATCAATATATGTATGAATTTGTGAGTTTTCCCGAGAAACAATGAAATTAAAGCAAGCCAAAATAACTGACTTAACTTTGAATGTCAAATGTTGGAGTTTATGTGTATGTTATGCTATCACATAATTTGTTTTATATATTCTAAGTCCCATTCTGTTTACCAATCTGATTTTCAAAGTTTCTGCAACTCAGTCAGTTATCATAGAGTTTCATACATTTATGGAAGGCTTGTTAATGTAAAATTACAATACTTTTCAAGTAAATATACTTTGCACGTTAGTGTTCATAAGCGCGATTTATATTTAATGAATGGCATAGTGTTAATACTACCAACTATAAATTTTATCGTCGAAATGAAGTACATATTAATAATGGATTATAACCCTTGAAGAATTTCCTGTCAGAATTGAATATAAATTGTTTCACAATGCAAAGTTACATAATGAGAAAGTAACAAAATGGTTACAGAATAAAAATAATTACGTCATATGGACGTAATTATTTTTATTTTTATTTGAGTGGGAATTTGAGAATGTTTGGGATGCGATTTTCACCACCCAAATGCAAATTTTTGCTCCAGGACTGGTCTTCAGCGGTACCGCGGTTAACAATAGAGAGTGAAGTGGTTGGGTGTGTTGACCACTTCACTTACCTGGGAAGTAGGATCAGCCCTGGTGGGTTAGTTACCGATGAGCTTTCTGCACGGATACAAAAGGCTCCATTGGCTTTTGCCAATTTGCGCCACCTACGGCGCCGCCGTGATATTCGTCTGTCTATTAAGGGTCGCGTGTACTGCACAGCAGTCCGCTCTGTTCTACTATATGGCTGTGAAACATGGCCATTGAAAGTGGAGGATACAAAAAGGCTTCAAGTGTTTGACCACCGTTGACTTCGTAGTATAGGACGTATTCCGTGGTGTCACCATGTGAGTAATGCAGAAGTTAGGTGTAGAGTTTTGGGGAGAAGAGGTAAGTCAGTTGACGAGGTTGTGAACCTTCATCGACTGAGATGGTTGGGACACGTACTACGTATGCCTAGTCACCGATTGCCTCGTCACACAATGTTGGCTGAGGTGGGTCCAGGCTGGAAAAAGGCCTGAGGTGGCCAGACTAAAACATGGCACCAATGTATGAAGTCTCTGACTGTTGGTTTAAGCCATGTAGGACGATGCAGACTAGGTGGTTGGGGTCCACGGGATAGAAGGAACCAGTGGTTGGAGACCCTAGGTGATATGGCTGAGAACCAATGTCAGTGGTGCAGATGTATACACACATTATCCTCATCTTAACATCACTATACCGAATCTCACCATTTTGTTACTCCTCTTTCCTTTCTTTTCGTACTTTATATTTCTTTTGACTGCATTGACTTATCTTCATCCTTCACCTCACTACCTTTTTACTTGATGTGGTGATATGAGGTGTGGCAACTCGGACCGTTACGCAGTAATGCCTGGTCCTATGTTGATAATGATGATGATGACGTCATATGGAATTATCTAGAGTGATTGATAATTTACGATGGCCATGGTAAAAAAATAGGTTGTACTTACTTCTTTTGAACACATAATGATAGTTTAAACTTTTAAATGAATGATGCTTCACCTACATCCAAATATCGTAACTTCAATTCACTCTGCTCAAGAATAAGAAGAATATGTGTGGAGGATATCAACTATGATGAACTAAAAAACTTGTGAGAAATCCTGATGAAAAGTGAATACCCCATTGGAACTTATATATAAGAATTTGAAACCAAAAAACGCCATGCAATGCGTGCATACTGCTATTAAAAAGATTTTCCCTGTTAAACCTCGAATTCGAGGTATACAATGTGGCTAATATACTTAGAAAGAGGCTATGAAGATCCATAAACAGAACATTCTTCGACATCAATCTTGGAATGATTTTCTTTTGTCAGAAACTCATTAGTCAGCATGCACAGGACAAGCTGGAGCATTGGGCCACATCACTGTGTATATATCACCTTACTTGGCCGTACCATGTGCCAGCTTATGCAATGCGCTCACCAACACTGTCCCACTTGGTTGACAAGGGGAGAATGGAAATCCAACTTCAGTTCTCTAACAGTTCTCTAAGTAAACCCAAGACATTCGGATCCTTTTTGATAAGTCCTTCGAAATCATGTACAATAAGCTACCTAGTCAATCGAAAGGAGTGTGGTTACCACATCTGGGTATAGGTGAAGCACTGACCATTCAAAAGTTCAGACCACCATCATGTGTTCAAAAGAAGTATACATAACCTATTTCTTTGCCATGGCCATCGTAGAGTATCGATAACTATAGATTACTCCATATGATGTAACTATTTTATTCTGTAATCATTTTGTTTATTTCTACGTCATGTAACTTCCCATTGTGAAGAAGTTTATACTGACTTTTGACCGGAAACTTTCTGAGAATTTTTCTGTCTATTGACGAATGTACGGCCAAGCGATTGATTACATCGAAAAGGAAGTTTTCCCTTCGCCGCAATTGTCGTCCGTATCTTCCTATGATCAAACAGGTCTGTTTCGATATAACTAAAATGTTTTACTGTTTTTTTACGTGGTTACATGTCAACAGCTATATAGTATGTGCACTTGACTATCACCATATTTATGTATGTATATGCCTAGTTAAATGATAACAAGCATAATACTAGAGAATACTGTCTACTGAAATAGAATATGACCACTTCATAGTTCAGTCTTACCAGCCCTTAACCAGAAACCAATAACTTGTTAACTTTTCCCCAGGAGTGAATGAATTCCGTAAATTAAATTTTAACTCTGGTTTCCAAATAGTCAACTGACTGTCCTGAATTCGGTACTGGACTTAAATATTTTCGGCAAGCAAATCTTCATCTAGCTTGCGTTCCTGCTGATGATCAACCATAGGCAGTATATGAAATATCGGGAGTAAATTCTTTATAATAGCCCTTACCACTTCATTCCTAAATGAATGCAGCTTAACTCCAATGCGTTTTATTGAGTACTTCTCATCACAAAAATGAAATATACTGCACCTTAATATGAAGTCACCTGGTCACATAGTCAGCTAACAGATATGAACTAAAGCATTTGCTCATAATTTTAGGTCAAACAGTTCCACGTTGTTCCTGTCTGATAACTGATTTCTGGGAGCTTTTAAGTTTTATGGACAATGAACCACTGAACACATAAGTGTTTAGGAAAGTCTCTGATTCAACCACGCATTGACATAAATGCGAATCTCTAAGGTAGTTTTCATGAGTCAACAAATACAAGAGTCTTGTTCAATATTCAGTTGATTATCGTTTCAATTTAACATAATTCAATCTTTTAGTTTTACAACAAAAGTTATACGGATGCCGACAATTCGTCTATGCTGTAGATTTATATTACTTACACTTATTTGGTTGTTCCAAGTTCACATAAAATGCAGATGAACGTATCACCTATCTCTTAATATTTTTGGTAGATTGAATAAGTGTAACCAATGTAATCTTCTTCAAGAACTCAAATAATTAAGGAGTATTTTTTTAAGAACATATGATTGTGAAGTCTCTGCTTGATAAATTTCTTGTAACACCAAGTACTTATAGGGCAAAATATACCAACATAGACAAATGAAAGTAAATAAACAGACAAATCCTCGTGAAACATAGCACAGAAGTGTATCAGTTCAAGTTGCTATAGTATACAGCATTGTGAAAAGTACAGTTGCATAGAAAAGGAATGGTATTAAAATAAACAAAAGTGTCTGGGATGAGGGGGAACTAAAAGAGAAGATAAGTGAAGATCTTCACATTTCTGAAGTTGTCAAATGATAACCACTTCTGTGGCACTGCGAACAGTTTTTAGCTGTGTTACCAAGTGTCTACAACCGCCGCTCCCTATTCGCTCGACGACCACAATCATGCAGTCTTTCTAAGTGACTAAGATGAGTAGTCGGACACTTGTCTTAATCTTACTTAAGCTAATATTACACGTCATGGTTGAGGTGGATTATAATGCACAAAACATGCCCAAGCCACATCAGTCGGTGATCATTCACAAGCTCATTTATTGACTTATCTTATCTTTGCCTAAACTCGCAAGATGATCCTACCATACTTGGGAGAGTCTAAGAGGACGCCTGTGGTAGAAACCTGTAACCTCTTCATCTCAACTGTTTTCACTGATTGCACTTCACAGATGTTTAATAAGACGAAGTGAACTGAAGGAAAATATATTTATCGGATATTCCTCCATACATGAGGTTGGTTGGGAATTATCAAACAGTCATTTTATATCTCAACTGAGAGGACACGGAAACCAACCCATTTGGGGTGACGCTACTCCTCAAGTGAGTAAAGTAGTCATCGCACTCAATAACTTCACTTAGTGTTCTTAAAATGAGAGTAGATGCAGATTTTTCCTGAAGCATCATCTTACATTGGGGAAGTCAGAAGGGGGAGCCAAACTTACTCAGATTTCTACTTAAAGCGTTCCTATGGCTTTGGATTTTGGTGGAGTTTTCGCCTGACAGGACAACTCTACCTACGTACTTTGGGTGAACTTGGTGTCCTTAGTGGAAAAAGTCAATCCTTGTAAAGCTGGAGGTATTTAAGGAAGTACCAATTAGCACGTCTATAACAGAGGCAAATAAGAATGATGACAACGGGTACCCCACCAAATTGTTAAGACAATAAACAGTATCTCCATAACTGTCATGTGAATCTGAGCCTTACTAGTCTCAGCACCTGGATTCTAATCTATAGGTCACTTATTCAAACCTCGCTCCACTTACGAAATTTATAGTCTAGGGGAAGTGTCACTGGCCACCACACAACACCTGTGGCTCATCGCTCACTGCCTGGATGTACACAAAGCTGCTTAGTGAACTCTGGTTCTGATATCCATTACTCTACTTAATAGTTTTCTACCTCCTTTCTTGAAAACATCTGTTAGGAAACTTTTAAGTCCTGCTGTTCTGCATTCTGTGAGGTTTGAAACTGCCTTCTTAACTTTGCGGCGAAGTAGAGGACCATCACCTACGTCACATTTAATTTCGTGCTAGATGTTGGTCAAGCGAGGAGTAGCGATAAATCAGTTGGACAGTTCTTCAAAGAGACCTTCCAAGCTTTCCAGCCATCTGTCTTAAGAATTTATACTGTAACTTTGGTTTTCATTGCTAGTCACACTAACCATCGTGCTCTTCCTACCAGTATATTTAATAAGCTTTAAAAATTTCAGCGTTAAACAATACTGATACTTTCTCCATCTCTTTTACTTGTTCCACCAACCACTGCTTGAAGGCGTTGCGAGAACTCTTCGCTAATTTACATTACAGCCGCTTTCATTACTCGTCGTCTTCAAAACTAGTTGAAATCAGTCTTTTTGCATCCATCAATTCGCACTACGTTTTAGGAAATCAACTGGTGTTTGTTCACCTTCGCTTGTAGATTACTAACTGCCTTCACCACTATTTTCGCAGTTGACTGAATATAACACTGGGCTTCATCAGAAGGTGAATAGCTGCCTTGTTTAAATAAAACGTTAGCTATCGCCTCGCTGAACAACTGCTGGGATTTCTCATTTTACAATCAAGCACAAAGAAGCCTTATTGCCTTGTGTTTACTGCTCCTATTAAGTCACAAAAATACACGAGTGATCACAGTCTAAACAGGTACCCTAGGAACAGTGGTAAACACACGCTTATCCTCTCCACCGCTATCTGCAACGTTAGTTTGATATCGGTAGATGCCAGTTAGGACAACATCTGTCTGTCTGAATTTACCACTGGCAGGGAACAAGTAGCTGTCAGAAGAAAACTGTAAGATGCAATCACCATTGCCCATTTGTTTGTGAAGCAAGTGGTTATGGCACACTACCATGAAGGTGATGCGGTCGATATTTCGCGGTTACCCACACCATGAAATTTGATTCTGCGAAGTATTGAACTACAAAAAAGACGAATGTTTTAAACTGTATAGCTCGTTGCATAATTGTGACAAACCTAACCACCACGTCAATGTAGCAGCTATCGCTCATTCGATTTTGATACATCGGCTCAGTATTCTGCAGTGAGTGAAATTATTCATTCCCTACTTAAACTGTTATGATTTCCTATCTGCTTCAAATACGAATTCCTACTGAGTGGCAAGAAATATCAAATTTCCGTTCACTAGATGCACCTAATAAGGTTTGTTTACCTTCTTCATGAGGAATTTACATGTGAACAGACAAATAACCGTGTATGATAACTATTTCAATACTACTGTCTGTCTTATGACATGATAAAACGAAAATTCTAAACAACCTTTATGGCCTCTACAATGGTCATTGACTCGGAAGAAATGAAGTCAATGTGAAACTCCCCTACACACATGACTATTGTTAATACTATTCTTTGTAACCGGCAAACGATTGGAGACCACATAATTTTAACTATATATCCAGTAGTTTGAATTTTAAAGTGTTTACTCTGATCGTGACCGTAAATCATGTGACTGGCCAACTACAAATTGTTATTGGCTGGTCAACGGTACGAATGTCAACCAATCGGATTTGACTTTTTACATGCAGTTAACCTGTTTCACCGAATAGTTCTAAATTAAGATAAAACGATAGTCTGGTGATCTCTGATACTGACAAGCTATTCAATCGATATCGGTTAACTAGAATGACTCAGTCTAGTAATAACATACAGAAATGTATATGAATTACATTTCATAAGTTTCTTAATTAGGTAAAGGTTATTTGTGTTTTTCTTAGTAAATCGTTTACACCATTTGATCGACTCATTTGACTGACTGTTTCAATCAGATATTCTGGTATGATGAAGATATTAATTACCCAGTATTCTGTTACCTAATTGACAGGCCAATAATAATAGTAATGATAGTTCTACAAGCCTATACACACCAATCTATAACACTACAGGTTTTAACCCTACAATAATCTCATCAACTACATTTACGTTTCAAAGCGTGCTGCCACTGTGAATCCGGAAACATTTAATCTTTTTCAATATCTTTTCAATTAACATCAAAAGTTATTATTTTCATGTTAGTAAGAGTTTTGTGCAACTAGTTTTACGGACTGCTATGCATCTGTAAACATAAGAGTCTAACATTCCTGAAAGCGTAAATCGTACGAAAATCATGTTCTTTCTTTATCTGTTTCATATATAAACTGGTTTGTTTGACTTATACTTATTAGATTCTGCTATCTTAGTCCAGTTCAGGAACTTTGGCAATGAAGATAGTGGAGATGGATTCGACATACACTGAGAAGACCATTCGAGGACATCACGCACCAGACCAGGTCATTCAATGGAATCCAAATGGGAAACGACGAGTTGGGCGTCCGAGGTGAGGCTGACATGGAGGAGATTATGTGAGGAAGAAATGAAAGCTTGTAGGCAGTCGTGGATCCAGGTTGAAAAGACTGCATATAAGAGAGTGAAATGGTGATGTGCTACTGAAGCCCTATATTCTGCTCGGAACCCAAGGGACAAATAATAATCATAATAATAATCTTAGTTCAGTAGATATGTTTGAGGTCTTGAAATTCGTGGTTACGTCGGTTAGTGGACGAAGTTCTAAGTGTTTATTGCACTTTCTCACTTTATCCGATGTGAATTATTTTCTTTATAATGTTACTCCTAGTCAGTTTGTTATCTTAGACTTGTGCAGTATGTCGTACCGATAACATTTTATTCGTTTCTTCTCTTCCTAAGTTTTCAATACACTTCACCTTACCGACAGTCACTCTGAAGAGTAGTGTTTTGTTGTAGTTTAGTCTTCTTGTCTGTCAGGAAGAAATAAAACATATCCTCAAGTTATGCGAAAATAGTAAGAATTTGGGCTTGAATGTCATATAAAACCATCATCATTTTGGCAGTCATAATTTTATCCCCCTTCAGTATATCATCAAGGCAATAATAAATGCTCTATATATAGTTGGTTCAGGTGAAAGTTGTTTCGTCTGAGCGTGTTACATTAAAATATATCTACTCACCAGGATTAGTCGGAGCTTGTTCCACTTCGAGAAGATTAGCAGACTTTTGTGGAGCCAAAGTATTCAAAGCCTTGTTATCTGTGGCTAAAGACTGCCAAAACTCTTGGTTTTTACTCAAAGCTTCAGAGATCTACACAAGAATATTAGATATAAAGCAGTAGAAGTATTCAAACAAGATGTTTCAAAAGAATGAATTGACAAATAAAGTGAACATGTAATTTTGATAGATAAACACGAGATAAGCGGGCGTTCTTTATTAACATTACTGGTTGTAATGCAGGCAGTACTTGGATAGACCCTGCATAATACAGCATCACAGTCATTTACCATCTTGGAAGTAATGTCATTTTGATGTTCATCAGTAAATGAGTGACTGAAAGAAAACACCTCGCTCAATCATGCGGACATTTCATCAAGTCACCAACGGAGTTCTTAGATCAAACGTATTAACATAGAAAACGATGAATTAATGGTATGCTTCGATGTCACAGCATTATACACATTCATCGAACCCCAATTGGCCAAGAAGATACAAGCCTTACAGAAAGCACAAAACTCAAATGTTCAAGTCTGATGGAACTCATCCACCTTTGTCTGATAACATACTTGCAATTCAACGACAAGATATAGAAACAGATGAAAGGAACTCCAATGGGATTACCAATATCTGGAGTAATTGCAGATGCAGCTATGCAGAGACTGGAAGCCATCATCCTAATTGTAATCAAGCCAAAATTCTGGATTCGCTATGTGGATGACACTTTTATCATCATTAAAAAGGATGATATAGAGAACACCCCCAGTTTGGTCAACGATGTTTTCAGTGACATCGAATTCACAATGGAGAAGGGGTCAAACAACCAAACTACCATTCCTGGATATTCCATTCAGTAGAACAAATGCCGGCAAGCTGGAGACCCAAATGTACAGGAAGCCAACACAAACTGACCAAATTCTTAACTACAGCAGTGAAAACCCAACAAAGCACAAGACCAGTTGCATGCAGACTCTATTCAAAAAAGCGAGAACACACTGCAGTACAACAGCTTCACAGAGAAAAGAAGAAAATTGTTTGATGTCCATCCTAAAGAAGAACGGTTACCCACGAAACTTTATCAGAAAATGCCTATCTCGTACATCATCAACTACAAAGTCATCAACAGAAATCAATAAACGCATCATCCTACCATACATAAAGAATATATCAGGAATCACGACAAGATTACTGAAACCACTTGGAATTGGTGTGGTTCACAAACCAACAAATTCCCTGCAAACACTATTATACAGACCAAAGGATGCGACAACCAAAGAAGACAAACCGAATATCACTTACAAAACCAACTGCAATAACTGTAGTCAAAACTACATTGGACAGAGTGGTCACCCTCTTCGCCTTCGTCTACATGAACTCCATTCGGCTATTAAACGTCACGACATTTCATCACTCATTTCAATGCATGTGGACACGAATTCAGTTTCGCTAAAGTAGAAAGTGTGGACAGAAGAAACGCAAAGAATACCAGAGAGCTCCTAGAAGCTTGGTATTCAGGTCAGTCAGTCAGTCAGCAATCAACAGATGCATACACATAGACACAATCTATCAACCAATAAGAAAGATGATAAAGGATAGAAAAGTCAGAGGTCAAGCAGAGGGACAGCCGAAAGGGAAATCTATACAGTCAATGACATAACAATCAAAGGAAACAACCAATCACAGACCACATCGTTAGAGCAAGCCACTAAATCAATCACGGAGAGATATCGACAGCTCACTTCATACTGAAGTTAGTGCTGATGATGTCATCTAGCAAGGGGATGAAAGCTTCACGATTAAACAACCCAGCTCAGAGAACATAATACAACCAAGAAAATACTAGGTACTTTTCAAGTTATGAGACGTTTAAAAACATAATGATCTTCCTTCATATATTACTTTGTTTTCAGTATAATGTATGATAGTTGTATCCAAAGTATTTCTTCTAAGTATTATACTCTGTTGACAACTAAATAGTACAAAGTATCAATTTACTCTAGACGTGAAGTTGATTAACTCATTGTGAAAATTTACTTTTAATTTTTGTTAATGTACTTTATGCAAAATTGACTTTAAGATTGTATTTTGATAAAATAATTAGAGTAGAATGAGGAACATCATTTTGATTGTAGTCGTATACTCATCACTATAATATTACTTAACGACGATTTTATGGATTTATATATATATATATATATATATATATATATATATATATATATATATATATTTTGGATATTACTACTACTTCAGTTTATGTGTAAGTAACAGAATTTCAGCCATAAGCAAAACCTTTTAGATTCTTTATTGTGTTGTACAATTCCTCAAGGTAACAGTATGGATTATAAAATAAAGTTTATGACAAGAAGATTCATCTTTTAGTTTCAAATAAAATTATAAGACACTTTTTGTTATGAATGATCAACAACTGAGAAAACAGAAACTTTAAAAGGTTACCTTTTCTGAGCTTTAAACTAAACAAAGATCCATTGTACAGTCGAATGTATTCAAAGTTATTTGGTAACTAGTATTGTGGTGGCTAAGCTGTTCTTAGCTTGTATATTTTATACAACTAGTTAATACTACCCCTAGTAAGAATTTAGTAAGTTAAGTAAGAAATCTGTCTAAAGGCCAATGACCTTGAAGCCAATGCTGATTTTTCGCTGAATGATACGTTTGAAATTTGATCTCTTTCTTAATTATGCTTATCATATTCTCCAACTTCCTTTCTTAATGTATTGCATCTAAGTAATAAACCAATTATATTGATTCTATATAAGTGACTACTGAAGTGAGTGAATGAAGTGACAGTAACATCATATTAATTGGTTACAATTGCAGAAATAAAGAGTTGCTTTTCCGATCAAATATGTTGACCTGATTCCTACTGTAGTAGTAACTATCTTCCAACCAGAACTATGAATGAATATTTAAGGCACCCAATTACTCATCAACTGAATTTATCGACTATATTAACTGTTGTTTGCGTACACAGACATTTCTAAGAAATATTGAATGAAGAACGATATATTAAACAAGGATAAGACGATCAACTTACACTGACTATTTAATGATTATGCGCCTGCACTTCTGTATATCATAACTAAGTACATGTGATCATTATAAATTAACGGTAAATCGAGGGATGATTTTTTAAGGCTACCCTAGCAAATGATGCGACAGGCAATTAAATTCCTTTATTTAATGGAAAAGTACTTTCTCAGATGAAATCCCAAAGCCAGTGAGTTACTTTAAAGGCTACCCTAGCAATTGATGAAACAACCAATTGCTATTCTCTACTCTATGAAAAATTGTCTTCCCAGCCAAAAATACTGTAAGCTGATTGGTTATTTTTACAGTTGTTAGGGTAGCCTTTAAAGTTGCCTAAATCTACGCTATCACAATATATGTTTGGTAGAGCCTTTTATTTTTCGACTAGGTTTTTCTGAATAGGCAAATTAGTGTAGGATGTATTTGTATTCTAGACTGTTTAAAAGTACTGACTGTTGACTTTTAATCAAACGTTGTGAAATGGGCCTTACTTCGAACTTGATAGCATCCGTTCAGCTTTTACTAGCAATCCTTTTTTGAATATGACTAATCTAATCAACTCTGAAATGTCTTGTCTGATTAAAACAAACGTGAGACATTTTAAAGAAGTAATGAATTATTTTAGTGGTAACGTTTTCTTGGTTGTATTTATGTTAAACCACGTGTTTCCAGGATGATGTTGACAGCTACATGACTAGGCAACCTTAATGATATATGGTCCCGGAGGTATCTCATATAATGAGTAGGTTTTAGACATGGGAATCTGATTCTTGTTGATGATTTGGTATCGTGTGCTGGACATATTCCCGGCAAGATATTATTCTAAACATCATAATATTCGATTTTTTTCTGGTAGTGTTATCCGTAAATGACGTAATTCTTCGTTGATAAAATCCGCTTACATGATACTTTTATTTTCGTCTTGAAGGAGTTACTCACATTTGGTATATGGTATGTTTTTGTTAAAAATGACTCGAGAATAAATTAGTCAGGCACCCTCAAATAATAAACTCAAGCGATAATATAGAGTATTTTGTTCAAACATCTGAGCTGAATAAAACCTTAAGATTTTATTCCAAATTAGATTGTTGATTTGATATGATAAACAGTGACAGCATAATTTAATTTTGTAAACTTAAGGTGATGAATTTACCTGTTGAACTAAACTCTGAACAGTAGATGTATTTGAGACATTTGTACTCATTTGTTCCAGCTAGAATAATAGTAGAAAGAAATATAAATTACATATACAGAAACACTGATTTATCATGATAAATTAATAAGCATTCTTAAGCCGCTTGATCGACAAATCTACTGACATCCTGATGTATTGTTATGCTTGATTTATAAGCAGAACCACAAGGGATTGATTATGAAATTGTAATTAGCGTATTCCAAGAGTTTACAACAAAATTGGAGTAGAAAAAAAAGTTTTTACTAATGAGCAGGTCTCTAAACAAGAACTGAATAATCATCCAATATGTTTGGTTAAGATGAAAAAATATCGTAATCTACTTAAAATAATCTGTTTCATGGTGAGTAATATCACTTGGAAGGAAACTCAATGACATAACTACTATCTTATTCCAGATATTTCATACAACTGGCTCCTTTTATAAATTTTGGCAAAGCAAGGACAACCCAAATTGTATAATAAACCACATTCTTTTCATGCACTATAAATCTTCCACACATGGAATTGACATAAAAAATTGTGTACAGTAACCTGTCACTGGTAAGCATAAGTCATTTGGTTATACTTCAATAGTAAAATGACAACTTAATTTGATGCACATGAGCTAAAGTCTCATATTCGACACTCACTGGGGTTATCGGAGTGCACCTCTTAGGAGTCCAAATCCAGGATTAAATAGCTCCCGGGTTTTCAACAGTTCTCTAAGTGATTTCAGTTTGCGATGAATATCACCTTATACGAATAGTTTCCGTTATTTAGTAATATACTTCTGCTCATCTCACGGTACAAACAAAATTCAGCTCAATCTATTCTCCTATTCAATTTGACTCCTATAAGTAGAAGTTCAGAAATATTTTCTGTTCGATACAAGCTACGAATGAACTTTGGCTTGCTGCAAAATAAATTGCCCAATGAGCCACAAGGATCTAAATATCTTATATTTATAAAAAGAGTCAGAAGACGTCAACAAAGTGGTAACAAACCTTTGCTAAAAAGTGAAAACTAATAGACAGTTCTATAAAAACGTCTGGATTTCCCTATCTCACTTAGTTGTATAAGCAATTATCTTAACAAATAGGATGGAGAACAATCTGAATAACTGATATATTCATCTATATATGGAATAAAAGGTTTGACTTACCAGTTGTAGTAAATTAGCGACCCTTGCTTGATATTCAGCATTTTCAAAACGTAGCATACGAACCAATGCTTTATACCTTTCGAGTTCACTCTGAAGTCAATAAATGAGCAATTTCAGGAAAATAAATACAAAATGTTTTATGAAACTTGTGAAATATTTTGACTAAAAAACGGTTAGCAGTGAAATAAAAAGTGAAACAAATGATGACCGCCTGCTTGAACATTGGGCTATCTAATTTATCCATCGAACATTTTTCATCGAATTTCTTATTTTCAATTTGTTTTAATCATTGAAATATGTCATTTGAACGTATCATGTACTGTGGTACATTTTTAAACTGTTTTCAACTCTCCGTTTCTTGAGTCAATAACAAAACAGAGAAAAGGTGTTACGTTATATGGAAATGAACTTTTCGGTCCAACAAGGTAAATCATATTTCTATCCGTTAGATGCTTAGCTTAAGCTGCAGATTTTTGTGCCGTCTTAATAAACCGCTACCATCAAAATTGCGCTGTCATTTCTGTTGATTCTCCATTAGGGACTGCATCCCCATTGAGAACCAGCTGGCTGCCTGATATTATTGCCTTAAATACTGTTATTATTAACATCATTCCGATGCAATAACCGTTTCGTTTGAAAGTATTGTTCTGGGAGTTAATTTGTTGAAAAATTATTTACTGGAAATTCCATACTGTCTTACATATTGTTTGGAATAAAGCGATTATTATTATTTCTATTTTGAACATACATTAGATTTTCGCTTCACTTCAATCATCATCGTAATGCGCTACTACTCCTTGATCGTATTCACACTGGTTGCCTAGTCAGAACTTCTCATCTCGATCCAAATCTAACTGTATTATAGAGGGGGAGCATCATATTGATTATCATTTCGGCTATCAGAAATAGCCGTGGTTTGATAGACTGGTATTTATGCTGGGTGATGAGTGAAGTGAAATAAAAATCTGGTAAGCAGGCAGACCTCGTATCTCAGTCAGTAGTGTATCAGACCGAATACCCTGTGTTCACTTGTTTGAACCCAGCTGCAGTCCAGATTTTCATTTCACCTTTAATCATCACCCCAGTATAAATACTAGTCTTCCAAACCACGGCGATCTCAGGTGGTCAAAATGATAATAAAGGTTACACTTAAATACTATGACTAAGTAAGTTCCGACTGGAATTGGGTTCCAACGCTCAGTGGTAACCTGCTGACTGAAGGACGTGAAGATCTTGACTGGGTCATGAACGCGCACTGCCGAGGAATCTCATACTGGAACAAAACAGTTGTCTAGTGCACCGAGGCTTCCAGTATTTCTGCAAGTGATCTTAATCCATAATGGATACCAACCTGAAATCAATAAATAAATTCCCACAAACCTCTAAATTGAAACTAAAGAACCTGTTGACAGTTGAATAATTTTATTCTCGGACGCCTTCTGTGTGTACACATCTAAAACAAAAGGAGTTTCAAAATGCCCATTTCTGGATAATGACACATAGACTCACCTAGAACAATGCGTCAGGTGATTTATGCATCATGATTGGAGTTTCCAAGGGTGGTCAAAAAATCATATTACTGACAAGTCTTGAAGCAGGATTAAACAGATATGCAGTACTAAATGTGACTTAGTTAGTCGTTTTTTGAAGAATAACATTCGAAAAAGTTAAAGGACCAACTGTGAAAGCTTAACAAATGGTGAGAAATAACCTTACATGGCAGTAATAACAAGTGTCTCTCATGACCTTAGTTTTTCACAGTATACAATCTAATAATCCACCGAGTTCATTCAATGCTTTCCTGAGGTTTCAGTTCACTCATACTGAGTGCTTATACCGTATAAAAATGAATGTTTTTGCTTAAATTCTGTAAAGTTTATTCAATTCTGACAACAATGATTACTGTATGATCGTCTATGAATAATCGATTTTTTCATTTTAATTTGAGTGGAATGAGAGTTGATTTTTCCAATCACGTATCTTTGTAATTTTTCAGATGCTATTGATCAATCATCAAGTTGATGTTTGTGTCGACTGTGCCTAACTTAAGTTATATTCATTCAATATTTTCTGGTTTTCAGTGATTCCACGGGTGATGTCAATCCATGAAGTTGTTTAGTAAATGTCTGGTCTGTCAAGAAGATTTTTTACAATGTAGAAGCATCTTACAGTGAAACAGCCTATTTGGAGATGCTGAATATTGAATTATGCATACACTCGCATTCGTTTTAAAAAGATGTGTAGAGAACAGGTGTCATATTTATGAGGGTATCTTGAAATGCAGAAGTTACAAACAACTACCTCCCAGACGACTAGTTGAAATGCACAGATATGAAGATACCATTCATGCCAACAAATTGTGTCATTTTATACTGGGTGATGATTAAAGGTAAAATGAAAATTTGGACCGCAACTGGATACGAACCAGCGACAACTGAATTTACAAACCGATGATCTACCAACTAAGCTGCGTGGTCACCATGGGTTTTGCCCGACTACTATGTGAATTCGCGATGTGTTGCTACCGCTTGGTTGTATTCATACTGACTGTCTAGTCAGGACTTCTCATCCTAATTCAGATTTGACCGAATTAAAGAGGGGAAGCATCATACTGATTATCATTTTGACTAACATAGCTGTAGTTTGATAGACTAGCAATTATACTGGGTGATGATTGAAGATGAAATGAAAATTTGGACCACGGCTAATCTAATCACAGTTATATTTTTATAGAATACGTATTTGAAGAATAATCCGGTAGAGAAGGCTTTTCAGAAGCCTACAAAATTAGTTAAATCAAGGATGTCTGACTACTTTTATGTTTGTATAGCTGCGTTGTTACCAGACGACACAGAAATACATCGTATCATATTATCAACATTCATCTTCATTTTTCGTAGAAATTTCTGCACTCATTACACACCTCCATTTCGCTCACTATAACACAGTGTTATCTGCACCTTTTCTATGCTTACTGAAGATCTTGTATATTAACGCATTTCTGACTTGGTAAGATTTGAAAAGAAATGTGAAGCTTCCGGGTTCACCTCGGAAGTTTATGCACCTTAAATGATTATGACAGAGTGATAAATTAAGATAAGTTGTTTACACTATCCATTAGCTTTTCTTGCACATGCCCACATTATAACTTATCCGTTATAGTGTGCAGAAAGATTGAAAAAGTCTTCATAATGAAGGCATTTATCCTTAAAGCTTTTTCCAACCAATCGTTTTGCTTCAAAGTTTCGAGAGATAACACGTGAAGCAATATGTAATTATCAAGTTGGTTGAAGTAACAAAAAATCAATAAGACATTAAAATCTAGAAAGCCATGTAAATAGCCAAAGCCATTGTGAACCTATTTAAGCTCCTTTATTTTGCATACATTTGTTGACGTTACAATACACTTTCTGTTATCTTGCCCCTTTCTCTATTTACGGAGAAACTGAACAAGGGTGGAATCTGAACGTTGTTGCTCAAGCACCTGCACAAATATATAATAAAGTTATATCAAGTAGTTAATACAAGGTTATAAAATGATCATTTAGGGACAACAGAAAGAATGTTTTATCCTTATCTGATATTCTTCAACCGTGCGTAAAGCATATTAAAACTCATTACCCCATTATCGGTAGGTAATAGCCACTGGTTAATGAAATTTGAGTATGAAATGAGTGGTATTTCCAACTATCCGTTGATTTTGGATCGTGACCAAACGGTTAAGACAGGACACCACGTTCAGACTTCCTATGAAACCTTCAATTCAAATTCACAGGATGGTGCAAATTACTGAAACACTTGAAGTTTCAGTGAAGTGCTTGCCCAGTCATAGTCAGAAACGGTTAAGAAACAGAAGACAGTTTAGTGTTAGAATGCTTATTGCGAAACATTGGAATGGTAGTGGTTACACATCGTACTCCTTGCACTAACGCAGCCATTTGCAAATGTCTTCTTTTCCTCTCCGTTCCTGTCTTGATTTGCTCTTGACCGGCTCTTCATACACTTTTATCAGCAGCGTCTTCTGTAATACGCCTGTGTTGTCCCCTGCATTGCTCTTGGCAAAAACCTTACCCATTGCCAGCAATTCCCTATGATTCCTGCCACCCTCCCCATATATACTACTCATTTCCGTTGTTATCAGCAACGCCCACTACAACAGTACTCTGGTGAATCAGGTAGTAAATCATTTTCAAATATGAAAAAAACACTTACTCGAAGGAATAATAACTCTTCTTCTGTACGATGTGTACGAATTAATGGTTTCAATGCCAGCATTAAACGGAACCAAGGATCAAACATAACATTTGCGTTTTTCTGAATGCACCTCACTGCATCTTCTTCACTCTATTGAAAAACAAGCAGAGTATAATCATCAGTTAAGGTGTTTATTCCAATGTTCATGCTTTTTTTCTTCTATGTATCAATAAGTTAGTGAAATTTATGCAAATTATTTTCTTTTCACTTCTCTGTTTTATCTACCTTTTGGTTTTGATAAAATGCAAATTTTAAGTAAAATTTTGCGATAACAACGCCATAGTTCATTCAAACAATCCTACATGTCTCTACCTTAGCTATATGAAATTGTCAGTGTGATGTATTGTTTTGTAGATGCCTAGTAGAATGATTGAATGGCAATTACTGAAAGTGTTGAGTGAAACGGAGCTGTTTGAAATATTTTTGGGGTCATTAAGATCTACGTAGTTTACAAATGGCCTTTACTACTGGGTTTGAACAGAAGAAGCTAAGTGGCAAAAGTTCCGACCAATCACTTTTCAATAACTATCTTCCAGCCACATGTAACAGAAACAAAACTTTGATGGAGAAGAAAAATTTTCAAAGATCTACTCAGTAGTCTACAAAGTTCATCGCTAAGAGGAAGCAGATCATTGAACCTACAGTCCAAAGTCATTACAACCCATCAATAAAAGAAATACTCTGTATATTTGAACACAGAAAGCTAAATTTCAGTGGTTTTATCTAATACTGAAACAGAGGACACTTGATGATAAGTTGAACTCACAAAGAAGGTGAATTTCAAAGGAGTTAGTTATACATATGGGGTCCTAATGGCCTCTTAAAATAGTTCCAAATATGCATGATGCCATTTTCAAAATAAGCTTTCTAGAAAACCGCTGGCAATGAATTGAAACCATTCATTCTAATGTAACGTTGAAAATATTTGTATGTTTCTTTTGTAATGCTGGCGAATAAAACTGCTTCCTGTAATTTCTACCGTATACCAAATTCAGTCGAAGTTCCAGTGAGAAGTCGTGACCAGTAAAACAAACCTAGTGGCCGTGGGGAAAACTATTCACCGATGACATTAGGTGGCGGTTGCGCTGTGTCGTAAACTAACAGGAGTTAGAAATATTAACAGTTGGAATCCCACTCAGTGGCTCAATAGTAGCGTGCTGGTCACGGGACCTGAAGGTTGCGGGTTCAGTTCCTGAAGGGAGGGGTCGTGGGTGCACACTGCTGAGGAGTCCCTTGCTAGGACGAAACAGGTGTTCAGCGCTCTCAGATTTCAAATGTTTCTCCAACTGATGTCAGTCTACAATGAATACCAACTTGAAAAAAGGGTTGGATGTGTGTTTAACTGCATTTTTCATCTACTTTTACGCTTCAGAGTGACTGTTCTGGACACTATTTTGATAGACGTTACCATATATTTCCTTAAAGTAGTTATTTTGTAAGGAGTGTAGTTTATTTGAATATGAGACTGTAAAATAAGTAAGCAATCAATGGGATAGTATTCCTATGTCCATTAGTTGTAATTGTACCTCAGTGAAATAAACATTCATAAACTGCTACGTAAATCCTTAGTGCATAACTGTCCGTTCATCGTTTTCACACTGTTTTTGCTTGGGAATAACATCGCTCATTAGGAGGTAGGTACAACTATCTGATGAGTCTCAAATAGGATGAAATGTGCGTCCTGGATTCCGCGGCTAGACACCATGAACCATTAATTCACCTATCTAGTTCTGTTGAAAATCCAGTGATTAGTATATGAAGAAAACTGTGGTCAAGCACAAGATGTTTTACGTTATAAGGTGCCTCTTGTAGCATAAAATAAAATTGTAGTCTTACAACAAAAAAGTTTTAATAAGAGTTTGGTTCCATAAGAAAAACATTTTTCCTTTTTCGTACTCTATGTGAAAACTTAAGTAACCCTTGGAGTTCTGTGTCCTTATCTGCTAAAGCTCAAGTTAACTGATTTTTTTGGAGTTCCAGAGTAACAAGATGATAAGTCTTATGATTTAACACCGCACATGTCAAATAAAGCTGTCAGTTTACCCTCACATATTTATTATTTTATAGAAGTAAAGTGTAGCCGGTATGCAAAACTGAATGGTATCGGAGGTATATGTGAACGCACGATAAAGCATCAACTGAATGAACTCTGTCTGCTTGAATATATACCCACTTAGCAGAGTTGTGTTCCTCTTGATCTGTCATACATTTTGTACGCCTATATGCGTTGGCATTTGATGTGACTCTATTACCTGTCCACTCGTCTTGATATGACCAGCATTCTCCCTTACCTTTCATACGTCATCAACATTATTACAAACCTTTTCCTATAGTAATTGTAACCTGGTTTCATGATCAGTTGTTCCCTCCTCCACCCCACTCCCCTACTATTTGAAATTACTCAATTAGAAACGGAAAGAAGGCTGATCTATTCAACTAGTCTTTCCACAGATTAAATTGTATGTCTTCAATAGTTCAAGTCTAACTTGAGTACAACTATTCAACGACGACATTGGATGAAGGTCATGCTATATCACAAAGTGATAGGAGGAGGAAAGTGTGAACCCCTGGATACTGACCCATTGACTCAGTGGCAACGCATTGGTGGCGAAACCTGAAGGTCCTGGGTTCGACCACTGCAGGATAGAGGTCATGAATGAGCATTGCTGAGGAGTCTCATGCTAGGACGAAACTGTCCCCCAGTGCTACTAGGTTTCCAATGTTATTCCAACTGATGTCAGTTCGTGCTAAATGTCAACTTGAAGTAACTTATTAACTGTAATTGGTAACATTAAGCCCATTTATTTTCCATAACTAATAGTATGTCAAGGATTTTGAAAATAATTTTTTTAAGCTTCAGCACAACTACTCAGGCATAACTTAATCCTAGCTCTTTCTGAATAAATTGAATTAATACTATGAAGATTCCCATTTAAACATTTAGAAAAAGAATGATTGAACGAAGAAATATATTCCTTTTCAATTAGGTCTACATCTTGGGCTCTATCTACACTAATGTATAGTTTTAAAGTTTAATCAAATTACCAATCACGTGGTGATGTTTTAGAAATAATGATGTAAATAATCAATAAAATTACTAAGATTGAAAAAATGAAGCAAGCTATTCTTAGGTAAATAGAAGGGATTTTTGATGAGTGTAGAAAGCAATCGTAGAAAATAGATAATGTTGACTGCCATGGTAATGAAAGTGATCGAACAAACTTCTTATGTAAAGGTGGGTTCCAATCGCCACTGCTATGTGAAGTAAGCGAGTGCTTAATCCATGTGGTAAATTAATTGGAATCTGATGAATGATTTTGAAAGCTTTCCTAGTATCCATTTGATGTCCCGTGTCAACCAGGTGTGCAAGTATGGAGCTCTTGATTGTTCAAATTTGTCCCTTACTTAACCATGATGGGTGGTGCTCAAAAACTCGACAATAAAACTGCCTCATTGTACGCCCAAAGTAACTAGCTCATAGGAGCGGTTGAGTTGATAAATGCATATGGGAGTGACAGAATCGGGAAGTTTGTCTTTATTTGTTGCAACTAGAATCGCTCAGTTGTAGAAAAATGGGACATAATTTAGCGACTGGGAAGGCTTTATGCAAGACTCTTTTTATACTATGTGTGATGATCTTATTGGCAATATCACTCTTGAATTTCAGCTTCAAGAAGATTTGCTTCTTAGGAGCTGTTGGCGTTCTTGTCTTAACCCTCGTAATATTCATGTGCTTAGTTACAAACTTGTCTGGGTAGCCATTTCTAATAAGCAAATCACGGATGGTGGCACATTCTTCCTTTATAGCATCATCTGAACAAACAGCTGTGGCATGGTATACTAGGCATTTTACCAGGTTCCTTTTGTATTGGAGGGGTATAGCCCTAAAGAAGTGCGTGCATTGACCTGCAGATATTGGTTTTCTATATACGCTTCGTTTCAGAGTTCAATCTGACCTTCTTACCAACAGAACATCAAGAAATGGGACACTGCCATTTTTCTCCTCTTCTATTGTGAAGTTGATTACCAGATGAACACTATTGAACCTATTTTGAACAGCATTCTTATCAATCTAACTTTTAAGGCATCATCTATGTAACGACACTATAGCTCTAAATGGTTAATAGTTTCGTCCAGTGAAACATTCTCTATTTTTGCTGGAAAAAATCTGATAAGAGTAGGCCAAAGGGTGACCGTATAGCCACACCATCAGACTGCCTGTAGAGTTCATTTTTGAAAAGGAGTTGTGCGTTCATCGTACACTTTAGAAGTAGTTTTTTCAATGTGGAGACCGGAATACCTATTTCCATGCTGTGCTTCGTAAGTTCGTTGCAAATAAAGTATGTCTTCATTAAAGAAATGTTAGTAAAAAGAGATGAAACATCATACGATATTATTAACTTATTATCTACTTCCACATCCTCAATCTTTCGAACAAATTCAAAGGTATCTTTGAGACTGTACTTTGCAACTTCCTTGTGGAGAGGCTTCAAGATTTGTACTAACCATTTTGAGGCTGTGTGATACGGAGAGTTTGTCATGTCAAGAACTGGTTGGAGAGGCAGACCGTTTTTATGCAGTTTTGTTACACCGTAAAGTCTAGGTATGACAGTTCCATCTTTATTTCTAAAACGTCACCACGTGACTGGTACTTTGACTGAACTGAACTAAGTTAAATGTGAACAGCACTTAGTGCACAAACAATTTGGATCGCAAACAGTCGATGAAACCCTAAGAAAGTAAATGAATTCCACTTAATATGGTCTATTCTCCGTCCTTACTTATTTAAAGTTCACACATGTGCAGTACCGAAAAACTGATCGATTTTCGTTAACAAAAAATGAACTTAGTACAAACCGCAACTGGTTAAAAGTAAGCGATTAAATGCCTTTATAGAGACATGTGTCAAACTTATCAGTTTACTGAGGCCGACCATGAAGATACCAATCGATACCATATTGTTCATTTGTCAAACAGCCAGTGGGTTTGTTATTTCGAAGTTGAGGTAAAGGTATTTTTCAACAGTGTGATGAGAAGACGAAGATTATCTGAAACATGTGATGAATGAGCGCCATCCATTTCAAACAATC